CGACCAAAAACTACAAAGGAGGTCCGCCCCTCTCGCAGGTCAGAGGAAGGCCAACGCGAGGCGCACAGAAGAGAGCGGCGGAAGAGGAGATACAATCGCCAGATAATGTATCTGAGCAGCCGAAATATACGAGACGAAAGGCCGAGCCTGCCACTGACGACGAGCCTCTTGCTTCCAGTGACGAGGACGAGGACGAGTCTGGCTTCGAGGAGGAGATATCATCAATTCGTGATCCACATCGGAGAACTCTATGGTCATCAAAGGACCTAGCCTACCACCTTCATGAAGGCGAGGCTGCGAGCAAGAAACGAAGGGGATCTTTAACGCCAACGAAGACCAAGCAGCCGAAGGGGAAATCTAGATGTATCAGGCCGCCCGCTTCCCATCCTCGCCCTCCAGATGAAGAGAATACAGGTGTATTCCCAAACATACGTCCAATTACGAAGCGGAGACAAGCTGGGTATGGAGGTTCTAGGGGAATCCATAATATTCATGCCTCAACGCCCCTAAAACCACAAGCGGCGCGCAAGAGGAAAAGGGAACCTTCAAGCGAGCCTGACGATGACCCTGAACACTCATCTCAAACTTGCACTAGCAAAGGACCCAAGTTCAAGGACCTGGCGTCCTTCATGGAAGCGCACACTTCTATTCCAGCTAGCTCTGCTCGAGAACACTACCCTGATTTACTAGACTTTAGCGATGAATTTGAGGTCGCATCCCTTAGCTCCATCTCCTCATCTTTCTCTGCGCATATCCCTGCTGAGGTCCAAGAGGGGATTGACCGTCGCACAGCGGCAGTTACAGTGTGCCCTGTGTGTGAGATACCAGTGGACGCGGAATTGTTCAAATCTTTCAAGTCAATGGAGAAGATGGGTCAACAATCTCGATTCTGCTTCCTACACAGGAGGAAGACTGCTGAAGAACAATGGAAGGAGAGGCGATATCCTGCCATAGATTGGGAGTCATTTAAGGAGCGTATCGAGAATCAATTTTCGAAATTGGAAAGTATACTATCACCCGAGAGTGACTCGGTATATCGAAAAATATTGAAATCATCTGCACGCGACCGCAATCAGCAAGGCAATTTCCGTTTTAGTATTACCAACTCGGAGTTAGAAAAGATATCTACAGGGTATTATGGAGCACGGGGTGCTAGGAATATGTAAGAAAAACTGTCTAATTGTCATTCATCCCTGTGGTATAATCCCCCATACTTACAAATCTTCCTAGGATGGAAGTTATTATCGCTCGATTTGCTCCACGGGTGCGAGAGCTAGCTCTATCAGATTCGTTGGTACAGGCAGTTGGGGTTTCCGGTTATGTGCAAGCAGTGCTTGTTCCAGAATTGACGACAATGCTGGTCAAGGAGGATATGGGTGTTGATGACGAGGAAGCTAGGCAGATCATACAAGATAGCATGGAGATTGGCGACCTCCTGAACCAACAACCTGATGATGCTGTGGAACCAAAGGACGAATACCCAGACACGGTGGAAACAAACGAGCACCCAAAAACCGATTCAGTTGATGCGAACTGAAGCGTCTGTTGATAAACCGCATGGCATTTACTGTCGGTTACGTTTTTATTCATAGCATATGGAGTTATTGGGTGTAAAGGTCTGGCAGAATGGGAGTGAGAACATCTAGCGGGATATGGGTTTTCTCTGTACTCATAATATTGTGATATGAGCGTTGTTTATCATATTCCTACTTGTTCGAGTACATAGACCCTTTAGAATTGCCTCTTTCTTCCAACTGGTAACTGTTACTGAACTGTCTGCTGGAAACAGGCACCCCTACGAAGATGTCTTCTTATCTCTATAAGCCAGTCCGAACGCAACCAGCCCATAGGTCGCCAATATGCTCAAACCCACGGGTATGGGTTTTCCTCCAGTTTTAATAACCCTTGGAATAGAGCTGCCTCCTAGAACTGCGGAAGCAAGAAGGCCAATTTCTTCTCCGTAAGGCTGGTGGCCTTGGAGGCGGAAGTAGCTTATAGCGTAGAGCGCCCCAATTGTGAGGCCCGCAGCGATTGACGGAATAGATCCTGTACGTGCATACCCGATGATACCGCCGCAGGAGGTCAGAAGGGAGAGGGCCGCAGCCGAGTAGCTTGTATTTGAGCTCTGCTGTACCAGTTAGAGGCGTAAACAATGCAATGGATACATCGGTTTAGGACTTTACCATTGTTGAATGTGCAAAAGGTGTGAGAGATAAGCGTATCAGTAGCTTAAGTAGTGACTTAATGTTGTCTTCTTCTAATTCAGAGTATGTATGGTAGTTATTGTTTTCACTCTGTTATTGGTTTTTGCGGCTCGACATCAGCCCATCTACATAAATTGGAAGCCGGCGGCTCATGTGCTTATTCATCCATCACGTGATATTTTGGTGACGCTGTTCCTTTCGCGACGAGATATCATATATACGATGAAGAGGACAGACTTGAAGGAGAGTGCATAGGTTTTTCCATTTTTCCACGCTATTGGAGCTATTTGTTTTATAGCTACAAGCTCGTCGTTCAATTTCCGACTCTTATCCCATCCTACTTAGCCCCAATGGCACCAAAACGTCGAGAAGGGCAAGCTGGCGCGGCACCGTCCACTCCCAGCGCAGGCACTGTGAAGCCAACACCAGCTCCTTCGACAGTGCCCAAGCCAACACCATCGAAATCCGCAAATGCCTCCGTGACGGATATTGCGCTGAATATATGGCAAAATTACACTACAAAGACGCCACAGAGGACCTTGCTTCTAGATACCTTCATGGCCTTTTTAGTTCTTGTCGGTGGAATCCAATTTATATACTGTGTTTTGGCAGGCAACTATGTGAGCTTATCCTTTGAAATTATCCATATTATACCGGGGATAACTTGTATGAAAGAAGTCGTGGCTAATTACCAATGTTGCTATGCACTATAGCCATTTAATGCATTCCTGAGCGGGTTCTCTGCCGCTGTTGGCCAATTTGTTCTCACAGCAAGTTTAAGGATGCAAACAAGCGATGTAGGGAAGAGCACTGTGGCTATAACACCTGGCAGTTCTAGCGGAGCAGATACGCCGATTCAAGACCGGGGAGAGGGCTCTAGCGAGAGGTTAGTGCTCAATGTCTATTGGCATGAAAAAAAGAGAAAAACAGAAGAATAGCAATGATATATGTGTGCTAACAGGTATAATATAGGGCATTCGCGGATTACATATTTGGAAGCATTATTTTGCATTTTTTCTGCATTAATTTCATCAATTGAGTGAAGAGAAATAAACATTAGCTCCCGAAAACTGCATTTTTTTCCTCATTCGGCTTAAGAGACTAAACATAGAACGGTTTTGAATGTCTTGTAAGAAGGTGCTCTAATGAATCGTGCATATGACCATTAAGGACATATCAATTTCTAGTATTAATTAGTTATTCCCAGGGGTGACCGAAAATGCCAATCTAAAACCCTATATCATGCAAGAGAGCCCCCATCAACTTCTTTTCTATTCCAGTGCCCGAAATAAAAAAAATAAAATAAAAGGTCTATTCTTTCAGAATCCCCTCCCAACTCTTTTAGACGGCGGCCTTCTAACCACACTACCACTAGTCACCAAGCCACTGGTGGTCCTCCTTACTCCCGGGGTAGCAGTTGGTCTTCTCACTGCAGCCTGGATTTCTTGTCTCCTCTTGGCTGACTCTTTCTCAGCTTCACGGGCTGCGAGCTCCGCGGCCTTTTCACGGTCTGCAGCCATTTGTGTTTCGATTTCCATTTTTCGATTGAATTCACGCTCTGTAACGCGGCGTTCGCGTGCAGAGTAGCCTTTCTCTTTGATTGAGTAAAACACGCCTCCTAGGTCGGCAAGCCACTGGCAAGAAATAATAAGTCAGTATATTATGCAGGTGTGGTATAAAGAGGGAGGCTTCTCACATGAGGGTCAACTGCAGTGACTGTCGACATGTATTCTTTGCTTGTTAAAATCAATTCATGATATACGACGTAGTCTGGCAAGAAGCCAAGACCATAAAGAGAGCTGGTAGGGTGTAGTTGTACTGTAACGCTTGTCCGTAGATTAACATACTCTCCGATACCCTTGACCCGGCCAGCCTGGTGATAGTAGCCAGAGCAAATACACTTTCGAATGATGTCCCAATCCGTGCCACAGCTAGTCAACTGCATTTTCTGCATTTTCATAATGTCATGTAACTGTTCTCGAATCTCCTTGGCTCGTCGGAGAGCCTTGGGATGTAAGAAATGGCGCACGCACCATCCATCCGAGTAACCGTTTGCTTTCCATTGGGTATAAACATGGAGAAGGGTTAGATGATCTGATTCTGGCACGAAGAACTTCTCCCGTGCTGCATCAGACTCTTCTTGTCGCTCCTTAGGACGGTAAAACACGCTAGGAACAGAGAGCATGGAGACTATGGTGAGCATTTCTTCACTGCAGTCATATAGTTCTGAGGAAGTGATTAGGAGTTTTGCAAGCGACGGGTCCATGGGAAATGCACTCATTCGACGACCAATAGCGGTTAAATCGCCCAAGTTATCGATTGCCCCGAGAGCCCAAAGGTCAAATAGCGAAGTTGTGATAGTGTCTTGTGGGGGAGGGTCCATAAAATCAAAGTCCAGCAGGTCTTTGATCCCCAAGGATTTGAGTAGGAGCACCGTGTTAGCGAGGTTTGTACGTTGAATCTCCGGGATTGTCTGTATATAGAACTCGTCCTTGAATGCAAGTTCAGTATATAGATGATATGCTTTACCAGGCCCTGTTCGGCCCGCTCTACCTGCTCGCTGGGACGCATTGGCTTGAGAGATTGGGGTGATTTGAAGTGTGTCCATGCCCATTCGCGGGTTATACACTTTCAACTTTGAAAAACCGGCGTCTACCACGTACATGATTCCATCAACCGTTAAGCTGGTCTCGGCAATATTGGTAGCAACGATGACTTTCCTGACACCTGGAGGAGCCTTGTCGAAGATCTTCGCTTGTAAATCCGCTGGCATCTGGCTGTATATGGGCAACACACTAATCTTCGGTGGGTCATTTAGAAGAGCCAGCCTCTCGTGGATTAGTTCGCAAGTAACCTCAATATCTTCTTGTCCAGTCATAAAAACTAGGATATCTCCAGGGCCCTGCGAAACATGAATGGCAAGCACTTGCTTAACAGCACTGTCAACGTAGTCCTCGCATGGAGAACGAGAATACTGTATATCGACGGGGAATGTACGTCCGGGAATAATGAACTCAGGGGCTCCTCCGTAAAATTTTGAGAATCGATCAGAGTTCATGGTAGCAGATGTCACGATGAGCTTTAAATCTCTTCTCCTGGCGAGGACTTTCTTAATTAGTCCCATCAGGACATCTGTATTCAGAGCTCTCTCATGAGCCTCGTCCATGATAATACAAGAGTACTTGTCAAGATCAGGCTGGACTAAGGACTCTCGGAGCAATACTCCATCAGTCATATCTGTAAGAAACTGTTAGCAGGTGGTCATTCCAAAGGAAAAAAAATATAGAGGAATGAGTATACATTTGATCACCGTTTCACTGCTTGTACAATCTTCGAAACGGATAGCATAGCCCACAAGTCCTCCAAGTTTAACCTCCATCTCCTCGCTGACTCGTTTGGCGACACTCATTGCTGCAACTCGGCGTGGCTGCGTACAACCTATCAATCCAAGCTCCCCGTAGCCATCCTCGTAGAGAAACTGAGTCAACTGGGTGGTCTTTCCAGAGCCAGTCTGTCCAACCACGATAATAACCTGATTATCTCTTATCACTCGAAGTAGCTCCTCCCTAACGGCGAATGCAGGGAGATATTCTCTCTGCTCACGTAAAGTTTTGCTCCTACTAAACGCGCTGGATCCCTCTGACTTTTTTAAATGTGAAGCAAATTTGCTATTGGTGCTGGCCTTTTGGTCTTCCTCTCCAGGAATTGCAGCGGCACTGTCACCCTCATCTTCTTTGACGCCCATGATATTCCCAAGCGTAGTTCCCGCCGCATTCGTCGCATCTTGAGCTTGTTTCTGACGCTCTTTCCGCTGCCTCCTTTCCTGAACAATTTTGCTCCCTTTGCGACTGAATACAGCCATGTCACTCTGAGGATCTCGTACGGCCGGAACAGGCTCCAGCTGCTTTGTGAAGACTGTACGGCCGTCTAGAAATGGGGGGCGGAGGTCATGAACCAGCAAGTGTACCCTTGTCGAGTCGTCATCGTCCTCGAAATCAGCGTCGTAGTCCCTCCTCTGGGCAATGCCGGAGGTCAGCATGCGATTCGTCTCCCACGCATCCACGTCCTTTTGCTTCTGTACAGCACGAGCATTAAAGCGGCGGCTATTCTTCTTCTCAGATAATGCCGCTTCACGGATCTGGTCTGCCCATGCACTTTCCGGAGCGCCAAAGGGGTTATGCGTCTCGTCTCCAAATGTGTGCCCAGATTCGTCACCCATGTACCAGTCACGGTCCAGAGCAATAGCATCATTATCATTCACGAATGCTTCAGGGCCATCAAATGCGTGTTGGTGAGGTGTTGATGCACCGTTGCGGCCCCGGCTGGATCCTGTCTGGCTGTCATCATCGTCCCTGCTGGAGGCTCTGTCGCGTCGCATGAAGATATGCCTAGGACCAGGACCGGTATAGCTCTTTGGCGACGACGGCGTGAATCGACCCGAGCCAATCTTCCGCCGTTTCGGACTCTCTTCGCGACTCATGGTGACCTCAGTTAGTGCTCATTATTGAAATTATCAAAATGTTGCACAGCTCTATCCTGTGTACCGGTACTGCGTTCGACTTTCTTTACAACCGATATGCTTCCAACTCTAAATGATTACATAATTATCTTTTTATGTCGGATCATACTTATCCCGTTAGACGCGCATCCATCTTTGACGACATCTCATCCTTCCAATATATTTAGGAGCTACAGAGAAGAAGTGAAGAGGTATTATTATTTATATTATTATTAATAATATAATAAAAGAAAAGAAAATAGAAGAGAATGAAAAAAGCGAATAAAATCTGCCTGATATACTCCTAGTTAGTCCTTGTGTTCTCTTAGTTTTTAGGGTAAAAAGAGCCTATTTCATGTCTTCTCAGGATGGTGAGGAAGGAGGAATGGCACGGCGCCCGCAACTGTTGGTTGTTAGTATTAGTTATCTCATTGAGGGGTATCTATAAAATGTAATACTAACATTACAAGCTGGCATGTCCTGGCCCAAGGGCCGCAACAAACACTCCACATGAAGAGGAAGAGGAACCAAAGCAGCACCTCCCCTGGGCGCTGTACTAGGACGAGGAGTATCTCCTGGCCACTGGCCGTTACTTGGGGAAGGGCCGTGCTGTTGCTAGTGGTGTTGATGGGCCGGAGAGGAAACTTATGGCTGTTCTGGGGGAAGACCCTATGCTGCTGCCGTTGTTGTCATTGTTGTTGATGTTGGTGTTGGTGTTGTTGTTGTGACGCGGTCACGATCTGTGCAGAAAAAAGGCCATCGCCCTAAGATTGAACCCTCCCCACGTCCCCTATATCTTCCTCCTCTTTAGTAAGGACTTCTGCTTCGTCTTCTTCACTTATACCCTTAACCTCCGCATCTTTATATACGCCTATAATATACGGGAAACTACCAATATCCAAGAGCTGGTGGTTAGGGCTTGGAGTCATACTCAAGCTTACTTAAGGCTTAGGCTTACTCTTTCGAACCCTTATATTAAGCGTATCTGGCTAGATATATAGCTTTACACGATTAAGGAGTATCCCTAAGGATTGTGAGAGGAAAGTTACTTCTATAATTATAGGATTTTGATGCTTCTCAACCCCTTCTAGATTATATACCCCTTAGTCCCGGAATGTTGCTCAAGCTCCCCTGAGAGCACAAACATGAGTTCAGAGGATATAAGAATATTCCTACAAAGCAGCCCAGAGAGCAAGGCGAGAGTTAAGACTAAAGAGGTAAGCTAGGGGTTAAAGCTAGACTTAGGCGAGTACTTCTATAGAGGTATTCACTTAAGGAGTATCTTACTATATTATACCCCAGAATAATCGGATATGGAAGGGGAAATTCATTCTACTATCATTTATTTGGAAAGGGAAGATAGGACAGTAAAATAAACCCGTTGTTGCTGATGTCCATATCGATCTCGTTGGAGCCATCGTTGACAGCTACTTCCCTACTTCTCTTGTCATTGATGATAGTGGAGTGTCTACCAGGTGATAACTAACGCTCTAAGATGAGCGGCTATTGCATAAAAGAACAGTTAAATCTCCGTTGCTCGATTTGTTTCCTGATTACAACGGGTTTCATGTTATATACCCATTTCGAGATACGAAAAATATATAATGTTCGGACATTTTTGCAGACCCTCGATCCCGAACACAGCAAAGACAGAACGCTGTGCAGTGGGAGTAACACAGTTCTCCTGAAGGAAACATGCTCTGCGGCCTCTGGCAGCACCCGCAACCCCTTACACAGCATCCTCCTACCACCTTACATTACTCTATTCCTTTTTTACTATTATAAAACCGGGCTTTCCCCCCTCTTGTTATCCATCTGACGCTGAGACCTTACCTATTCTCTCACCTTTGGATCGGTTCCCAGTTAAGCAAGACCAAATAGCACTTCTCATGATTCCAGAGCCTCTCTTTCGAATCTGATAGCTTCTCCTGCCAGTTCTTAGGGCCGATGATATCGAGGTTTTCGATTTCTTCGGCTCTGCCTTTGAGAGCCAACTCCACAGCCATTGTCCCGAGGAAAGTATCTCTTTGCCTGAGTGCCTGTACGTCATAGGCTATATCCTCCAGCAAGCGAAGCCGTTTATCGTTGCCTCATGAAGGAATAGCCCCTTCACTTCCCTTACCATCTCCGCAACCCGCCATGCGCCTATTATATCGAACACTTTTTCCAAGTTTGGCCCGAACTCTGCATGAACGGCCGAGATGATCATTGAGCAGTATAGAAATAATAAGCAGTTGGGGAGGTCGGCATCGTGTCTGCCCATATTGGAAGATGAGTAGTAAATGGTACTGTAAATTAGAAAGGTGATAGGAAAAATGCGTGAGAAAAGTACGAGGAGCATGTTTATATATAGTCCACCTTGGTTAATGATGTATTCGTTGAGTGGCCAGCCGCTCCTCAAGACCCGTTGCTGCTTGGAGATAGAGCAAACCGAAAAGATTTTGGCTATGTATTAGTAAATGATCATAAAGGTGTCAAAGCACTTATTAGAACCCTGTATGTTTCAAGGCATGCCTTCACTGCTCTCTAGGGAGGTCCCTAGATACATGCCAGGGGATGTGGCGGTAAAGCTGAGGTTATGGGAAGCGGACGGAGTCCCACCAGCATCACACCGAGGCACTGTGGTAGAGTGGTTAATACGTTGCACTGCTACCGTTATACAATATGTATATATATGTATACATAGCCATGCAATTCCTTCGGGAGCCAGGGTTCGAATCCCTGCGGTGTCGCTTCTTTTTTTTTTTTTTTTTACTCTACTTCCTTGATCATACATAGTAGTGGGTAAAGATATAATACGCAATAAATACACAATCCTCTTTTATCTTTGTACCTTGTAGATGGCTTGCCGTAAGGCCGTGGTGACGTTGTGACCATCACGATGCTTGACGCTGCCAAGAGGTGAACAACTCCCCCAAAGCTCGATGGATCAACCACCAACAGCAAGACAACATTCATACCTCTGATACTTTACACATCGATATACGACAACACTGCTACTACTCCGTGTATATATGAAGTGAGGATCTAGCTACCGTCGCTGGCGGAATAGTCATAATGACAACTAAAGATGGGAAACACACCCCGACAACGGACGAACTGCTGGCCCAATTCGATGATCTGAACGTTGGCGCTGTCAATGCCAAACCGGCACAAGCAGCAGGCAAGCAGGGAGGCGTCGAGGACGATGTGCTAGACGAGTTTCAGAATCTGGTCTCTCAGAGGCCCTCGAGTCGGCCTACAACGCCCCAAGTTTCGTCTGTTTCGACCAAATCGCCCAAACCGGCTACAGCTACAGCTACACCGACTACTGACAGGTCCAGTGAGGAGAAGATACAGGCCAGGAAATCAGGAGATAGCACGAGAGCATACCATAGGAGCATCACACCCTCATCGGAGGTTGAGCATACACCACCAAGTCCAGCACCACAAAGCAGCACAGGCGGATGGTGGGGTGGTATATTTGCTACAGCCACCGCGGCAGTCAAACAAGCTGAGGCAGCAGTTCAAGAGATACGGAACAATGAAGATGCCCAGAAGTGGGCGGAGCAGGTTCGTGGGAACGTTGGTGCTCTCAGGGGACTTGGTAAGATATATATGTCTACCACAAGTTGACTTGATGGGCTAACAGTATTCTTCAGGGGGAGAACTACGAACCCTAGCACTTCCAACTGTTACATCACTTCTCCACACTCTGGCGCCTCCAATATCATCTCATGAACGTCTCCAAATCCATATCACCCATGACCTCCGAGGCTATCCTGCGCTAGACCCGCTTATATACAATGTCTTCTCCAGGGTCATGGCTCAGGTCGAAGGAGGCGACCTCCTAGTCGTCCAACGTGGCCAAGAAGCTGCTCCAAAGCGCGGTGAGAGCACCGGTACGAGTCAGTATAACGCTGCAGGCTGGAACGATGGCCCATGGTGGCGGTATGCCTCTCCCGGAGGGGATCGTTCGATCTCCGCCATCAAAGGCGCCATGGTAGCTACCAAACTCGTTCGTGCAAGTGCCGAATCGTACGCAAACGACTTCTTCGCAGCTCGGGGTGGCATAGAAGAAGCTACTCGCCAAGCCTCTGAGATCCTTTCCGACACCAACCCTGTCAGGAACAGCGATATCTTCCTCGCCATCCAAGCTATCAGCCAACCTGTATCAGAAGATCTCTTCCAGGCTGGCGCTGGACCTAGCGGAGACACCGACAAGCCTGCCAGTGGCGTAGTAGAGGCCAAAGAAGATGCCGAGGAAGAAGTGTCCTTCGCCATATACCTACACGATCCGATTCATGGCATTGCATACCACACCATCTCTCAGTCTCTCCCACAAAAGTGGATCGACTGGCTTGACGCTCCTGCCCCCGATGCCTCTTCCGCTGGTGAAACTTTAGCTTCACACAGTGAAGTTCAATCAACAGTTCCGGAGGCTATTGCTGAAATCATTGAGAGCGGGGGGGTCGATCCACGTGAATGGGTAGCCGAGTGGGTTGAGGATGCCATAACTTTGGCAGTAGGTATTGTCGCACAACGATATGTGGCCAGGAGAATGGGCGTTGGCGGCGGTGGTGTGAATAAGGGGAAGATGAAGGCTGAGCAGGCGACTGTTGTTGACAGCGGAGCGGGAGAGGCTGCAAGGGCGATTTAGCAAGAGGGCCCTTTCACTCGTTAGTTCCCACTTCTGGCGTTTGTTTTTTTGTATACTTCTACGTGCTTCTTTTCCGGAGTGTTATTTATGCCTGCTACTACCCTCACATCATTCGTAATCACATAACGACAATGTATATTTTGCATTTCTAAGTGATCTCTTTAGCCTTATCGATACGTAGCTAGCGCAGGTCATAGCGAACATATGTCCACTCCGTCTCATTTAATTGCCCATCACAAGCTCTCTGTTAACGGAAGAAAGCAGGAGATTGTAATTTAACCTCCACTGTACCATTATTCTCCAGGCACCGAGAGCGTGTCAACAACGGTTTTACCCCCAGCATCCGTAAAATGTTCAAAACACCTTACGAGTTCCCGCCAGCCAACCACCCACCACCACCACCACCACCCAGAACTAGAGCCTCAGCTCAAACTTGTCAAGAACATAAGTGATCCCCGCACTTCGTTCCATGTTATTGATTTGTAGCTATAGTGCCGGTACGCCATACCTCGTCCCGTGGCAAGTTCACTTCCTGCCGGACACAGTGATGGTATCATGCCCGGTAATTCGACTATACTCCATGTTAAACGCAAACGGATTAATCACCCAGAGCCGCTAACAGCGTTTCATTTCTTCGCCGCTTGTTTATCAGTCTTCTTATCCTTCCTCGTTCCCTTCAACAGCTCTAGATGCCCGGCCTTTTCAGCCAGCATTCGCTCAGTCTTCCCGGTCAGACCAGAAGTTAATTTCTACACCAGGCAAGCATCCATTAGCTGTGTCCTGTCCGTGGAAATAAAAATTTTTAAGCTACCTTGACCATTTTCTGCTGTTTTATGAGTTTCGCTTTCTTGGGTGCGATTGTCTTTGCGCCTCGCTTTGGGCCCAGGGTCGTCGGTCTATAGGTGGAAGAGCGGTTAGTGGGAGTGAATGATGCAGTGAGTTAGTCGTAGAAGCGCACTTTTTAGCCGGAGCAGCCTTGGTCTTTTTTATTGCACCTTGAGCCATGGTTATATCGGTATTGAAGCGTAGTTATTGTTATTTAGGCTGCTTGAAGAGTCGCTATCGACCTTTTCCTCTTCTGACGTCTTGAAATTTCTAGCCAATAGAATATTTCTTCCGCTTATTAAGTTAACACGTGATATATTTCACAATATATTTTAGTCTCGTGATTGAAAGCTTATGAGTAAGCAATGCATTTCCTAATATAGTAGGTACCAGTCCGTAAAGATATGACTCAGCATCGTACGTGACTATACAAAGATAACAGTTTAAACCAATGATAGTTCTCTATTTCGGTAATAGAAGTACGTTATTTACGTATTTTAATACCGGAACGGTGTTTGCGGCCCGTCCGAAAGCTAATTATTCATCTTTTTGTGCTTTGAACTTAACAAATATTTTATTCGCGACTTCAGAACTTTCGACAAAAGACATCCATGGAGCGCTAACTAGCTAGAGGGTAACGTGGAGAAATAGTCCATCTAACGGGGCCCTGGTACGCCGTACGAACAAACTATGATAAGAGGATCCGTTATTCTTACCCAAGGCACCTCTATCAACTAGGATCTCTTCAGGGGCTTGTTCCGTGCTCCGTCAAGCATCTAGGCCAGCAAGGATTTTTGACATCCCCCACCAGCCGTGGAACGACCTCCGACTATTTCTCGGCTCAATGTCTACAAAGAAAGCAGTGCCACTCTATAAATAAACCGGGAAGTGTGCGAACAAGATATCTCCGAGCAGCCCTGCGTGTCTCGGATCTCTTGTTGAGATTTATACATGCCTATACACGTATTACATAAATAATTACAACAGCAGACGCTCCATATCCCTGCCAGCTAAATTGAACCCATGCAAGGAAGAAGACCTCACCCTGGAGAGAGGCTGCGGTGACTCCTTTCAGGACACTTTCTTGCTGCCTGGCGAACTGGTGGATATTGGTAGCGTCCTCCTGTTGAAAGCTCTATTCGTGGATGACAGTCGCACTTTTTTTATCTCTTCTAAGTTAATACTTACTCGCTCGCTTTTATCTCGAGTGTGTTACTACTACTTTAAACGCTCTCTTGAGGTGACTTCTTCCGAGCGGTTCTTCTCATGCGCTCCGGTTATATAATTTAAAGGGGCAAAATGGCATCGGCGTGGCAGCGAGTCTTGCGCGCGCTCATCATAGCTACCATAATCAGCATCGTTCTCTTTTATTCAGCTCGGCAGTTTGGTCCTGCGCCTGTCAGCAATACGATACATGATCGCCCAGACGATCAGCATAAGCCTTTCCAGCCGCCAGCGCCAAAGCCAGATGAAGAGCCTTCATTGATCTCACTTCCGCCGCTGGGCAAACCAACGCCGGCATCACCGTCAACAGCATCATCAGAAGGTGCTGGAATACTACCGTCCAGCACATCGCCTGTGGCGCCGGTATCGTCATCATCATCCTCCTCGGTGCCTGCTAGCGGAACCATCCCTGGCATCCCTGGCAAAATATGGCAGACCTCCAAACATGCCAATCTCACCAACGAGCAGTCAACCATGACCAACACCTGGCTCGCGAAGAACCCTACTTTCCGCCATGAGCTGCTCACCGACGAGTCAAGTGATGACTATGTGCGCAGCCGTTATGCTGAGCACAAAGATATAGTAGCTCTCTACACCGGACTTACCATCCCTATCATCCGAGCAGATCTTCTACGGTATCTCATCCTCTTGGCCGAAGGGGGCATCTGGGCCGACCTTGACACCACCTGCGATGAGCCCGTGAGTAGCTGGCTACCCGCCGAAACGTACAAGGCGAACAGCACCATCAAGACTGGCCTGGTCGTTGGGCTGGAGCCTGACGCCGACCATGGTGGTAGAAAGGTGTTTACTAGCGGAGTTTTCGCTGCCCAGCCTGGTTCCAAGCACATAAAGGTTATTGTGGACGATATCGTACGTGAACTGTACGATATCGCAAAGCAGAAGAGCGTCGGGCCAGAAGGCATCACGCTCGAGATGATCAGCGACGTCGTCGAGGTGACGGGCCGGAAAAAGATGACAGCAAAGATTATAGAGTCTCTTTCCAAGACTCTTCACAAGGAGATATCGGACACCGATCTCACTAGCGACAGCAAGGAACCGCGATACCTCGACGATGTGGTCGTACTTCCCGTCCCCGCGTTCGCCTCGTATGACGGCAACCCGAAACCCCACGGGGAAGTCCTTGTGACACACCACCACGCGGGAACGTGGAAGAGTGCTGCCGAAGCTGCGAGGAAGAACCGTGAAAAGCAGCTGAAAGAGGAGGCTGATAGGCTGGAAAAGGCAGCCCAGGAGGCAGAGAGGAAGCAAAAGGAAGAAGATGCCGAAAAGAAGAAAGAGGAGGATAGGACGAAGAAGGCCAAGGAGGACGGAGAGAGGCAACGGAAGGAAGACGAAGCGAAGCAGACCAAAGAGGTGCAGGAGAGGAGAGAAAGGGAAGGCAAGCAGCTATAGCCTCGAGCCGGGCGTACCATGGCACCAGTCGTCTCCCTTCCATCCAGCTCCGTACACCCTTTACCTGAAGTTCTACGTGTGTCTCATCTTCTTCGCATGCACAAGAAACCGCAGCTAAGCTGGTTACTGTGTCAATGTCTGCTGCAGGAGCGTATGTTCTGTGCAGAAGGTATATGCGCTACGAAGCACTCTATACATGGCATTGTACTCCGTAACACCACCTCCTGACCCAACATCGTCACTGTCTAACCATGGCTCCATACATCCACCCGCCTCCTGACTTAATATCATCACCGTCTAACCATGGGCCCCATATATACACCACCTCCTTACCCAGCATCGTCACTATGTAGTAACACCCCCTTTGTCATCGTCACATGACGTGCTGAGTCAGATATGAAACACCCGAAGAAACCAAAACATGTAAACAAACATCCAAGGAGCCAACCAAGCAGAAAGCGAGCAAGGAAGAAAAAACAAAAGAGAATCCACGAATTAATAGTTTCGACGGTTCCGCAGGCGAACTAAGACCATCTCCATCCGTTATGAGCTGAGCGCAAGTTTGCCTTCTCCTCTTCTTCATACAATAGAAACCATTCTCACTTTTACCCCTTTTTTACATATATCGAAAGGTTGTCATGTCCCTCGGCTCTCACGAGCTTTTCATCTGACTCTCCCGCTCCGGGCCAATCGGGCGGCTTCTCTGTGTAAGGTAGCTAGTTACCAAGGGAATGGAGACAGGGTCGACTCGCATTATTCATAACAGAGCCGAAGGATGGACAGACGGCCAGAGATAGACTCCTCGAGGTCGAGATACTCTCACCCTCCGTCGACCAGCATCAGCCCCTTCCGCAGCAGATCACCGTCCCTGAGTCCGTCGCCACCGTTCAATACCCAGAACCGCCGGCTACAGCTCCGTAACGCTAGATTCAGGGGAGCGTTGCTTGCTTCGGCGTCTGCGTCTGCGTCTGCACCGTCGTCGAGACAAGTGAGCCCTCCGCAGTCACAGATCGAAACATGGAGGAGTGCGTTGGATGAAATTGAATACGAAGACAAAGAAAGCGCGTACGAGAGAGGGACGGGGTATGAGAGATTTCATACAACTACGTCCAGGCCTCACACCCGGCGGTCAAGCATTCTAAGGGAGTTGGGGAATTCTACCCAGCGACGGAGATCACATACCCCCCGTGTACCGGTGACATCGATATTTCAGACGCAGCCAGACTCGCCTCCATGGTCTGCATCATTTGGCCGGCCAAAAGCTAGTATCGACGACCAGGGCCACGAACCAGAGCCGGACGTTGGCTGGGAGGAGAAGATGCAGTCTACCAGAAAGGCGTCGATTTCATCGCAAAAGAGCGGCACTTTACCCAGTATAAGGCTACCAAAGGGGCGGAACCGAGAGGGCCGTCGTGACGCCTCTCAGTACATCGAGCATCTCGAGAATCAGCTCGCGGCAACACTTCAAGACGCAGAGCTGGCTGACGCAAAAACACACGCTGCTCGGTACAAAGCATTAAACACAGAGTATCGAATTCTAAAGCAAGAGTTGGCTGAGTGGGAAGAAAAGTTTGAAGCTCGTGTGCAAGATGGAGAGGCGGCGATGGCAGAGCGAGAAGCACAGCTGAAGATACGGATACGTGCTCTGGAGCGTGAGGTGGAAGCAAAGGAGAGTAAGATCAAAGAGCTTGAGTGGGAGGTTGAGAAAGAGTCGCAGAACCGACGGACTCTAGAAGCCATCACTGCTACGAATCGCAGTCTGGAGCGTCGAGTCGACGTCTTGACGGAGCTGCTTGCTCAATCACCTGCCAGGGCAGAACTGCCGCAACCGCCGCCGATCACGGTAGCAGATGGCTCCTCTATGGGCAACGGAGAGAATATGTGTCGTACACCTCGACCCAAGTCGATGTTTACCAAGATACCGTTGTCGCCTGTTCGACAGCCCCTTTTCCAACCCACCAGCGAACCCAGCGCTTCTTCCGCGGACCCGTGTAAACGGACTGCAGGTGATGAAGATAGCCGTGCCTTTGAGCTGGCATCTGACTCAGGGTTCGACTCTTGTTCCGGTCCATCACATTCACAACGCACATCCCTCCTATCCAACCAATCTCTTCATGGAGCAGCAGCAGGCCCTGGGTCAGCCACTTCGCTGCCATTATCACCCGAACTACAACTCCAAGGAAAACTACAGTATCGAAAGAGGAAGATGCGTCGCTTCCCTTCTGGTTGCTGCACATTGAAACCTCTCGTCCTGCCTACTGCCTCTGCTGCTCTGTCGCCTTACGCACCGCCTGTGAACCCGTCATCTTCACCCGGTTCGATACAACAGCAGCGGCTGGCACGGTACTTTTCGACATTACGATATTCGAGAGCTGGACCAGGGTATGACGAATCGTTATATGATGATGAGACAGATGGGGATGATACTGACACTGATGCGGCCAGAATAGATGCACTTGCGTCGCTGGAGGGCAATACAGTGCACTACCAGTCCTTTGAAGAGGCGATGGCTGGTCATGACCTGTCACTGGATGACATGGATGAACTGGGCCATAGTTCCTTTGCGGCCAAAAGCCTCTCACCGGGTAGTGAGATGGCAGGTTATGAAGGAGGAACAATCAGACGACGCCGCAATCGCAGTCGCAAGATATCAGCGTTACGCATAGACACTCGTCCAGTTGAACGGATAGTATCATATTCAGCCCGACAAGACGCGTCTCCATCGTTGCTCGAAAAATTACATCTCTACATCCCACAACTACTAGCCAACGCACGAACACTCGCCTGCCGCATCCTTTCCAATGCATGGCATTCCAACTGGCACCGCCTCGGTGGCTTATCATGGTGGTTCCTTGGGTTACTTCTCGGTACGCACACGCGGAATCAATGGTTTAGGCATTCCACATTGCGAAATACAAAATGTCTTGGAGGCTTCAGAGAATCAGAGGCGGAAGAACCGTCAACACCTGCCAGTGTCAACCACCGACCCGGTACCGCGACACAGGCCCTATCGAGATGCACTCCCGCCATACAAGAATGGCTGAAGTTCTCAGTCACGCTCGTTTTAGCTATTGGTCTTGCTGTCCGTGATGGGCCAGGCACGTTGATGTGTCCCTACTCACCGCCAGAAGATGATACCAGGCCAAACGTAGATGCGGTGCCAGAATCCGAAGTCTACCCGCCATCAGGGAGATACCCGTCGATCCGCACCAGCCTATCAGTCCTAAGCCCAAGTGCGCTTCCTAGGGACGAGTTTGATAACAGCCCTGACTGATGCACGTATTCAACGCCCTAATGAGATATGACCTTCTTTTTTGTCTATTTTCCTTTCTTGGCCCCCTCTTTGTACAAATCGAACCCAAGAATCCCCCCCCCCCCACCAGTCTACATGATACATCTTCCGCTGTCTCGTATTGAATACACGATAGTAAACGGATGGACATGGTAGATTTGATTTTTAGACTGGCTCGTACTGGAGCAGATGGTTTCTTGGATAGATAAATAATAAATTCCGTTTACATTGAGCATCCAACCTAGCCAGAAACCAGCCAGCTCAGGAATGGCAATGCTATGGAGCATAGAAGGTAAAAGTCACTGCCAGCCTCGAGAGAAGACAGTGACAAAGGAAAGAAGCAAGCATCAAAAGTAGCTGTCAGAGAAACCGAAATGAGGTGTATTCACAATATGATCCAGGCGTGTTCAGAGCATTGTCGAGGATTGCGTTCAACAGCATATATCACAACAGCACTCGCAGGATTCTCCACAGAGCCAACAGCAGCAAAGAGTCGCGAGACTATTTGGGGAAATGTCAGCCGTTGGTTTTAGAGAGTGCTGCTAAAGAAGGGATGAATATATCTACCAGGTGTAGAGACAGCCTCTATCCTTCTTCTCTTCTACGACAACCTGTGGTGGCGGCTGCTGGTATTGCATCTGCATATACACTGTCAGCCTCTCCGTCCTCTTCCCCGTTTTGCACAGATATCAACTGCTCGTCGAGAAGGTAGTACATACGGGAGCACCCTGGGGAGGGCCTTGAGGAGGATAGCCGCCATTATTATAGCTGTGACAAGGCATTTTTTAGTTAAAGAGATGCGTTTCTTGGCCATGCAGCGAACAGTTATGCAGATGGAATACGAGGAGCCATACCTTTGCTGGGGCTGATTCTGATAGTATCCTGCACTGGACATCTTGATGGTCTTCCCTTTACCTTTGTAGCTGCGCGATCAGGTAGGTTGTATCAAGTGGGAAAAGAAAGGATGCGCTGCTCTGCCAGTCGAAGGTCGCTCGCTACATATATTAGAAGCTGAACCGCCAACGGGCTGAAGGGAGTGCGTAGGACAGGGACTGCCTCTACGCCACATAGTTAAGTCTGCCAATCAATCCACCATCCAACAGCTGAGAGCTGACGTGGCTGATATTTTAATCACTAGCTGTAGAGATACACACTCCGTTTTTCACAGGGATGCCCGAATCACTCACTCTGTCTGCAGCACATACAGGTAGATATTCTACGTTCTCAGCCACGAGTCGCCCATTTATCATGGTATCATTTAGCATCGGGTTCGTTCCGCGACGATACAAGGAGAGATTTACCGCTGTGCCAGAGATTTTGTGGTTCCAGCAATCTCTCAGTATCCGAATGACCCAGCATAGAACTCCCAAGCTTATTTAGAAACAGTGGTATATACACGTCCATCTATTCGCTATTGATTTCGGCGGTGTATGTATTCGGCTTTACAGAACTCCCAGTAGTCAGGATACCATCCCGATTGCCGCCAGTCGATAATCGTGATAATATTAGAAGGAGAATCTTCTCAAATCATGATGTTGCTTGGAAGGAGATCGGCATGTCTGTATCATCTGGCATACTGTTCCGATAAGGATCTGGAATTTCAGAGAGTTCTTTACCTGGCCAATGATGCCGAATACCTGTTTTAATTACTATCGCCATCCAATCGTGAAATTGAGTAACCGAGAGGTGGTTTTGGCTAAAAACGATATCGCCAAGTGGCTCACGGTTGATATGACCTTATAAAAGCACTCTCTATGTATGGAATAATATTCTAGTATAAAAATCAACTTCCGAATCGTCCGCTTCCGGATTAGGCCGCGAATCCCGCCGCTTTTCCTTCCTGCTGACTCACCCGAATGGCCTGGCATCAGCGCCTGAGTCAGAAGTAGTGACGGAGGTTCACTGCGACGGACTGGTCCCATGCGCCCACCGTGACGTCCATGGTTAAGTAGCATTGTTGATTAGGGCATGGATTATGGAGAAGCAGGTAAGAATCTTGGCTGCGATTGGCATGATGCCGCCCTCAATGTCGGTTACGTCGTAGTGAGAGAAGAACATCCATCTACCTATTTATGCCTGAAGTCATTCATACATTAATCCAAGTATTGAAAAGGAAGAAATGGGCTAGAAATAGGCTATCGATACCCTCCCAGTTATCTCCTCCATCTTCCTCTCTTAACCTCCCCCGTAGGCCTTATCTATAGTGTGCTGCCTCTTCTGTACCGTAGTGTACTTAGAATATTTGATGGGTGCAATCATCCTGCCAGAAGGGGGGGGGGGGGTCGATAGTCTGTCTCAATGGGTTAAAGCAATGACATTTAATTGTATTAACTATATAATAACCCCGAAATGATAGTCCTAAAGTGCAGTCTCCCAAACTATACAGTGGCCAATAACTAAAATACAGTTTTCAATCCGTTGAGCCAAAAGGGCAATAAATATCACCAAGCAGCTGGCTTAACCAGTTGTACATTTGACAACATCCATCTATTTTGAAACAGGCACGATAATATCGCAAGGCGAACCATCTTGCTCATCCACCAAGGTGTTGATCTCATACTCGTATCCGTCTTCAGCCTCCCACTCGCACACATCATCTTCATCAATATAGTCGAACTCAATGTCAACGTCCTCTTCCGTGTCCTCGGGAGTTTCACTACCATCTTGCTTGTCTTCGGCCCCGACACCACAGAGAGCCCCGTCAGTGAATTCTTTATGACGAAGGCTTTTAAGCCTATAATAGCACTCTTGGAGACGATATGCGTAAACGAACGGTTTCCTAGGGATCAACTTTAACATCTGTTGGGCCGATTCTTGAAGGCTGGCATGGCCCTCTGCATTCACTATCCCTTGAAGCCCAGAGGCTCCGCCCTCAACTGCAAAGGTTGAGTTAAAACCATTTTGCCTCTCCAACTTTGCGCCCGGATGCGCAATCTTGATCCCCGTCACCATGAACGCCCGCTTTCTTTTTAAGCCCCAACCTTTCAAAGCATTTTTCACCTCGGGAACTTCCATGCTAGCCTTGACATAATCGTTTGTTGGCTCGATGAACTCGACGTCCAGCTTTTTGATATCATTCAAGATATACGAGGCCATCCCCCTTGAGAGGCCGGCACCTAGTTTCGCGCTGGTAAGCTCCAAAGCGCGCAGAAAGAGGCCAGCTTCAGCTGTGCTTTCGCCGTGGTTGCGGAGTGAAAATTCGGTCGAATTGGTGTACATTTTCATCCCTTCATACCCTTCAAATGAGACCGGCCCTTTTGGATTCACGGGCCGGCCTGGATTCTCCGGCTCAGAAATTAACTGTCCTAGTTTAACCGGCCCATCTGGTGGAGGGGGGAAATCGAAGTTTGCAGGGAGGAAATACGTGGCGCGTGGTCCCATAGGCGGCATGTTGATGGTTGTTTGATCGATGTGAACAAAGATATCGACCTTGAGACCTTAAAGTCCCCTAATTTGAAGAGTGAACGTAAGGATAAGAGAATCAGTTTAGGTATAAGCGAATATCAGATGTTTGGAAGGGTATTATGATAGAAATGGCTGTACTCTGCACTGAAGACGATAAAACGAAGGCCTAAGGATAGGATTCTATGGCAGTGGACCGGCTTTTTATGGGTAAAAATAGGGAGTGCTTGCCCTTCCGACGGAATGCCAAATGGAAACTCTTGCATTGACCGTGGGGAGCAATAAACGAGGCCAGGAGCAGCTGCAATGAAACGACATGATGCAGCCTTGATTTCGAAGCTGCATTGCTACTTCATACCAGCAAATCACAGAGACAACCATCCTTTCTTTACGGCGCATCACTCCAGCTGATTGTTTCATTCAATCCCGGGAAGGTTATGGAATCAATGGGGATTCGATGCCTGGAGTCGCCTGGGGCTTGGTCCTGCTCATTCAGTTGCGCCACTTCATGCATGAATATCTCTCAGCCTTGCCTACGCGCCTGTCCTAGCGCTTACTTGCATTGCATATTTAGTCGCCAACCATCCTAGGCGACTAATGCTCTCTTTGCATGACCAACACATCCTCTTCCTTATGCACTGGAACGTGGGTATTCCTTGTGAGAAGAAGGCAGCATAATATCCCAGCTATACCCCTGACAGGAACCGGATGACTTTTTTGTAAGCTAGATGTTTTTTGATAATCGCATAGTTCCTTCAAGTTGCTTTCTCGGGGCAGACTGAGAATTTGACCCTTTTTCTTTCTATCTACCTGTCCTTCATTTTACCGGCAGTAGTCCACTATTCGAAATAAGTTAGATAATTGGTTTTGAGCCCCCAAAGATATCCCTACATGTATGCGCTTTGATCATGGCAACGACGCGCGCAATCAACCAAAAATCAGAGCAAACCGTCACGATGGAAACCCCAAAAATTCCCGGAAGCTCTGAAACAATAGACCACCCAAGCCCGGATAGGTAGGTCGGCTTCCCTTCTCAGCTATGCCTTTGAAGCATCTACTGATACAGTTGCTTCTTTCTAGCGCGAGCGCAGATGCTTGGTCTGGCTTTATGGAGGATTTCCGTCGCCCAATAGATAAACATGCCCGCAGAGCTACTCAAAAAGTGAAAGTGGCTATTCTTGATAGCGGCATCGATATGTCGTACATGGGCATACGTGAAAAAGATAAAAAGAGAATTAAAGGTCGCCAGGATTTTGTTCTTGATAAAGATACCAAGGGTGCGAAAGAGGCCGACACTGCGAAAGATGAAGATCCGAGCCATCATGGAACTCACGTAGCCATCTTGCTGCTGAAATATGCAACACTTGCGGATATCTATGTTGCACGGGTCACAAAGAGCAAAACCTCCGAACTGCGTGCTGAGTGTGTTTCGAAAGTGAGATGACTCTGATCTTTTGCCTTGACAGACATCTTTGCTAATGAAAACAAATAATAGGCCATCGAACATGCGGTCGGTACATGGGGCGTCGATATAATTTCCATGTCCATGAGTTTTAGATCCGAGCATCCTATTGTTGGGAATGCTATCATTGAGGCATCAAAGAAGGAAAAAATCATTTTTGTGGCCGCATGCAACGATGGAGCAAATCTACCAAAGCCTAGCTTCCCAGCGAACATGCCTGAAGTCATATGCATCAATGCAACGGATGGACATGGCAATCTATCAAAGTTCAACCCTCCTCCTAGAAAGGGTTATTACAACTTTGGCACCCTAGGTGAAGCCATATATTTGGGCTCCTCGCAATCGACATCTTCCCAGGGATTTTCGAAGCGGGTTTCTGGAACGTCGTTTGCCACACCCCTCGCTGCTGCAATCGCAGCTAACTTCATTGAATTCCTCCGGCAGAGCCAACACAGGAAGTTCAAGGTCAGCGACGAGTTGAGGAGCCAAGTGAAGACAAAAGACGGGATGTTGAAAATCTTTGCTGTTATCAGTGAGGAGGTTCAGGATTTCCACTACTTGAAGCCCTGGAGCTTACTTGAATGCAACGTGAAACCTGGAGAGACATGCAAAGAGAAATGCAAAGAGAAATGCAAAGGGAAATGCGAGGGGAAATGCAAAGAAAAATGCAAAGAAAAATGCGAAGTGATATACATAGACAAATGCGGCGACGAATGCAAGGAGGCCCGAGAAAAAGCTGCCCGCGAGATCTCTGAAATTTTGAGCAAGCCTCTACGACTACTATCGAACCCGGATACCCCCACCCTAACTCATGTGGGTGCCGCCGACGTAAGGTTTCGTTCTCACGAAGGTAAACCTAGGTGCCTTGCTGGTACTCGGGTTGGAATCCGAAATCAAATCCAGACCTGGGCAAGGAGCTCCACTGAACAATGCATTTGCTGGATCAGTGGGAGGCTTGGAACCGGCAAGTCCACCATCGCTCGTACAATAGCTCTGCAGTATTCTGAACAAGGATACCTTGGAGGTACATTCTTCTTCTCGAAGAATGAGAGAGACCTGAACACGCGGGACAAGTTTGTCAGTACCATCGCTCACCAGCTCACCAAATTATCACCAACTTTGAAGCTTGTCATTTTAAACCAGAAGAGAGACGAGCCTGAAGTGGAACAGTTAGCGATGGGAATGCAGTGGGAGAAACTTATCCACATTCCACTCTCACAGTTAAAATCCAGGGATGACCCGATTATCATAGTTCTCGATGCCGTGGATGAATGCGAGGACCTAGACAAAGTAGCACTTATGGATATCATCGACCTATCAGTTCGCACCGCAGCATTGGAAAATGTCCGGTTACGTTTTATCATCACAAGCAGGCCTGAGACTCATATACATGCCGCCTTCGCAGAATTCCCCCAGGGAGTCCAGCATATTGCGTTAGATGAACTTGACAAATCTACCATAGATCAGGATGTCTCAGAGCTGTTCAAATTCGAGCTTGACAAGCTCAGTAAAGGGAATCGCGGGATCGAAAAAGGCTGGCCCGGCGATGATTCCATAAAAAAGCTCACGGAGAGAGCTAATGGACTATTCATTTATGCTGCGATAGTGTGTCGGTATATTAAAGGACCGGGAGCTGAGTCGGTAAAGAAGCGCCTTACGCAGGTCCTTGAAGACAAGGCTTTTGATACCCTTGATGATATGTACAACCACATTCTAGAACAGGCGGTGGCCGATCCAGAAGAGGAACAGCTCAGAGAGCAATTCCGGGCTATACTTGGGGTTATCGTCTCATTGTTTGAACCAATGCCGCAAAAAAGTCTGCGTCTGTTATGCCCAGAGAATCTGAGGGAGGAGCTAGAGCTCGACGTCGTGTGTCAAAGACTGGGTTCTCTCCGTTCAGTTTTGGCGGTGCCAGAGTCAGGCGAAGGTCCAGTGTACATCTCTCACCAGTCCTTCCGTGAGTTCCTCCTGAGAAAGCGAGAAGGAGGCCGCTTGGCCTGGCTTAATGAGCAAATGCACCAGAATTTATTCACCACATGCCTCAGCCTCCTATCCAGCAGGGACCGGAATGGCCTCAGACGAGATATCTGTTGCATAAAACATCCTGGCTTCGAAATCAGTGAGAGAGACCGAGAGAGAATAGACGGTTCCCTTCTCCCTCACACCCTATACGCTTGTCGGCGATGGGTAGATCATCTCGAGAAAGTTGACCCTTCCCAGCGTTGGGAACTTGGTCTTCGTGACAATCAAAAAGTTCACAATTTCTTACAAGAACATTTACTCCACTGGCTTGAAGTCCTAGGCTTGATTGGGGAAGTCTCTGCCGGTATACACGCCGTTCAATGTTTGGGCAGTATGATAGAGGTAAGTCACACCTTGATATTAGATATTTTCAACAAGGCTCACGATGTTATCAAAGGCGAAGGAATCCTCTAAGCTGTATGCGTTTGTCAAAGACGCCAGACGGTTTATTCTATATAACCGTACAATCATTGAAAAGGCTCCTCTTCAAGTGTATTACTCTGCTCTGGTATTTGCACCACAGCAAAGCCTCGTACGCGAACGATTCGCAAAAGACTTGTCTAACTGGATCAAGAGGTTTCCAACAGTCCAGCCCAAGTGGACGCCTCTTCGCCAGACACTGGGGTCCCTTGCTGGGAGCAACCAGCTGAGCCACTGGCACCGTATGAGAGTGGAATTTTCCGAGGATGGCAAGCTGGTAACCTCTACGCAAGAGCCCACGGATATGAGGCCGGGGAAGGCGGTATTCCGTGTTTGGAACGCGACCACAGGTGCACTTCTCAATACTATGGAATCCCCCAAGGCCATCGCCTTTGCTCCAAAAGAAAGGCTGGCGGCTTCTCTTAATCTTAGAAACGCTGTTGAACTGCGTGATGTGGTAAACGGCCGAAGAATACGGGTGCTTCAAACCCAGCCGCATGAGTCTGAGATCAACCTGGTTGACTTTTCGCCCGACGGCAAGCAAGTGGCTGCTGGGACATGTCGAGGATTGGTCCATCTCTGGGATGTAAAGACCGGGCATCTGCTAAGGACGTTTGTGGGAGGGACAGGCTCAGGTGAAGGGCATCATTTTCATCGCGTCGCCTGCTCCCCAGATAATAAATGGGTAGGGGCTCGCTTCTGGCGTGACACATGCCGTGTTTGGAACGCAGACGACGGCTCGGTTGTGTATAACTCGGGGGAAGTGACCGACATTGTATTCTTACCAGATAGCAAGTTGGCTGTCGTCTTTTTCGGTACAGCACAAGTTCTGGACCTTAAGACGGGCTCAGCTCTGTATACAATTGATGGCTGCTTTAGCATCGTTTTATCCCCGGATGGACAACTGGCGTGTTCTTTGCATGTTAAACGGGACCCAGAAACGTTTGAAGATGTATGCCGACTGTCGCTCAGGGATGCAGCAACAGGAGACGAAACGGGTGTAGGCATACGTCCAAAAAACCCCCGCAGGCTCACAAGGAGCGATTATGCGACCTTCACGCCAAACGGAAAGCTGGTGGCACTATACAATGACCATGCGTCTTACTTGCGACTCCTCGACGTGACCACGGGAGAACTAACGAGGGCCTGCAACGAGGGCGGCCATCATTTCAAGACGGTTGCCTTCTCCCCCGACAGTACGGTGGCAGCATTGGGGTCGGACGATGGGCTTGTTCGACTTTGGGATATACCAACGCCGGCACCTGCCGCTGCGTCTTCTTTTAAGGGTAGGCTAAAGCGACTTTGGAGGCCAATATCAACAGATGCAGTAGACAAGTATTATCCACCGGCCGCCGCCCTCGCATTCTCACCAAATAGAAAGTTGGTGGCATCAGGCGCCTACGGAGGGCCAATAACAATCTGGGATGTCGCAACAGGCACCCGTTTGCGGGAATCTAAGTCGAGTTACGATGTGGGATTTAACTCGATCTCTTGGGAAGATGCTAAGCGACTGGTGGCCTGTGAAGACTACCGCCTGATATTCTTGGATGCTGCGTCCCTTAAGGAGGATCGGAGGATCGGCGGTTGGTCCGACATCAGAGCAATCTCGCCGGATGGTAGGATGGTAGCGGCCCATGTGAGGGACAGCCTGGTGCGCGATTACTTCCTGCGTCTATTTGACTCCGAAACGAGAGAAAAACTGCAGGAACTCACTGGCAGGAGTATCCACAGAGTTCAAGCCGTTGCTTTCTCACCGGACAGCAAGCGTCTGGCGGTAGGGTGCGATAGCGAAGTTGATATCTGGAACATAAAGACTGCAGAAAACATGGAGACTATGACGATGTCGGACACTGTGAGAGAGCGTACGTTTAAAGCCCTCGCCTTCTCCGCGGACGGGGAGAAGCTCCTAACGTTGTTGAAAGGCCCCCAGAGTCACCTCCTCGTTGAAGTGCTGACGGGCAGAAGACTCCGCGAGCTCCAAGACTGCGATATCAAGCAGTTGTTCCCGCGCAACACCAGGGACGGCTACGTATCGACCAACTGCGGGCTGCTGCGTATATCTCCAAGCGATACGACCGCGGCCAACGTCGAACCACTTTTCTTCACCAAGAGCTGGGCGACGTACGATGGATGCAACGTCCTCTGGCTGCCTCATGAATACAGACCTCGTTGTCTGGTTGTCAGCGGTAGTGTCGCCGTGTTTGGACACCAGTCTGGGAAGGTTGATTTTGTAGAATTCGACCTTGCCAAAATGCCCAAAAGAGCGGATATGAGAGCCGCAGTATAATAGACAACCGGCCTTGTTCCCGCTGCGCGTCGCCGCCGTCGACCGGTTGCCCGGACAGCTGCCGGTCGATATCTATCAACGCCTGCTTCCGGCTGAACCCCTCGCACATATTCAGTCTTGCCTTATGCCGCAGACTCTGCCGGATGCTGGTTACCTCCCGCTTCCGCTGGTATAACATAGGGACTTAACGCCGGATCTCACATGTTTTCATACACGACGACCAGCCGCTTATGGACGTCAATGGCTGCCCGGAGCGCCTGTTCCACTAGATCCTTCTCCACGTCTGTGAGGTAGCGCGGCCGGCGTTTGTCGGCCCAACGGCTGGGTACTTCCATTATGTTCATTCTCCTTATTCTATCGCCCTCTTATATTTATACCATGCCTCTCCACCCCTGCATCCCTGCGTTTTTGTCATTCTTGCCGAAACGGAAGCATCATTTCTATACGCAGTCGCGATATTGATGGATTCAACGGTAGTGAATTTTCTTCATCCGAATTGAAGACGACGACAAAAGCGCCTTGCCTCAAAGAAGCCATTATCATTGAGTAATGGTGTGGCATTAACATAGGAAAGAATAAACGAGTGTTAGTGGAGTATGTGTTATATAAAACAATGGTTTTATTGGATAGCCCTCGCCTTTACTGGGGTTCCCAGCCTCTGCGTTCTCACGAACTGCAAGGACATTCAGCCGATTTCGTGCGAATTCACGGAGCTGCATTTTGGTAAAGCAGCCATATTCTCATACTAGAGTTGGAGAGGAATCCAGATATTCATTTGACTCTTAGAGGTATTAAGACATATAAGGGTACTTACCAAGGGAAAAATCATCCAGTGTATGCCGTTCTAAAATTATAACGCGATGCTCACAAATCTCTAGTCAGTCAGTCCGATCTAGAAATTCCTACCGTTGCTCGAGGGTGATGCCCTTTACTAGTAGTTATTATAGGTTTAGTATAACGTACGTAGTAACCCATAACACAGGCCGGAACATCCCATATAATCCCTGAGTTATATACAACACCCTTGACACCCCATTTTACGTCAATGCAATTAAGTAGCTGTATTTAATCACCGCATAGCAATAACAGAGACACGGGATACATCTTCGACTACGGACATAGAAGACACAGACAACATCCATTACTCGCCTTGTTGGGTTAAAGCAGCCTCTGGAACACTTGCTTCCAATAACTAGCCGTGGGAACCAAAAGAGGCGCAGGGAATCAGACGAAGCCTAGATCTCGAGCAGACACTTGACTCTTGACACTGCCCCAAACAGCGAGAAGGGGTTTTGATGGCTGAAGGTGCCGGGAATCTCGTATATGGGACGGCTGGACGGGAGATCCCTTGATTCACGAGAATGGGTCACTCCAGTTGGTGGATAAGACTAACGGCATTCCTTGCCGAGCACCGTAAACACTGTCGCGCACCTGGGTCTGTCTTTACGTACTTACATTGTTGTGGGAAAGAGATGTGCGGCCCCTTGCAGGAGCTGGGCGCTTAAGTATTGGATGCTGAGAACCACACATTTTTTTCTATTTGCTAGTGGCCCAGAGCCAGCGGAGGCCTCCATTCTGGCCAGCGGCAAACCACAAGGGACCATTGGAGAGAGACAGGGCCTTGAAACAGATCGCTTCCATCCATGGAAGGTGAGCCCTGCATGCGTTACTATGTATACACATATGTGCATTAGCTCCTCTATGGGCCACCTTTTTCCTTGATGCAGAATGCATGGCCATGCCCCATAGCGGGCGATGGCCATGTTGGTATATAAATCGCGGTTGGACCTGATGCGAGGGAGAGAAGTACTCTTTAGTTAGATATGCATATATAACCATGGTGTGTTTGGCAGATTACTTCAACGTCGGCTGTTACTTGTCACTGCTAACGCTTCTGCTAGGAGGTATACTATCACGAATATGACCCAAACTCTGCTCCGCAGGTCAGGCTCCCAGATGGATCACAAAAGGAGGTTGTCAAGCCTACCGTATCGATGGCTGCAATATACGAGCCTCCAAGACAGTCGAGTGTAGCATACTGGAAAAGAAGAAGATTCATCATTATTGCAGCAGCTCTGGCGGCGGTCGTCATTGCGGTTGCAGTTACAGTAGGGCTTGTAGTAGGGCTGAGGAACTCCAAGGGGTACGTCTAAACCAGCCACTCTGTCCATTCAAACATGTCATTCTAACCTGCTCACCAGAGCATCCTCTTCTACATTCCCATCCAACCCGACAGGATCCGGATCCCCAGGATATTATAGTGATCCACCATATAACCTGGTGGACGAGGCCTGGGCATACAATGGAACAGCCATCTCGTCCTTGACATACTCCCCCGCAAGGGATCAGGATAGCGCTGCAACCAACTACATCGTATTCTATCAACATTCTAATGGGGAACTCCGACGCTCGACGTGGAATAATTCCCAATGGCATGATTCGCAATTCATCACAAATGATGCCCGCCCCCGCACGCCCCTGAGCTCCTACTGGCGCGGAGAAGGTGATGGTATCAGCTTCAACCTGTTCTACGTCGACAAAAACAAGGTCCTTCAAGAAATCCGCGGAAGTCATTCCAGCAATGATTGGATTAACGGCACATTGGGAGAGTTGGGAATAGCAGTTGATCCGCAATCAGCTATATCCGTCCAGTTTGTTGGCAAATGCCGTGGCGTTGATACAGCTTGGCTTGTATACCACACCGGCAAGGATAACGAGGCGCGAGTGGTTTATTGGAATGCACAGACAGACAGGTGGTCGGCGAAGGAGACCATAGGTGACGTTTCTGCTACGGCAGGATTCTCAGGAGAGGCCAATGACGGCCACTGGAGATTTTACTATGTCTCGAAACGAACTCAACAACTCAATGTGATGGTTTGTCCGGACTGCTGCTCAAATCCTTCCACGAAGTGGGAGCAAAGTAAGATACGCCTCATAGAATGTCGTTGATAAAGATCGAATGCTAATATACTCCTCTTTCCCCCTCTATTATAGATATCAATGGACCCTCTGTGAGCTCTGAGAACGGGGGCATAGCAGTGACTCCTGTCGGAGGCCCGCGCATACTCTTTTACCTCGATGATGACGGGACCGTTCGAGAGTTGAACAATACGGATACTTACCCCCATGAAACCTGGATAGAAGATGCCTCTTCAACGTCGTCTGGCGGAAATCGAGGAACAAGGTATGATACAAACGCCAGCGTTGGACCTGAGGGATCTCGTGTGATAAAAACAATCCCGGGAGGTAGGGTGAGCATGGCGGCGGGTTTCCGGGGTAAAATCCAGCAACTATGGCTCTTTTATCAGTCTAACGGGACTGATATTAGTACTAAGTCCCGAGACGCAGACGCGGCAGGTAAATGGAGCGCTCCCGTAGCTCTCAAAATTTGAGGATAACGAGGTTTCAATGTATTTTTCTGTGTTTCATAGCGTCTTGTAGCGTCGGTCGGTTTTTCATTTGAGGTAATGGGTTCGATGGATATATATAACCTTCTTTGTAACACATATAATCACTCTAAGAGAAAGTCAGCGAATTACTATCCGCGTGAAGCTATCTAGTTATATTCATAATATTAATAGACTCTTAACAAAGGTGTACAAATCGATAGATCAAGGAATACCTACCAACATGGCTTAAATAACATTATAGATAGACATTCTCAAAATAAATATCCAAAGATTAAATAAATACGAATAAGAAATGAAAGGAGCTGTTCCGAATCGTCCCATAGTCATAGCACATTCGTTCAGTAAGGTTCCCATTCTAAGCGTCTCTCCAATAAAAATGATTCAACAGGTAGTCCTCGCCAGACTTTCTTCCCATTAACTTCTTTATAAAACTCGGGCTTGAAGCTTACTTCAGACCAAGACCGTATGAGGTGCCTCCAATAGCAAACTTCTGCTGCTGGCGTGAGATAGTGTTCTCGGAAGGTTTTGACATTATTTTGTGCGATTCGCTTTGCATCATTTTCGTGACTTTCAAGCCACTGGATCTTCTCATGGAGGTCGGACCAGTCCCTCCGTACTTCAACGTAGTTTTGTTCCGGTCCAGAGCTCTTCATTAGAGGAGATTGATGCTGAATCCACTCCAGTGTATGGGAAATGACAACCGAATTGCAGCTTTGAAGATACTTCAAGCGCCCGGAATAGCTGTTTCCTTCCGTTTGGGCAAGGTATTTAAACTCGCAGTGTTCAGGCATTGACCTTAGGTCGTTTTTCATACTATCCTTGTCACGCCAGATGATCGGCTTAACGTCTGCCCACGGCTGTCCATGGGTGACTTCAATAAGCTTGTCACGTACTTCCAAGCCCATTGTGGCGCCTCTCCAGAACAACTTGGGAATTTTCTTCGGCCATGTCCAGGTCTGTTCTTCTTGCTCCGCTTTCGTCTGAACTTCTTGCATTGTTCCAACTTTCGTCTCAGGCCAGGACCAGTATCCAAAATCAGGCATAAGCCACATGTCTTTATCCTGCGGGCGTCGTGCATATCCCCACTGAGCGACCGAATCGACCTTGTCGTCGGTGTTGAAGACAAACTCGATATTCGGGAGAGGATCGGGAGAAGAGACGATTGCGCGATTTAGGGCTTGCAGAGTCGCATATTCTCGAGAATATATAGTTCCATTTCTATGAATAATATAGAGCTAAATAGAATATCACATCAGCTTAAATAGGAGATAATTGTGAGATAGCTGCTGCAGGGAAAATAGAAGCCAAAATAATCCTTCAGTGTATCGAAAAAAAATCCACTTACTTGTTGATTATATATCATAGCACGAATATAACCGTTTTTCGGTGTTATAGAATCGATTTCGTTCCGGCTTATATGACGATAAGTTCTCTCCCGCTTTGCACGGTCAATCTCTTCAAAGAGCCCTGGAAAAGCAGACTGGCAGCGCTGAGTATTGAATATAAGGGTGTTTCCATCTCGCTTGCGGTCCCACTGGCTTCCGGAGCTGCCACCGTGATGTGGGCTGTTTGCTGGAGGTGTTGGTTTGGAATAAATCCGCAGCTGGTACCAGAAAAGTAATACAACCGCTAAAAGGAGTACAGTTGCGATGATGCCTCGCCGGTGCCTTAGGGCCGCAGACATTGAATGAACGTGAGACTGCGAGTCCATTTTTGGTAATTATATGATGAAAAACAATGCCATGAGGAAAAGAGTGACCCTGACCCGTTCACAGGATGAGAGGGAAGAACTTGCAAAGGGGCTTGCATATTTTCCAGGCTGCATTCGATAGTAATTCGAGGGCGCTTAGATCACGTGACTATATCACGTCCGGGGGTGAGAATTCTTTTAGCAGCAAAGAGGGCACTGTATATAGGGATACTTACATAGTTATCTCGAGTATCGATATTACTTCTCTACGGGAGTGATGCGGTCGTTCCGTTGGTGGGTAAATCCACCAACCCGCGCGGGTAAAAATTAGTTACTCTAAAAAAAGACTCCGTGCTTAGTTAAATAGCTCGATCAGATAAAAAGCTGGCGGGCGTAAGGAAGTCAGTTAGCTGTCTTTTCTATACATAGTATACTGGACTAGCCCAGTGTTAGAATGTAATGCTTTACTGGTGGCACGATGTTCAAGAGAATCGCTCCTCACCAGAGACGGTCACAGTTTTGACTTTTGGTCGCGAGAACAACGGCTATTGCATGCCGTCGCGAGAAGAAGTTAGTCAATAGATACTAAATTATGTTATGTTGTTGTCTTGTCTCATGTCATTTCTACAACATAGCCATCGTGGCACCGCTTCCGTATTAACCACAGTGGTAAAACATCACATAGGCAGATGTCCGTATAACGACATATAGATAAGAGGGGAAGAATTTCATCGTGTGTTTTATCCAAGGGCAGAAACAGCACTAAAGTGTTCTCCTGCTGTCTCAAAAGCAAGCTCCCATCATCGTTCTACAGAGTATTACTTCGTTGGTATCACATATGACCCCGTATGCATGCATCCCAGCTAATCCTTACAGAACGAAGAAGCAAAAGGTCACACGCTGAGCCGACAGATCGCATCCGCCGAGATTGTCATCTTCAGCGCTCATCTCCGTCCCAAGACAAGCAGCATCAGTTTGTGGGTGAGCTTTGCAAACCAGCTCTGTACCCCTTGCGCCCTTCCTCAGCCAAGCTCAGTAAGCATTTATGTCAAGCAGCGCAACGCAGGCCGGCGCTTCATAACGAGCGGATACGGGGTAACGCGCAAGGGGTAACCCCAGGCACAGCACAGAAACGAGATAAAGCCAAGTCGACCGGTTAATTACTTACCGCCTCCCAAGTCGTTTCATCTTGTAAGCGTTCATTTAACCTGCGCTGGTGGCCAGAGGGTGTATGCGTACGCATGAACCCGAAATATATACGTACTTACACATACATACAAGTATATGATAGAAGTATATAGAGCATGCATTTGGTAGTTTGTAAATGATATACATAAGAAGAGTGAAACGATAGCTGCCTATCTTGATCAACGGGCTTCTCCATACCGTAAGTATTTCCCGTCGAGTCGACCCGTCCGCGGTACATATACGGCCCCAACGCAGGCACATGAGCGTTGCCAGAGCTGAACCGCGGGGAAGATCCGACAAGTATTGAGCTACTATGGAAGCTGTGCTGTTTGAGATCGGCGAGATCGACGGTGAGCTAAGGCAGTGTTGTTGGATGACGAAATGTAAGGTACATTCACACAGCTGCGCTGGAAGAATGGCAAAAAAGGGGCTTGAAGCCACAAAAGAAAAGCGATGTTAAGGTTATGTCAGCGATAAGCTTATTTTATGCTGTGTTTTGGTTGTGCGACGTTGAAGTTTCGGTGGCGTCGACATGGAAGACCTGGACGAACGCGTTGTGTAGCAACGTCTGACAAAAGCTGTGGGATGATGAACCTTGGGAGATTAGCTCTATAGTCGACGTGGTATCTACAGGGAAGAGAGAAGACGGAGAGAAGATTCGCAAGAGGAAGAAGAGGTTCGGTTGTAGGTATTAATATATACATACATACGAAGATATGAACATCGAAAGGAAAACAGACTTTTTTTAGTCCATCATGAGAAAAAGAGTAAGGAATAGATAAAAAAGGATTAAGAGCAGACAAGCTGCACTAAAATACGAAAAAAAAGACACGCTCCTGGGAACGGGCGAGAGAAGAGAAGGAGGAGAAGGACAAGATGGAAGAAGAAGTAATTATCATCGCACGGTTCATGAGGCTGTTCTTGTATGTCTAATACATGATTCGGCAAGCTTGACAACAAAAGTCGAGGTAATGTTTCTGTTTACAAGGCGAAAGCAGCAGCGATGGCGAGGAGAGCGGCACCGACACCAGCACCGACGCGACCGGCACCGTTGTTGAATGGTGGAGGAGTGACGGATGGAGAAGATGGAGGCACTGGAATGCCGGAACCAGATGGAACTGGGGCTGGGTAGCCACCGGTTGGCTGAGGGGCACCGGGAGTCTGAGATGGTGGGCAGACGGAGGTGGTCAGGGTGATGACGCTGCCAGTTGGCATGGACGAAGGGACGACGATGTGGGTTGCAGGGGCGGTGGGCTGGTTGCCGGTCCAGGTAGGCTTTTCGGTAGGCTTGGCTGGCTCAGATGGCTTAGATGGCTTGGACGGCTTGTGGTGGTTCTCGACACCGAACTGGGTGCTGTACTGGTACTGGCCGGTGCCCTCGACGATGATCTGGATGCCGTAGTGGGTGTGGTCGTTTTCGAGGTCGGTTGGAGGGGTCCAGGAGAAGGAGCCGGTGTTCTCGATAGATTCGGCGATGACGCTAATGGGTCTGACGTTGGTAGAAGGGCCACGGAGTAGAAGGATAGAGACTCTTCCATGGGTGGTTGGCTGCCAGGTGATTGAGAAGGGCTTGCCGACAGGAACCTGCTGGTCGAGGCCGGGGGTCATGATGGGGTTGCCGGAAGGTGGCTGGCTGACATCTGGAGGAGTGACAGCAGAGACGACGGCCGCAAAGGCAGCAACGAGGAGAGTGAACTTCATTTTGTCTTTTTTTTTTGAGTCTTTGTGTTTTGATATCTGGTATCGAGAGGTCGGAGGGTATATAGATGGGTATAGAGTGTGGGAAGTAGATTAATCGTAGGCTATGAGGAGCAAAGCGTCTGAACGAGCGACGAGTCTAAAGAGTGACTGAGTTGGCTGACTGAAGAAGAAGGAGAAGAAGAAGAAAAAAAAAAAGAGGGAAGAGATGGAGATTAAAAGGAAGACGGACGAGGACGAGTTGAAGTATCTAAACGAAAAGGAAAAGGAAGAAAAAAAAGAGGCTGAGCGTGTCAAAAGTCTGCGGACACACCCGCGAGGCTGCCCACTTCTTTCCGGATCAGGTTAAACCCGAGTTAAATGAGATGACCCGCCCTGACAGCCTATCAGAGGCCAGGAAGAACCCTGTACTTGGGATAGAGTGGGGCTCTTACTCCTTGCATAAACTTTCCCAAGGTTGCTCTTTCCGTTTTTAAGTTTTAACACCCCTGCGCTAGTTCATGTCATTACGATACGATACGAAATATATTACACACATATAACTTTCTATTTATATACATCCCACCGAGATATAGATGGAGTAGAGCGATATGAATGTCGAGATAGACATGGATGATATCGACAGGATGGGGACGGAGAAAACGAAGATGGAGAGGTGCAATGGATAAGAAAGGGATAGGTTTTGCATCCATATAAAAGTAGAGAACGCATCGCGTAGTCGCTGCTCCGATTGGACTGCGGCCATCCTTCGCGCCCAGCTTCCGGTTGGTTCCTGGACTTACGCTAGAAGGAGCGCAGCAGGCACGAAAGGATAAATAAAGAAACAAGGGGAGGAGATGGTACTCCATGGTCGCATGGAAGGGTCGTATTTAGTGCCTTAGAGACGGAGTGCTGGCCGTGGACTGTGCGACCGCTCTCTCTATAGGACGGAGCTTTTCCCACGCTCAGTTCGTATAGGAGAAGAAACAAGAGTCTAGAGTGTGACGGCTAAAAAGGGCCGAAGGATGAGATTTTCGAGTTGAGATTTACACCGACCATGCTCCCTTTTCCGTTACGTCGGACGGTGTCCATCCAGAGGATTCTATATGGATATACATGTAGCAAGCCGGCGCCTGGTACATGGATGTAGATGGAAGCGCCAGTGAGTCATTTGGTCCTTGTCCATCTCCCGGTATATTACTACTTAGCATGTAAAAACATATGCAGATATATCGTTGATGCTTGGATGAGGCAATGCCCAGCGTGGAGGCCCGATGCATGAAGCTCCGATGCATGCATGAATGGTTACATGGCATAATAGCATGGCATATAAGAGCTCGATAGTTGACAGCAAAATGACATGGGACAGCCGGTCATGCGAACACTCTGCCCCCTGTACAATAGCATGCGAGATAACCGTTCTCTCTCTCTCTGGCCTGCGTTTATTTTATTTCCTCTGGTTCATGTTGGTTGCTAAGCCTGTAGTTGACGTAAAAAAATACTCTGCGCCGCATTAAGGAGACCCTTGCGAGACATTAGTTTTTATAGCCGCTCAAGGAAGAGAGAAAAAGGACTCTCTTTTCTTTTTATGAGCTATAACATACGTAGACTCCAGCAAACCCAGAGTTGAGGTTTTTAATTAACGGCCAAGCCAACAGCTTGGGCACGTTGAGTTCCCTTCTTTGCTTTTTTATTTCCATGATGCATGGCCCTGTCTATAGCGTTTCCCTCTATACATATACAGAAGTGCCCGCCCTTCGATTGACTTGATCAGGCAAGGCCGAGTCGAAGCGGGACAGCAGAAAGAAGAAAAGAAAGGGAAAAGAGCCCACCGGGTCTGTCTGAGGCTCAAGGAACAAGCCTGTCACCGTCCGTACATAGACATCTATCGGAGCTTGGGAAAAGGGGGCGTCCGTCGATGGAGATGAGAGCATGAGGAACTTTGCCAATCAGATGGTTACATTGCATCATGATCGAAAGCCGTGCGGGTACAAAGAAGCCTGTATGGGTGTGCGCTCAGGCTCGATGCATCAACGATAATAATAATAGAAGCCGTTGTTATTATATGACTGGAGAGAGAGATGTCTGTGGCCGGATGGGGTGGCCGGCAACGACTGAGGCTGAAGCCTGCTGGGACGAGTTTCCCCCCCGTTGAACAGAAAATCTCTGCTCACGCACACACTCGCTCGCTCTCCCCGTTTTGGCCTTGTTATTTTTGGCACATACACGGAAGCAGATATCCGGATGGCTTCAGGGCATGTCGTGAGCCGGTGGGAATGTCTCTGCGAACGAACGGGGCAAACGAACAGGTTCGGCCAACTCTGATTTCTCTTGCTGGTCTAGAGGAACAACAGCATATTAAACTGTCTAGCTGGAAGGTCTCTTACCACTAGACGATAATATGTGAAATGGCTGCTGCTTCATACCGAGAGATGAAACGCATAGCCTAAGCCAGGTCATATTTTTTCTTTTCTTGAAGCCGTCGAGGAGAAGAGCGTTTTATATATCGCCAGAAACCTCGCTTCTAAGCCTCGCGACTTGACCTGCCTTATTTATATTTATAGCTGAATCTGCTTAGCTAGCGATACGAACCACGAGCTGCGATGTTTCAAAGGCCTCTTTCGTTTGAGTTGCGAGAAGCAGCCACAGGAGCTTCTTCTCTCTAAAACACGAACCGAGAAGGGCCCTACGGCAGCCAGCTCCACTGAAACCAGTGCGAAGATATCCATCTTTAGTCAACGGTTCCGCACTTTTGTCTGAGCCCTTTGAATATAATTTATCCGGAGAACGCCTCGTTCTTCTGGTTTTTGATCTTTATAAAGAGACGGCAGCACGGTTAACGACAAAGTTACACCTCCATATACCTAAAACCATGAAGCTGCTCTATCAGACTCACTCGCCCCATGCCAGAAAGGCACTGGTGTTTGCTCATGAAGCAGGCATCGCCGCAGACATCGAAGTGATACATCAGGAAACAAGCCCGATGCGGCGTAACCCAAGAGTGTATACGCAGGAGAACCCTCTAGGCAAGGTACCAGTGCTACTTCGTCCAAACCTGCCTCCTATCTTCGACTCAAATATCATCTCGATACCCTCCACGCTGGAACCCCATTGATTCCAGCACAGGGCGAGGCGAGGTGGTAGGCTCTGCGCATCCAGGCCGTCGCGCAGGGGCTGGCGGACGTCGGTATCGCGGTTCGCTGGGAAAACACACGGCGACCTGAAGCGCTGCGCTACCCCAAACTAAGCTGTTGTCTGTCTCAGAAGCTGGTTGAGAGCTTCGACTGGTTGGAGAAAGAGCTGGATGTGCAGGGGCCTGTACATGTTGGACACATTGCTCTTGCGACGGCCCTGAGCTGGCTGGAGTTTCGAGACATACTGTTGTTGTGTGATTTTCGAGAGGGCCGGCCGCGTCTGGCTGCTTGGTACGAGGCCTTTGAGGCCAGGCCTTCGATGCTGGCAACACTGTTGTCGGGGAAGACCCACGACTGACCTGTATCGACCGATCGTGCAATGTATTGATTGGATCCAGTGTACACCAGTCCGCCATTTATAAATTCTGTGCGAGAGCCATCGTTATATCTAACACTTTTCGACGACTTCGTAGTTGAGCGACTTTGTGCCTCGAAAACCTGGAACTTGCAACCAAGTTTGAAATACATGGACGGCATCCCTAGCTTTGACGGTTGGCCATGGTAGCTGCCAGCCACGCACCGTATATATCGGTCGATGTAACAGTTGAGCAGGCCAAATATATCTTCTTGAGTAAGTCTCTTCAAGTCGAGTTTGAAATAATAGTCGTTCGCATTATATCGTGCTCCATCTGCGAATCTGACCGATCTCAGGGCACTTCCTTGGTCATCGTCAGGGTAATTGAATAATGGGCCGATAGGTCAAGTCAAGGCCGGTTTATATAAAGTCAAGGGGCGATTCTCGTATGTACGCATTAGAAGTCCGTATACTATGTAAGAAGAGAGAGAGAGAGCAGCCAGTACCTGTTACTTAGCTCTCTTAGCTAGATATCTGACAAGGTCGGCCTCACACATAGCTGAGGTACTGGGATGTTGACTGGAGATGAGAATCAGACAGCGATGGATGCGAACAGAAATGCGAATGGATGATGATTTCAAAGACTCTATCGTACATAAACGGCAACACAAAGCCAAATAATAGGACCAGATAATGGTTTCTATGTATAGCAAAGGGCGAAGGAAGGGAATAATCCTCGTATAAAAGGAGAGACAAGCCCTCAGCAAAGCCGCATATCCCCTTCAACCGCGAATTCTCCACAAGGGAAGAATGAATCGAAAAAGAGCAAGACAAAAAATGTATCAAAAGCCCGCCCGATTATTCCTTAAATGTTCATTTTTCTGAGATGCCCATGTTGCCCTGGAAAGGCGCCTGAGCATCGTTCACGGTGATGGTAATAGCAGCGATATCGGTTTCATCACGAAGTTCGCCACTGACCCACGGCTGGCAGCTCAAGTTTGTCGTCTGATCATGTCGTTGCCTGTCAAGACGTTAAGATGGACAGTCTTATTCGTTTGCCTCGACGGAAGCACATGAAGAGCAAGTAACCTTGAGTCTTGTGACGTCGATGCGATTACCTTCTCTTCTTCTTCTAGGTACATTCTACTCGACGCAGGTTCCGTCACATCGCTTCCACCGGTCTAGGTTAAGCATAACACATGATGCTGCAGCGATGGCGACGTGGATCCAACGGGGCGTCGATTGCTCTGTACATTAAGCCGCCATCCCGTCGACGATCAGTGGAAGTTGTGACCTCGACAGTTGGGGGATCGATTATCAGATCAAAGGATACATGGTACATGGTACATAATATACTAAAGGTGCTCACGAAGGGTGACGCTTGGCCCGTTGAATCCAGACAGACTCGGACGTCTGAAGGGCGCGTGACGCCCTGCATTCAGACGAGAAAAAGTCTGTCCGAGAAAGACAAAGACGAGAGTTGACCAAGAGAGTGTGTGCGCGAGAAAGAGAGAGAGAGAGAGAGAGAGCAGAGAAACAAAAAGGGAAGAAGGCATGGATGAACAAACAGGACAGGGTTTCATGTGAATCTGGCCCATAGCTATGCCAACCCTTGCCTTCCATTAACCCCCGGAGATGAGGTGACAGGATATTTTACGGTGATTGAATAAGATATCCAGACGAAGAAATGGCTATTATGGTTTATGTGATGGCTACTTGATGGCTGCTGGGAGGGGCTGGTTGCTGCCATGATATCAAAACCCGGATTCAACAACCTCTGTCGACCAAAATCCGGGGAAAAGCCAACCACAGAGAACCACAGAGATGTACCATCTGCTCTCCCCATGGAAATGGCCTCGTGCCACCCTTCGGCCGTCCGATATAATGGTCGATGACCCGGTTTTCCTTCTCCACAGGGCCAATAAGGACCGCCCAGATGCTAGTTGATCTGCGGCCACCGCAATGTGATATCCATCGATTATGATGATATCCAGACTGCCCCTGGCCCACGCTGGATCTGACATCGCACACACGACTGGCTGGCCATCTTCAGCACTATGGAGATGAATTTGTTTTGCCTTCTTTTGGGCATTGCCGATCGCTCTTGCTCGTGAAACGTGGGCCATGGTTGAGAACTCAGACCCCAGGCGGGAAGGCATAAGAAGGCCTTCATCTCGCCAATCAAGCCGGAAGAGGCTTCGACATCCATCCAACATCCAGGGCTTTTTCAACACATAAAGCCTACAGGTATATATACGCACATTCATACGTTTTAATTCCCTGTATATATATACCGGCCAAAGATGAGATTCGGATATCTCTTCGGGCTGTCACTGATTAGCCTCAGTGTTGCCTCCCCCGTTTCCACCGTTTGGTGAGTCTCTTTCCCCTGAATTTTTATCCTCTCTCGTTTTTCACCTTGCTGACCTTTTGAACACAGGAAATCACCTCGGGCTACAGCTCAGGATTTCATCCGTGGAGTTAACATCGGTGGTTGGCTTGTTTTGGAACCATGGATTACTCCATCTATCTTCGAAGAAGGGGGTGATTCTGCTGTGGATGAATGGACTCTGAGCCAGGCGCTGGGTGAACGTGCACATGATCGCCTCAAGCTACATTGGAATACCTATATCGACCAGAATGACTTCAATCGCATCCGTGATGTCGGACTTACTCACGTTCGCATTCCGATCGGATACTGGGCCGTTGCTCCTATCCAAGGAGAGCCCTTTGTCCAGGGTCAGGTGGACATGTTGGATGCTGCCATTGACTGGGCCAGACACTCCGGACTCAAGGTCATGATTGACCTCCATGGTGGTACGTATACGCAATGCCCTCCGTATAACATATATAGCTATAGGCATCTTGATATACTAACTGATATTAAGCCCCCGGATCTCAAAATGGGTTCGATAACAGCGGCAGACTGGGCCCGGCCAACTGGCAAAAAGGTGACACCGTCGATGCCACGTTGAAGGCCCTCGATTTCCTCATCCAACGATACAGCCATCAAGAAGGTGTGGTCCACAGCATTGGCCTCATCAATGAACCCTTCCCCCAGGCCGGTATCCAAGTTGAGCCACTCAAGGAATTCTACCAAAAGGGAGCTGACAAGGTCAAGAGCTCCAATCCAAATCTCGCCGTTGTCATCTCAGACGCCTTTATGGGCCCATCTAAGTGGAATGGCTACGATCTAGGTGCTAAGACCATCATCGATACTCACCATTACGAGGTCTTCTCTCCCGAACTCGTCGCCTGGACCGTTGACCAGCACGTCAAAGCTGCATGTGACTTTGGCACAAATGAACTCACTCCATCCTCCCTCTCCCCAATCGTTGGTGAGTGGTGTGGTGCCATGACCGACTGCGCCAAATACCTCAACGGCCGCCACGAGGGTGCCAGATACGACGGCTCACACAAGGACTCCAACCACGACACTGCCGTCCCCAACGGCTGCGTTGGCAAATCTGAGGGCTCTATCTCCGGTTTCTCCGATGAAGAAAAGGCCAACACCCGACGATATATCGAAGCTCAGCTTGATTCTTTCTCTCGTGGAGTCGGGTTCTTCTGGTGGACCTGGAAGACTGAGAGAGGGGCTCCAGGCTGGGACTTGGATGATTTGATTAAGAATGGAGTCTTCCCTAATCCTATTGATACTAGGACCTATCCTGGCCAGTGCCATTAGACTATTTTCGGCGTAGGGAGACACAGGCGACTTTGATTCGTTATTATTAACACTTCTTAGTATAGGATAGGTTTAGCATTGGATAGCATTGCATTATGTCTATATCCCCACACTTTGTATACAGTAATTAAATCACTATAGACAAACAGTACATCAATCATGATATCTCTTATTCCACCAGAACTATGCTATATTTTAGTATTTGAAAGCATGAATTCTTCCCCCTGGGTAGGTAATGCTCATTTTACTTTTTCTTTTATCTCAGGTATTCGTAAGCCCCAAGAAGGAAAGCAAAAATAAGGAGGGAAAAGGGGGAAAAGAAACAGGAATAATGGTGGAGGTGGTGGGTCGTGCCAACTAAACTACCTGCCCTCCTACATAATCCCCAACTGTCCAAATCCATTAACAACCTCCCCGTCAACATTAACCAGCCACTCATCTCTAAACCGGTCTGCGCCTCCGCAAACCTGTACCAAAGCCTGAAGATGTTGTCCGACGAACTCTCGCAGATTAACCTTGTGAATTGCGTCCGAGGAACTCCAGGCCCGTCGACGAGTGGTCTCAGGGGTTTCAGTGTCATCATACTTCTCGCCATGATTTTCGCTCGATGCGAAAACCAGATAATCTCCATGCCGGGCATCGCCGAGATTCACTTCTGGGCCATCTGATAATTCGGTAATCACGTCGGTCCAGATGGTTAGGTAGGATTGTAAGTTGTTGAGGAGATATGTTGGAGCAGGGGATGAAGGGCCGTTGACTGTTAGTAAGTGGGTGAGAGCCATGGTATGTAGTTTCTTCTTGTTGATGTCTCCGATGTTATCGAAGTGCGCAAACCATTCGCTGAGAATCCAGGTGAATGTCTGTTCTTCAGATGATGTGCTAATCGCAGATGTTACTGCCGATATACAGTTGCGGGGTGAAGCAAGGGCAAGACGTGCAAGGACTGATAGGTGGTCCGTTTCAGCCACGCCGTAAATAGTGGCTTGTTTCCTGTTAGGTCCCGTCGTCTGGCGGGACTCGTGCGCTCCATAGAGAGCGGAGAGGAGAGTTTCCATGAAGCCACTGCTTAAAAGAGACTTGGCGATGGCGCCGTATACGTTATCACTGTTTTCTTCAGAAGCAGATTCACCCGTTCGTATGAGCAACTCTGCAAGGTGGGGTACCAAACCGATGCGAGGAGTGACGTCTGGGCTGAGAAGACTGCTGAAGATATCAAAGAGGCGGAAGCGGACATTTTCGTCAAGAAATTCTCTGGGCGCGAGGAGGAGGTAAGATTCAGTGACCTCCAGAGCCTGCCGAACCACGTCGCTGCCGATAGCGAAAATGGGGAATATTGACGGGAACAAGGCAAGGATTTCAGGAGATGCTGGGTTTGGGGTTTCAGATAAGACAGCTGCCCATAGATCTAAGGATTCTTCAAGGAGATAAATGAGGGATTCCTAGGGTTCATGTTAACACTTATTGCGGTAGCTGGGGAGTCTCAAAGAGCATACTGAGCCAGGTTCAATTGACTGTTGGATAAGGGGTAATATCATGGAGTGGTATCTGGTTGAGTTCTCCCTCATTGAGTGGATTAGAGAAGAAAGAAGGGTTAGTATTGCTTGCTTCATCAAGTGTTCATCACCAGACTGCTCCCACAATCCCGGTAACAAGGATACGATCTGGTCGGCAAAAGGTGATATCTATGAAGAGTAAGCATGGTATTCACTCGGAAGGCCTAGAGAAGAACTTACGTGACGTTCCATCTTCACCACCGCAACCCTGACGGTCTCAAGTAGTGCCATTTTGGTCTCTACAAGAGAAGCTTCCTGGATAAGTTGCATGAGACTTTGTAGAATGGATGTTGAAAACGGTTGAAACTGTTCAGCAGAAAACTCAAACGGATCCAGAACCTGCCTTAACCGGCGACCAGCAGTCACACGAACGACTTGGTCGTTTATGGGGTCATTTTTATCCAAGAGATGTTGGAAGATACCGTATACCGATGCCTTGTCGATCTCATTTGGTTTCACAGGGACCCATTGGCCTAATATGACAGAAATTCTTCGCCGAAGAATATTGTAGCCAGGTTCTGGAATTTGGATTTCTGGTACGAGAGTAGATACTAGAAAGGAGTTGAAGTCTAGACGATTCTCCAAACATGCGGCCGCAAGACCAACGGCGGAGTAAAGCGAGTCCTTTAATAGGATATCTTTGTTCTGCGGGCCTATTCCACCATTAGCTCACATATAGATTATTGTTCGACGGGTTCCACTCACTGGCGTAATTGTAGAACACATTCAATAGCTTTGGTATGAGCAGCTCTTTGAAATTTATCACAAGGTCCAGGAACAGTTTCTCGGCACAAGACCGAATTGAAAACTCCCAGGCCTCAGTGATCTCTTCCTCTTGCTTTTCCCACTCCTCAGGTTCTTCTTCCCATTCTCGGAGGTCACTGGCTCTAAACACGAAAAAGCGGGTAACAAGAAGCTCCATGACTTGTACCACAAACTCTTCACTGAAGATCTCGGATTTCATCAAACCAACACATTGATTCTTCTCTTCTTTTGCCTGCTGATTTTGGTATTTGAAGGTGTTTGTGGGATAGAACGCAATCTTTGCACAGGCTCGGAGAAGTAAGAGGGCCTTGAGGCCGAGTCTTTCTAGAAGAGGCTTCTCCTCATCATCCGCATCACCACCCGTCCCAACTTTGAGTTGAGAGAAGTCTGTTGAGCCGTACGTCTTGCCTAGCTCAACCACCAAGCCCCAGTAAGATTTCACCATATCAACAGATTGAGGAAGCAGTCCAAACGCCGGGGGGTGAGATCTGGCCATTTCCAAATGTAGCTTGGAGAGCTGTATGACATGTTTTCCGATCAACTTTTCAACCTCCGTAGGGAAAGCAGATGGCTGTCTCTGCACTAAGGAGTAGAAATTGCCGAGATGGGTTAGCGAGAGAGCCCAAAATTCTGAGATATCAGTCTCCCTGTTTGGATGCTCGAAACCAGAAATTATCAGTCGTCTAATGACTTTGAGAGACATTAGGCTCTGTTCAACTGCCTCCAGGGCACCGCCTTCATCATCCCCACCGGATTCCAAAAAAGTACCCCATTTCTGTACCTTCTCTACGTATATGCTTGCAATAACGTGAAACAATTCCGGAGCCACTGATCGGAGTCCTCTTCGTGTTTTCTCTAGCCGCCCGGTAGAGAGTTCCTTGATAACCTGCAGGAGAATAAGGAGAGTACGCGAGAGTTGAACTGGATTAGCACCAGGTTGAATAGACGCGCGGAGATGTCCTAATATCTCAGAGATAGCTTCAGGCCTGCAATGGATTGTTAGAAGTGTCTTTTCATTTAAAGTAGACGGAGGACTAACCATTCAAGTGGGAATTCTGCCCGTAATATTTTAGCCACAATCAACGCATTCTGTAAGGCAAGTTGAGGTGCAGGCTCAACAACTCCAGCCTCTATTGCTCTCCTCTTGATCCTATTTTTCTCTTCTGCTTTTATGGCACTGCACGGGTCAGCTGTCATTTGCTTAAGCGGAAGAGCCTTAATGGCCAGAACATACTTGTCTGCTGTTTTCCGCCAGTACTTGTCTATGCCGTTCTTTAATTGTATAATTGAAAGGTATCGAACTTCGAATGGAAGGGAATAGTCGGTAAACACATCCTATCAAGATGAACGACAGCCGTTAGCCAGATACTGCTCTTAACGCAAGGGGTAAAGAAACCGAAAGTACTTGTAGAAGCGAGTGACAGCCCGGTTGTTTCCCCCAAGCCTGAAGCTGTGCCGTTCCGCTCCGAAGCTGCTGTTGTGAAGAAGAGGCCGCCGATGTCAAGGCATGTATAACGTTTTGGAGGGTCAGCGGGTTAGCTTCCCCTGGTACCTCGATAGCTACTTGCATGATGCGGCCAAAACGGAGAAGAAACACCCAGTGAGAAGAGAAAGACTTGCAGTTCCCAGAGATAGCAGAGAGTTCATATCAGGATGCCTCTCTGGAACGGTTGAAGTGACGTTGAATATCTTGATGCGGCAGAGAGCTTTTGATAAATATAAACCCCACCAACGTCGATAAAACTAAACTTTTGGGCATATTCAAACTAGAACTAGATATTTCATCGTGCAGAGTTGTGGGGGAAGCACAACGCAGTTCAATTAGGAGCCTCAGGACAGAAGCAAGAAGATGTAAGGGGATAGTTGTTATAGTATAAGTTATATTAATATATGGGAAAAGAGTTGAGAGGTTGAGGTTCTTTTTGAGTTAAATGAAAGTTTTGTACATTTATGCATAAAACCACAGCTTCTCTTCCATATCACAGCAGCAAGGCAGCAAAACATATATGGATGATATCAACGTAGACAACTCATATATCCTTCTTCGACAATGAATCTTTCCACATAAATATTGTTTAGAGAAAATATAAAAAAATAAAGATGACCATACAAACCTTGGAATGTGATGTATCACGTGACAAAAGAACCTCGGCATAAAATTAAGCCTGGAGAAGAGAAGAAGCGAAGCAAAAAGACGGCCTTTGGCTCTCGACTCAGGATCAAGCTCAATAGCTGTCCAAAGGAATCGCCAGGTCAAAGATGCTCCCGCGATGACTTCTGCAAACTTCGCTGCAGCACAAGAACGTGTTTTGGAACGGCGCCGCCAACGCGAACTGGAAGCTCGAAATCGGCTCTCAAGCAGAACATCGCGACTCCCGCCTGCAGTTAGCAACCTCCCATACCCTCTGTCCAATATTTCTACTCGCGGATTGGCATTATGGGATGTTCTAAGAGGCAGGGAAGGGACTAGACCAGCGTTCCGGGTGGGACAAGTTGACGCAGAGTTGCTGGATGAAGAACTTATTACCTTGCTCAAAGGGCAGATGGGAGAAGGATTGAAATACTTTGGTGTAAGCATTACCTCACAAGCAGCGTGTTTATTAGGACTAACGGGCTGTTGATAGCGTCACATACGGGATGACTGGAACCACGAGATTGACCTGGTACTTCGCGCGATCCTCTTCAAGCTGTCGGTATGGGACCATAACGCATCCTACGGAGCAGCACTTCAGAATCTGAAGTATACGGATAGTAGGAGCAAGGGCCCTGTTCATTCAGATCCCACCAGGTTTCAGAAGTCCCTATACGGGCTGCTGACAGTTGGTGGCCGTTATGCGTGGGATAAATGGGAGAGCTGGATAATCAACCAGGGAGGTGATTATGATGAAGTAGGTTTCCATATCTACATATTCTTAATATGTTATTGCATAGGGACCATACCTAACTGGCTAACCTCTACCAAAAAAAAAAAAAATTATAGCCACCTTCATCTAATACGCGAGCTCTATCCAAACTCACCTCGCTCATCTCCACCGCCCACTCGATGGCTGCGTTCGCATCCTTCCTCATATTCCTTGTCAATGGCCGATACAGAACGCTGGTCGACCGACTCTTATGTATGCGACTAACCCCGCCATCGATGCAGGTTAGTCGTGAGGTGTCATTTGAGTATCTAAACCGACAGCTGGTCTGGCATGCCTTTACAGAATTCCTCCTCTTCCTCTTACCCCTTGTTGGAATTGGGCGATGGCGTCGATGGGTATCTCGAGCCTGGAGAAAGACCATGTCCTCGCTCCGAGCTACAGACGAAGAGAGCAGGGAGAAGAACAAGGGTGAACTTGGCTTCCTGCCAGAGCGGACGTGCCCCATATGCTACCAGGCGCAGAACCCTACCACCACCTCGGAGAGCGATGTAATGGGCCCTGGAGCAGCGTCAGGCGGTATCATTGGCTCAGCACAGACCGATATCACGAATCCTTATGAAACCGTCCCATGTCGATGTTTATACTGCTTCACATGCATTGCGCAGAAGCTTGAGGGGGAAGATGGAGAGGCATGGGCTTGTTTGCGGTGCGGCGAGCTTGTCAAACAGTGTGGGCCGTGGAATGGAGATGTGCTTGAAGAAACTCCCCCACAACCACAGCCTGCTGCTGTCCGAAAGAACGTCGAGTTTGCCGTGGCTGAGAACCATGTTGACTCCGACACTGTCGACACGGACTCGGTGGCTCACGTTGACATTGATGATGGAATGAATGAGACCAGCCCATGGGCCGCCGTGGGCGTGGAGGAAACTGACGACACGAGCGTCCATACTGAGCTGGACTACCAGAAGTAACATTTTATCATATTATCTGCCGACTTCTCCGTTATTTAGTTACATATATTTTGCAATATCGATACCACCGGCTATTCCTTGACCTCAGTGCTCGTTCCATATTACCCCGGATTCCCGAGAACTGCAGTGTTCTTCATGTATACACACATGCGTTTCTGTTTCTAATATATTCCATACTTACATACCAATGCATCTATCATCGTATTCAATATATTGTTTATTGCCCGTCCAATAAGACTTCTCAGCGCGCCCTGCGATGGCCAGCATCTCTCTCCGTGACTCCGAAAGGGCTTAACTACCACAAATAAGTACCAGCCTGCGGGTTTACGCCCTGGAAGTACTTCTCGTTCACCAAAAGACCACCCATGGGTCTGTCAACCACGAATCAGAGACCCGGTTCATCCTGGGCTTATAAAGGTGTTTTATTTATTTGCCCGCCAAATGAACCTTTAGCGCGCACTGCGACGGCCACTATCCCTCTCCGGGACCAAGGGGCTTGCTGGAAGCCTGGCGCCCTGGGCATACATAGTACATTGTTTTATCTCGATATATAAGAGCCATCTTCGACCGCGAATCAGAAACCGCCTTATATCCTGGGCCTGGATGGGGCTGCTGTTTTGATCTGCAGGATCCCAAGGGTTTTCGCCAGCCAGGCTGCAAGATATTCTTTACCTCGAGGTAGTTTGCTTGAGGACGGAGATCTAGACAGCCGTCTCGCCGGCCATCGTTGTATAGCAAGCAAAACAACGTCATTCTAGGACGTCATATTTGAAGGCTATCCAGTTTTCCTCTTGTTTTGGAGGCGAATTCCTTTCCATAAGCAAAGCTTCAAGTCACTGCTTTATAAAGTAAAGGCCTGGTACCAGGAGTTGGGTGCTCCTTCAAGTATCTTCACACCCTTGGGATATCTCTTCGGCTCTCGGACGTACTAGAGTACATTTACAAATTTGACATAAAACTCCTCAAAGGATTTAATCCCCAACTCGACATCTCTAATCATGCCGGACGTTTCAAGCTGCGTTCGAACGGCGCAAGTGGTCGGGCTGACTGCATCTGGGATGATGGCTGGTAAGATACATTTACACCTGGCATAAGCAGCCTTTTTTCTTTTCTGAGGAAGAGACAGGGAGAGAAAAGGATTGAGGAAAAGAGAAAAAAAAAGAAAACAACTACTGACATTTTTCAACTAGGAGCGATTATCAGCTACTCTACCGTGCTGATACCCTCGATCACTCTCCCTGCCGGCTCCGGACCAGCCAGCTACGACTCCAACCACAAGCCTGGCACTCCCATCTCGCACATTGCTACCCAATGGCGCCACGCCTACAACATCGGCAAGAGCTCGATGCCTTTCTGTGCGATTGGAGCGGGCTCTGCCTACGCCTATCTGGCCTACGTGTTCCGCCACGAAACGACTCTTCGTGTAGCCGACGTGAGGACCTCGAACTGGTATCTGCTTGCCTCCGGGCTGGTGATGTCTATTATCCCGTACACGCTGATGGTGATGAGCCCGACGAACAACAGCCTGCTTTCCCGTGCCGAGGTGACGGATGCGGAGGCCATGACGGGTGTGTCCAAGGCGAAGGAGGCGGCCAGCAGGGCCAGCGACTCCAAGGCGACCAGGGAAGACGTCGAGGTGTTGAACTGGCTCAAGGGTTGGGCCGAGTTGAATGTTGTCAGGGGCCTGTTCCCCCTGGCAGCAACGCTCTCTGCACTCTATGCAACTCTATACTAGGTCTTCCGTCCGCTGCCCTCCCTCCCTCCCCATGTAACTATATAATATAAGAATAATACCAGATACATGGCATTAACTATATACAAGTAATATAGCCAGGGCTTTCGCCTTGCAGGAAGTTTTTTTTCGTATTATTCCCTCTCAGTGCAACTTTGCAGTCCTTGTTTTAAGTCTTTTCTTCTTCTCACCTTGATTTTTTTCTTTTCTTTGCTTTTCTTCCTTTTTGGCATCTTTTCTGAATGACGTCGTGCATGGTCATGTGATGGTTCTTCTGGCCAAAGAAGAAAAAAAAAAACAATACATGGTAGGAAAAAAGAATTAAAAAATATATAAAAAACTCTTCATGAAGAAAAGAAGAAAAGAAGAAAGGAAAACAAGCCATGGTGTCGTACGATCACATCTGGCTACGATCACATCTGACACTGCCGGCATGGCGGTGCAAATCTCCCAACCTCCATACGATGGTTTGGAGGCGCCCCCCTAGAGAAGCAGAATAACCGGCGGCCAGCACGGGGGGAACTCCGAGTTGCTGCGGTTTTTTCTCTCCCATCTTTTCACGATCGCTCTTCTTCCTCCCCCATCGAAAGTATATATTCAAAATCTGCATGCAAAGTTGTGCAGCCAATCCCTGCCCACATTAGGTAAAAGCCGAATAAAGCGAAAAAACAGGTGCTGAAACACGCCAATTGGCTGCTGGCTGATTCTTCGCTGACTTGTCCAACCCTCCAGGCGTTGTGCGGGACCGGGGTAGAGCCGGTGTGAGAGGTTTGCTTTGCTTTCTCGAGCACAGATAAAAAAGAAAAGCAGCAAGGGCTCGCACTTTTTCCCCCCTTGGTGGCCGTTCTGTTCGATCCGATCTCTGCACTCGATTTGTCTGAATTGTCTGGTAGTTCCTCTTTTTTTTGTTTTAATTGAATAAGAGCCTGAGGAGAAGAAGAAGGGAGTTAGCCTATGCTCCAGTAAGCCGCGTGCATATATCCATATATCCCACCGCCAGCTATAGGACCATATACAAGTTAACAATCCCTGTTCCTCTTGTTTTCTTATATAAAGAAAAGGAAATAAAAGAGAGAAAGAAAAAATAAGGAAACGGCCAAGACCCTCTTTGCACTCGATTGTAAAGCCCAATATGAGCTCTACTCAGGTTAATGGGTTCAGCGATGAGGAGAGATACATACAATTTCCGTGTGTTGCTAACGATGTAACTCGGGATGGCCAACCGGTGTTGAACAAGTACTCGCAGTTTCTCACCAAAGATCATGACTTTCCCGGAGCTCAGGTATGTTTGGCCACAGTCCAGTTCTATGTTTTTGAAAGAGGAAAGGGGGAAGAAGTGAACCAGAGCTGACGGCTGACAATGGGGAATCGAGCTATAGGCTATGCTATATGCCGCTGGTGTGCCTGATAGGGAGAGCATGAAGAACAGTCCACATGTAGGCATTGCGTCGGTATGGTGGGAGGGTAACGCTTGCAACATGCATCTGTTGGATCTTGGAAGGACCGTCAAGAAAGCCGTCACGGGGCTGGGGATGCTGGGCTGGCAATACAATACAATTGGCGTCTCTGATGCTATCACCATGGGCCATGAAGGTTCGTCAAACCAGACATCTCCATGTGGTGGGCTGGCTAGAGCTGGCAAGCTAGCATTCTTTCAACGTATCGAGGACTTGTGTGTCGCACTAAACGTTAGCAATATCTAGGAATGCGGTTCTCCCTCCAGTCTAGAGAAATCATAGCCGACAGTATCGAGACGGTCACCTGCGCGCAGTACCACGATGCCTGCATTGCCATCCCAGGCTGTGACAAGAACATGCCAGGAACCATAATGGCCATGGGACGCCATAACCGACCATCACTGATGATCTACGGTGGTACGATCCAGATTGGCTATTCCGAGGTTTTGCGACAGCCAATCAACATTTCGACGTGCTACGAGGCAGCGGGAGCTTATGCGTACGATAAGCTCAAGCAGCCAGACGATGGCGGCGACCAGAGCAAAACCAAGGACGAGATAATGGAGGACATCGAGAGGCATGCCTGTCCCAGTGCTGGTGCCTGCGCTGGAATGTTCACGGCCAACACCATGGCGACTGCCATTGAGAGCATGGGGCTCTCGCTGCCCGGATCATCGTCCACTCCTGCAACTGCCCCAGCCAAGATGAGGGAATGTGTCAAGGCCGCAGAAGTCATCAAGGTATGCATGGAGAAGAACATCAGGCCTCGTGATCTTCTCACGAAGCGGTCCTTTGAGAACGCGTTGGTAATGACAATGGCAATGGGTGGAAGTACCAACAGTGTGATCCATTTCATCGCCATGGCTAGGTCGGCCGGCGTTGAACTGACTCTCGACGATTTCCAGCGCGTCAGCAACAAGGTCCCCTTCATCGCCAACCTCTCCCCAAGCGGGAAGTATTACATGGCCGACCTCTACGACATCGGAGGCACGCCATCCGTCCAAAAGCTGCTCGTGGCTGCGGGCTTGCTTGATGGGGGCATTCCAACAGTGACGGGCAAGACTCTTGCAGAAAATATAGCCTCCTTCCCCTCCCTCTCGCCAGGACAGGATATCATCCGGCCACTAGACAACCCTATCAAGGCTACCGGCCACCTGCAAATCCTGCGGGGGAACCTTGCTCCTGGTGGCGCTGTGGCCAAAATCACTGGGAAAGAAGGCACCAAGTTCACCGGCAAAGCTCGAGTGTTTGATCGTGAATCGGAGCTGAACTGCGCACTCTCGCGCGGCGAGATCCCACGAACAGAGAACCTGGTCCTCATCGTCCGGTACGAGGGCCCCAAGGGCGGACCTGGCATGCCAGAGCAACTCAAGGCTAGTGCTGCGCTCATGGGAGCCAAACTGACCAACGTCGCCCTTATCACTGATGGACGGTACTCCGGCGCCAGTCACGGCTTCATCGTAGGCCATATCGTGCCTGAAGCTGCCGTGGGCGGTCCGTTGGCCATCGTGCAAGACGGGGACACCATCACCATCAACGCAGAGACGAACGAGCTCTCGATGGATGTGAGTGACGAAGAAATCGCTGCAAGGCTGAAGAACTGGACACCGCCAAAGCCGCGCGTAACTCGAGGCGTCTTGGCGAAGTATTCTCGATTGGTGGGAGATGCATCTCACGGTGCGATGACCGATTTGTTTTGAGGCAGCATTTAATAGCCACTGTAGCAATGCATGGGGGCAGACAAGCATTTAGGTATTATATAGTAGACAAGCAGCATAAACCACGAAAGAAAAACCCCAAAAAAGGAGAGAGAGGGAGGGAAGGAGAGAGTTATAATATAGAAAATCGGATGAAATAAAAACCCCAACCCTGACCTTGTCTTTTAGATGAAAGCAAAGAAGGGTGTCTCGGCATGAAATTCAGGTCATGTCCATGTTCAATCAGGGGGGGGTTTTTTATTGTTGATCGTATTCTCAACCGGAGCAGCCGTTGCAGCCGGATGATGGCGATGGATGATGAGCCCGCCTTGTCATGTAGAAGATCCATTAAGCCCATCAACGGCTAACAGAGCGCTCTCGTAGGTGTTTGCAAGCCTTTGACGTCGTGGTGGTTTGTCTGTCGTTCTCCGTCAGTAGTTGTCCATCTCATCGGGGGGGAAACGCACAACAGCAGAGCAAGATTACACCACATCGCTAGTCAAGCAAGGATTGATATAAACAAGAGAGCAGCTGATATATACTTATTAAACGGTCAGAAGACAGGCTGTCAAGGCCGGAATATATAGGGACGGGGGAAAATATAGCATCTGGCATCTCTCTTGGTGGAGATTGAAGTCGGTTGTTTTTTTTTTTTCTACTCTTCATCGTCTTTAACAGTCGAAAGTAACTATATCAGAGTATGAACGTCCCTTGCCTTGCTCCTTATATATTACATCCATGCCGACCAACGAAAAGCGAGCAGAAAAGCTGTAAAGCAAGGCTGAGAGAAGGTCGCACTCAGCCTGGATTCTCTCTCATACATCGTACTAGCCAACGTCTCCCGCTGGCCCTTTTGCCTGACGTGCCGTCCAAAGCAACGCTCGCCCAGCCTGTTATAGCGCAGAGTGTGAGCCTGTGGTAGTACGTTGGCAGAGAGCTGACCCGCGGATAGCTGCTGTCGACGAGGTTTCTTTTTCAAGTCGCTAACTATTGATTAAGCAGCTGGAAGGCACCGGCTTGTTGGGTGTGGTGCTGCCTACCTGTAACTACGCGACCGCCTTGCCAACAGGAAGAAAAATCGCCCGTCTTTCTCTCTCTCTCTCTTTTTCTCTCTTTACAATGGCTTATTCTCCGTCTACACGCGAAGCTCCTCAAGAGACAGTGGCCTTCTAGCAGGAAAGTGACTCGGCTTGTTCTCAGCTGACATCAGTGTTTCAGCTTAAGAAACAACTTCAAAGTCTACGGGGACAGTCATATACATACCCACATCCTCCCTTCTCCCAGAATATAGACCATGGCGAGCGGCCGGATACCAAGGATAGGACTATCAGGCTTGGATGGTCTATTGCAGAGTCTCCAGCTATCGTGTTACTACCATGCATCGCGGCTGATGCATTATCTCTTGGGCCTGAGGGAACGGCTTGGCCTAGGCCATGCTGCAGACTTTGGCTATTATCAGGTTTCTGCTACGATCGTCCTGCTCCTCGTAGGCGGTGGAATCGTCTCATGGAGGATAATGCGCCATCCATCTGGTGTACAGCGTGTCTATAACGACGGGCGCGTGCATACTCGGTCAGACCGGTTGTCAGAGACTAGCCATCAGAGTACTACAGACAACAACAGTCTCTCGGGTACAGATAACTCTAGAGAGAAGCTTAAGCGCGACGGTATGTTTGAAAATCTTGGTCTGGTTAATCATTACATACTTTCCAGGTTATGGATTTCTCACTCATTGATAATAGGGGAGCATGATGTGGACCCTGGCATATTAAAGAAGCACTCTTCTTACTGCTCCTATACCACTTCTGTGGCTACATATCCAGAAGTCCGCACATTCTATTACCCACATCCTCACACTGACAAGCTCCCCACGAAACCAAAGGTACTACCGCTACTGGTATTCATTCATGGACTGGGTGGCTCCATTTCCCAATTTCACCATCTGCTACACAGCCTGATAACTATTGGCCCATGCTTCGGTATCGACCTTCCTGGCTGCGGGTTGTCGTCATTCGCCCCACGGGATTGGTCTGCTTATTCCATCGAGGCCATGGCCGAGCTTCTGGGCAGAGCGATTGAACAGCGGAGGGATGCGTCTCGTGACCAAGACGTTATTCTCATTGCCCATAGCATGGGTTGCTCAATAGCGGCTCTACTTGCATCCCCTGGATCCGGGCCTATAGCTGAATTGAGGAAGCACATCGTTGGGATAGTTGCCATCTGCCCTGTTGCTGAACCCCCTACCAAGGATGTGGTTGCCTTTTCTAGAAGGATGTTACATATACCTGGCTTTTTATTTGATATATGGCGCTGGTGGGACCGCATGGGAGGAGTCGACAGCCAAAGCGTCCGCAGGCTGGTTGGGGAAGATGCTGATCCGCAAACCCGTGAGCTCCAGCACCGATATAACCAACAAAGCCGCACGCCGGTCTGGAGAAGGATGGCATGGGGCGCCCTTCCAAAGTATAATGAATCTGGCCAGGCAATCAGTGGGATTCCTGGGAAGGAAGTATGGGAGAAGATCCATATCCCCCTTTTCTTCGTTGGGGGTGAATCAGATGCTATCACAAAACCAAAGGAGGTCTTAAAGCTTCTACGTTATTTCGTTAAGGATGAGTCTATTAACGAAAGCAGTCCTGATTTACAGGGCAATGACATTGCCATTGGAATGCTACTTCATAACTTTGTGCAGGTGCCTGAGCCTACAAGTGACCGACGTATTCACTATAAGGATGCATCCTGGCTAGCTGCTCCGGATGGCACGCAAGTCATAGACACCTACGTGTTTCCATCTCCAGCGTCTCATGCCCTGCTCTTTGACCGAACCACATACAGGACGCTGTCAGGCCTTATCCAATCATTTGTTGCCGGGAATATAGACCTTCGTCTGGCCCTTGGGTGGCAGCTACAGCACCTGACCACTTCTGGAAAATGGGATGTCAAAAATCTCGTCAAATGGCAGGCTGTAAAGCCGGTATCCGACCCCATCGGCCATACCTTCGTTGCCATGAAGACTTTGCGCGAGGTGGATCCTCACCACTCTCCAAAGCCGTTCCTCGAGGATTGGTGTGGCAAGATATATGCTGTAATTGATATCAGCCATGAAAGCCCAGTGTATGACTACTCGCAGCTAGAGCTGGGAGGGATCAAATATATCAAGCTCCCGACTGTCTCCAAGATCCCACCGACGGCGGACGAGGTGAGAGAGTTCGTCAACACCGTCTCTCAACTGGAGGACGAGATTTCGAAAGCAAGTGTAAATCAAGAGTCTCATTCTCCCCTGAGACCACACATCGCTGTCCATTGCCATTATGGATACAACCGGACAGGGTTTTTCATTGTCTCATATCTGATTGAACGACTGGGGTATACCATCCCGGAGGCGCTGGCGGAGTTCGAACGGCAACGCCCACCTGGTATACGTCATGAACACTTCATCGACACCTTGCATGTGCGCTACACCGTCAGGCAGCCAAGATGAGGGTCTTGTTGAAGCTGGAAGAAGCCGGCTTTTTTTTTCTATCTCGTCTTTCTTTTGTATTGTACACTTTGGGTTTGGAGCGACAGCGTCATGGCTTTAGGAAGAGCCTGACACCATGTAATTCTTTATGGGCTTATGATACATAATTACTCCTATAGATTTCGCTACGAAGTCGATTTCACATCATTAATATAAGAATATGCTATTCTCTTTCATCTTCCTCGCCGGCCAAAGTAATATCACGTGATGCACGTGACTTTCTAAGCGAATCCACTTTTTTGGATTCCACACAAGGTCAAGTCTTGGCGCACACCAAAGGCGAGAAAAGCGACTTGTTGAAATTTCGAGCATTGAAAGCGAAAAAAAGATATCGAGAGAACCGCTCCGTGTGCGCGACGAACAGACAAACCTCACGCCCTCACTATACCGAATCCTTCATCTCCTTCAACGACACAGTTTGTTCCTTCGGTTCCAAAAGTTGCAATCATGGGTGGCGTTACCGTTCGCGATGTCGATGTAAGTTGGTTTCCAAAGTCGATGGCTCATCGTTTTCTGCTGCGTGGGGATGGATGGCCAATACCGGACGGACACTTCTCGATGATATTATAGTCATGGTCGAAAACATACGGGGAACATTCTTCCCCTGGATCGAGTGGGATTTCATGCGCCGAAATGGTATAAGGTGGTGGGATGGGACACATCTAGATATTTCCGTTGACCTAGGTTGTCCTGCGATAGTGAAGGCTTGAACTGGGTGCTTCAAGGGATGCTCATGGGGCCCGTCCAACTCGTAGAAGGCCATACCTACGCAGCAAACGAAAGAGGACTTGATGCTGTACATGTGTTTGAGATATCACTAACATATTCGTTTTACTATTGTCCAGGCTCAGAAGTTCGTCGAGGCATACTCTGCTTTCTTGAAGAGACAGGGAAAGCTCCCGATCCCAGGTTCGCCATTTCCGCCTCAATATACTGCGTCATATTTAGAAAATGGAATATTAACGGTTATTACATTTTATAGGTTGGGTTGATACCGTCAAGACCTCTAACTCCAAAGAACTTCCCCCTCAATCCATTGACTGGTACGAATTTTCCCTTCCAGTACCCAACGCCGGGTGACCGAAGCCAAATCTCTCTATACTTTGCGCTGGAGACTTATTCTTTCCAATACTTACCTATTTCCTGACGCAACAGGTACTACGTCCGTGCTGCCGCTGTTGCTCGACACATCTACATGCGCAAGACCGTCGGTGTCGGTAGCCTACGCAAGGTCCACGGTGGCCGCAAGAACCGTGGCTCCGCTCCATCCCACCACGTCGATGCCTCTGGATCCGTTGACCGAAAAATCATGCAGTCTCTCGAGAAGATCGGTGTCCTCGAGCAGGACGAGGACAAGGGTGGCCGCAGAATCACCCAGAGCGGTCAAAGAGATTTGGATCGTATTGCTAGGACGACCATAGAAGAGGATGAGGATGACGAGTAAATTATCAATGGGGATAGTTTGGTGCCTGTGAGACGATGAAGTAGGGGAGAGAAGAAGGCCGGAAGACAGACTAGGAAATGACAGAAGGCCAGAATTCTAATGTTTTTCCCACAAACAAAAACGATATCACGGTTTGGTAAAATATATTTCTACTTTTTCCTCTCTTACCTCCATGTTATGCAGCTAGCGGGATCTTGAGTTGGAGGAGAAAATGTACCATGGATGGATGGGCCATGGATTTGTTTATTTCGACACTCGAGCTCGAGGTTCGCATTTTTGCTGATGACATGCTGATAATGGCCAAACCGTCACCTTCTATATTCCGCTTTCAATTGACTCTCTGGCCTTTTATTCATTTGTGCTCTCTGTCTATGGCTTTCCATCACCACTTTGAAGCGAAATAAAGAAAAATGTTTTAAAAATTTAATCACTTCCCTTAAGGCCAGCTGAGTACACCTTACCCATGCCTTAGAGTTATCTACAGTGTTCATCAGTCCCCCTTAGCAAAAAAGACAATACTACAGATTGACTATGACTTTTACTAAAACAAAAAACTTGCATGTAAACCAACAATAATTCCAACCTTTGGTTGCTTAATATCCTTAAAACATCAGACCACCAACTTCCCCTTTGCCCCAAGGCAGATGAATAACCCATTTGTGCTGTTAAACTTATGGCTTGTTAGGCCAAATAACTAAGGGGAAAAAAGAGAAAAAGAAAAAGAGTGAAAGATATTCGGAGAATATCCTTAGATTGAAGGGGGTGGTGAGTGAGCGCGTCTCACGACTCCAGCAGTAGGGACTCTTTCCTCTGGAACGTCCTGGATGGATGTACCAACTCTGCTGTACCATTCATGGACTCGAGTTCTTGGGCTGTTTGGGTTAACGTTGAGTACTGGGACTCTTCCAACCAAAGATGGAACAGGGCGGAGGGCAGCGCCAAAGGATATTGGCCGGTATTCTCGGTCCTCTGCTGGGCTATAACGGCTCATCCACGGCTGGGAATTGCTGGAAGCCGGCTCAAGAAGGGCCTCTTCTAAGACACCGGTCTCAACCTCACTTTCCATGTTGAGATTATCATCCTGAGGGTATTTGTTCTCTTTGTTTTCTTCTTCTGGAACTGGGCTGGAGCTAGGTATATCGGACAGTTCCATGACACTAAGGGTGGTGATATTGTCTTCTTCATCTTCAGATGTGTCTTCCCAGATTCCTTCTTTATTGCGAGCAAATGGTTGAATATGGGTTGTTGCCATCTGGCGAGAAAGGAAGCCATTCTGTCCAGAGATGGGCTGGGTTGAAGGGCGATGACCATCAATATCAGCAAGAACTGGATCGGTGTACCATGTATTCATGTCTTCAGTGGCAATGGGGTATGGGTGCGTGGTATCATATTCGTATTCCGCCTCATGGTGACCGGGTAGGGTATCATCAGCAGGAGTGGCTGCTGCTTCTTCACGTTCGTCTTCAGCCTCTTCATCTTCATCCTCGTTGTCATTCGTTTCCTCATCGCTTTCCTCGCTGGTCTGCTCAGGAGACTCCTCATAATAGAAGTCATTTGGATTGTAGTAGTATATTCTTTCAGAGCTACTACTACCTTCCTCGGGGTATTGGAAAGCATCTTCTTGGAAGAGACCATGGCCTCCAGTCTCATTTTCAATCAGCGTTTGCGAATCCTCATCTGGTGTCCAAACACGAGTCTGCATGTGACTTTCAACTGTGTCAAAAACGATATCTATATCAAGCAAAAAGTGAGTCAATCCAAACATCCTTAACACAGCAAATTTTTCATGCGGATGTGGTAGTGTTGGATGACTTACCACCGGATGTTCTGGGGTCGATGCTGTCAAGGCTGCGAGTTTCTCCTTCACTATCTGGCTCAAAGACCGGATCTCCATTGGATTCACAGTCACCGAAGAAATCGGTATTGGCTCCACTGTTATCAGTGTCACCCTCGTAACCGTCATTACCACCGTCTCCATTGTATCCGTTGCCGTGATCTGGATCAAAGTCTCGATCTGGCTTTCGTTGGCTACCTTTACCATCCCCATCCTTCTTTCCGTGTTTTTTTTCATCTTCATCACCGTCGCTGTCGTCACCATCACCGTCATCGTCATCGTCTTCTTCCATCTCATCTGCACCAAACTCGCCTTCAGTCTCATAACCCCCTGAAAACTCGCTCAACTCCCTCTCTTGCCCATCAGGGTTATGAGCTTCAAGGAAATTTGGGGTCAGCTGCGTTGGGACGTCCCTATCGGGGGCTTGATCTATAGGCTGTACTTGTTCAACTTGTTCTTTGATGGTCCCATCAGCAGTGCGTTTCTCACCCCTTGGGTTAATGTTTTCCTGTTTAGGCCTCCTAAGTTGTCTCAGTTAAGTCGCGTTAACCCATCAAGAAAGCACATACTGAGAGGCATTATTCATAGATGGTTTTGTGCTAGGAGGCATATTGCAGCTGCCTTTCATGCTGTCTCTATCTAGCACGACTTGTCATTGGATATCTGATATCAAACAAAGACGTATTTGAAAGATGGCTAATAAGCCAAGGTCAAGATTGCAGATAACAAGACACTTAAGTAGAAGAAGGATATTAGCCTAGTTGAAGGATTCTTTCCTATAGAAACAATATGTTAGTGGTTGCCACTGTAATAACGCATATATTTTCTAGGAGTTTTAAAGGGTGAAAGACGCGAAGTCACAGATTAGTACCACAGTACCTCTTAAAAACCTCAGAGTAGAGACGATTCAAAAACTAGGAGGTGAAGTTCACAAAGGTAGATTCCGTGTCCAGTTTTTGTTTTGATTTTCAAGAAGAGAGGAGAAAGAAAGGAATATATATGTAGGGGCTAGCGTAGTTTCTAGGTCAACAGACCCTTCTTAGCGCGCTTTTCCAGTGAGGAGAATGGCATTAATAGATGACTCTTCTGCCTTCAGAATACTAGCAGGCTTATCCCCTTGACAGTGTTGTTCCTCTTGGTATCATTTGGCTGTAGGTATGGTAAGAATGTGTTTATAGATAGGCAGGGCATATATAAACAAATAAAGTGTATATTTTGGCAGATTGATAGACCATAAGGACCTCCATAGAGAGACGCATAAAAGTTCTTGATATATACATCTATAATCAAGAGCTGTTAGGTTTATACCCTAATATCGCCTTGACTCCGCAAGAACTCCTTATAAGTTTACCATGGAATGCTATCTTCATCTTTGTATGTGGTGGGATCCCAGCAAACATGGTGGTACTCATCAGTATGAAGAACTTTCATGTCATCTTGAGAAAGCTCAAAATCAAAGATGTCTGAGTTCTCCACAATGCGTTCCTCTGTTGCAGACTTTGGGAGAGGAACAAACCCCTATATTGATTCAGTTGAGTTGTTAGTGGATATGAATACCAGGGAGATTGTAGAGGGAACTTGTAGAGGTGAATCACCTTCTGTAGGCTCCATCTAACCAAGATCTGAGCTGGGCTTTTATCATATTTCTTTGCAATTTCCTGAAGTCTTGGGTCATCCATTTTTTTGGCCTGGACGAGCGGGCTGTACGCTTCGACGACAATGTTTCGCTTTTGGAGCCATTCGACAATGTCAGGGCGGGCGAGCCACGGGTGCAACTCATACTGGCCGACATCAATTTTACCACCAATGGCGTTATTGTACTCTTCCAACTCGTTCAAGTGATGGACACCATAGTTTGAGACGCCAATGGACCGAACTTTTCCTTCTTTTTGGGCCTCAACGAGAGCTTTCCAGGAACCTTCGCGCTTCTCCTTCCCACCGTATGGTGCATGAAGGAGAATCCTAGGTCTTGTGTAAGCTGTTTTTCATATAAAATATGGTAGGGGTACGCCGTTAAAATAAGGACGGCATCGGCGAGCTCACAGATCAAAGTAATCTACTTTGGCGGCCTTCAGGCTAGATTCAATGGACTCTTTAGTGGGCTCGTAGCCCAATGACTTCCAGGGAATCTTGGTTGTAAAGAAGACATCGGAGCGCTTAAGTCCGGATTTCCGGATAGCTTCGCCACATTCAGCTTCGTTGCGATAAGATCTAGCTGAATCAATCTATTGCATTGTTTTTAGTAGACGTTATGACGACATGCAGGGTGGTATTTTGACACGCACATGTCTGTAGCCCGCCTTCAAGGCCTTCAAAACACATTTTTCGGTGATATCCGGGGGACTGGGTTTAACCAGTTAGCCTTGAAGTGAAACGCTCTTCTAAAGACTCTGCCTTACGTTTGGTAGACCTATAATCCTTTTTAGTAACGACATTATTGAAAGGGAACCATTTCATTCTGAACAACTTACACCGAATCCAACAACCGGGATCTCGTAACCCGAGTTCAACTTTTTCGTCGACTGGATGCTTGATTTTGCCGCCATGGTTACTAGTGATCTTATGTCTTGACACGATGCTATCACGCGGAATGGATGGAAGGGGAAGAAAAGCATTATTATGGGAAGGCGGGCAACAGTGGCCATTTATATGACCGCTGTCGTTACGTAGTTGTCCGAGAAAGGTTATCCAAGGTGCCATCGCCCCTTTTGACGCTTGTTTCTTACATAGTAGTTTCCCAACGGCCAATAACGAGGATATCAGTATCCCCCCAGCATTAGTATGATGCGGGGATAAGATTGGTGTTAAAGGGGTTTTCCCCGATCAAGGGGTGGAGAGAGTGAGTTGTCCTGGTTAGGTGTCCTTTGGCCGTCATGTCCAGCTTACTGCCCGCTGAATATCCCTCCAACATTTATAACTGATGTAATAATGACATGATTGTTTACTTCTTCGTCGGATTAATGGAGACTATGACGTCTATATTGTTGTGTACAGCGACGGTACATGAACTCTAGGCGGGATTTGTATGTGCAAGTTTGTAATGCCGAATTAACGCTTACATAAGAAAGGTCACATGACTATTACCCGCTCCCAAAGTTTAACTGGTTATGACTAAGCACTGTATATCGTGGGATATCAAAAGAACATCGCATGAATGACATGACATTTGTTAAATAAATAGCAAAGGGATCAGAGATCCAGCTTTAGCTGACAATACCCATCGTATCCTTACATTTATGGCCTTCATTATTATTTAGCATCCCTTTTTTGATTCTTCACTCTCGTGCTCCGTATGTGGATTATTCAGTTACATACATATCAAACCCCGCTGACCTCACATTTACGAAACAGTTTCATCCTTTGAGCCTGGCTAGCTGTCTATACCCTAGCCAAAGTATAGCTATTCCAGATACCCTGAAAGACAGTTATTTAGGCTGAATTAGGCTGAGGTGCTCTTTTTCACCACTAGCGCTGCTTCGCCAGCAAGGCGCAAAATCGCAGTGATTCGTAGCGCTGAGACAGGGTCTTATCAGGACATTGGTCTACCTCTATATCAAAACCTGAATTGGATGATTTGAAAATGCGCCTCATTAAGCAGAATATTGAGCGTAATGGCTCGGGCTCGGTCACGCTCTACCCTGAGGAGCCGGAAGACATGGTACGGGGATAAATGACTTCCCTCCCTGCTTTTTTTTTTAACAGTTTCTTGCTTTCTTTTTCTGCGGACCCTTTTAAAATAATTTAGTGATCTGCTGGGGACATACGGCATAGTAATGAATAAAAGAGGCACAAGCTAATAATACCTAACCTTTGCCCTTGTTTTTACTCTCCAGTGGCATGCATACAACCTCATACGGCCCAATGACCTTCTAAAGGCCAGCGCAATACGCCGGGTAACCACCACCGCAGCAACCGGCACAACGGCTTCATCCCGCGTGCATATAAACTTGCAAATTCGTGTGAAGAGTCTTGACTTCGATATCCAGAGCTCTCAACTACATGTGTCCGGCCAGATAGTTGTAGAGACGCCGTATACGAAAATTGGCCAGCATCATACCCTTGATTTGGAACTGCAGAGGAATTTTACCCTGGAAAAAGAAGTAGAAGGAACGTCTCTGCCGGGAGATGGACCGGCAACTGGTACATGTGCTGGTGGATGGGATAGTATGGCAATTGAGATGTTGAAAGATGCCGTGGATGAAGGAGGGAAAAGAAGAGCAGAGGCCGTTGCTGTGGTTATGCAAGAAGGCCTTGCGAATATTTGTTTTATTGGGCAATATCAAACTGTCCTCAAGCAGAAAGTCGAGCTTACTATTCCCAGGAAGAGGCAGGGGGGGAGCGACTATGACAAGGTAAAGATGCTCAGTCACCAGTTTATCTCCTTATGCTAGGGTTGATGAATTCCACATGCTAAATGCCAACATCTAGGCTTTATCCAAATTTTATCAACTTACCTTGGATAATCTCCTTCGTCTTATCGAATTTAATAGCGCCACAGGCTCCTCCCTTGTCACTCCAAGCTCAGGTTCAAGTAGTGACACATCTGCAAAGCCCATCCTCCTCGCCTCCCCAGGGTTTACTGCAGCCGGATTCCAAAAACATATGCAATCAGTTTCCAACACCACCACGCCCTCCTTAAAACCCCTTCTTCAAAGTCTGATCGTCGTTCATTCCTCGTCAGGCCACGTTCATTCCCTCAACGAGGTGTTGCAGTCCCCTGCTGTACAAGCAAGGTTAGCTAACACAAAATATGCCCGTGAGACGGCGCTGATGGATACATTCTATGAACACCTGCGAAAGGATACGAACAAGGCTACTTATGGACCCAGTGAGGTGGAATCGGCTGTTGATCAGGGGGCAGTAGGCAGAGGTGGAGGAGTTTTGCTGATTTCTAATAGATTATTCAGGGCTCCGAACGTGCGTGAGAGACAAAGATGGGTGGCATTAGTGGATCGAGTTAGGGAGGTCGAGGGCGGAGAGGTCCGGGTTCTGAGCTCTGATCATGAAAGCGGGAGGAGATTAGACGGGCTAGGGGGCGTTGCCGCAATATTGACGTTTCCCATCGAGGACAATGATGAAGAACATGATGAGGAAGATGGCTGAAAACACTAAACAAATAACTAGAAGCAAAGACATATGCTTCTCAAGGATATCTACACTAAATGGTTATTTATAATCAGTGTATATGGCACGCACCATTACTACCCGAGCTATTAAACAAAATGATGAAAATGTTGCTTGAGATGCAAGGCGTTTCTTGTAATTTCCTCCAAGGAGTTGGGGAGTTGAGGTGAACAATTAATTAACTGCACCAGTATTCATAAGACGTTCAGCCTCCCCTGACGACGGTAAGCCACGAGGATTACTACCTTGACACGTTAATGCTTGACAGTAATAATGAGGCGTTGCCATGCGGCAAAGACATTAGCCATGCTTGCTTGTAGAAATCGAGTGCAGGGTATAGAGTAGGTCTGCACCGCCACGCACATAGAGCGGGATTTATGCAAGGTTAAGAGATGGGCGTATGACTAAAAGGGGCAGGGGAAATTTTTGGTAAAAGCGACGAGTATTAATAGACAAAGTATCAGAATATATTCTAGGGCATAAAGAGAGCTAGATTTTCGTATATTCATAGGCAGTCTTTGAAAGATAATCCGATATCAGAGTTTGTCTCCAAAACTCCCGCCATTATTCTCGCTCGAAATTGTCTGTATACATAGGAAATTATAAATGTATGCCCGAGGAAGATTATGATATTAGACATAAAACAACGAACAATTTTTCCCAAAATGAAAATCAGAAGCCACAAACCAGAAAAAAGACAAGAACATGAAGGAAAATAAGAAAAACATTAGCCTGAAGCCAAACCATTAACTCATAATATCAAGAGCATACTCCGTATTTATGTATAGATATGTGCCGCCGTGATAGTGCATAACGGAAAACGGTAAACTTCGGGTTCAAAAATATGATGGGGTATCAAGAATGTGTCCATAGTCCAAGTAAGAGAAAACGGGAAGATAAATAAGGATGTGCGTATGATAAAGTGATGAATGCGAAACCCTTTAGAAGCGCCGTGTGTAAGAATGTCTTAAGGGGGAAAAGGAAATAATTATTGTGTCCGAGAGCGTTTTGATTGATAGTCTTCGTCATCATCATCGGCCTCAGCTTCTGCTTCTGCTTCCGGTTCCTGTTCTTCTATGTCTCTCGGGCTAGTTTCTAGAGCTCGACTGTGCGTTTGAAGTAATTCCCATTTTTGTTCACACTGTGAAGGAGTCCATCTTTTTGTAGCGCCAAAGTCTTGTATCTATAAAGATAGCCAGTTAGACAACTTAGCCTCTCTTCGATAATCCCTTTTGCACGGACCTTCTGTGATATTATCTCGAATTTTTCAGTCTCCCAGTACGAATGAGCATTCCGAAGCGCTCGAATCTATGAGTGGCTATTAGTCGGCATGCCGTTTGCTAGGGAAGAGGAGTTGGAATAATGAAGATTAATGACAATGGGAAATAGGCGCACATACTCACATCATCCTCAGACCATCCTTTTATCATCCGTTGCCATCGACGTGTAATGCGCATTTGAAGGCGAGACGCGGTATAATTGGCATTGAATCGGTAGTTAACCCTTGACACAACCTCCTTCCACGCATACCCTTCATTTCTAAGGTTTATAGCGTAGTCTGTTTCTTCTTCTAGCTGCGTTGATCTCTTTCGAGTGCGTCGACGTCGTCTGGGGTTACGCTGGGGTTGTTCATCTTGACAACTCTGTCTTTCTTGTTCTAGTTGTCTGAGACCATCTGGATTGGGGGCAATAGAAACTGGAGTAGGTCTCATATGCACAGGTGTATGCGATGGAGTGTGTGATGGTGCTCTAGTGGTTCTCATGTGTGCTCTCTCCCTTCCGTACTCAGCAGACTCGTGGTCTGTTATACTGCCCATCATGGACCGATGAAATGGATCATATGAAGGTATTCCAGGCTGCACATAGCTTAGTGCGGAGGTTCCAGAGATTCCAAGTCCGTGCTGTATCCCACCAGTTCCTATGGAAGGGTATCGTGGGTCCTGATGCTGCTGATGGCATTGGGATGGACTATGTCGGGGGTCAAGAAGGACATTGTCGGAGAGGCTGATAGGGGTGAGCATGGCTTGGTTTGTGTGTGAGTTTGACACATAAGGGTTAGTGCTAGGGGGGTATGCCTAGCAGCACAAGTTAGTTATTCAAAAGGTTGCACAGTTATCTGAGGATGCCATAGCAGCAGCTCGCATTCATACCGTGCCAGGAGTAACCCATTCTTGGTTCCCAAGTATATTAGACATTTGACCTTGAAAAGGTGATTCTTCCCACGAGCTAGCAAGATTGTCGGCTGACATGAGGGGCACTTTAGGCAAACGGGAGTTGTATAGAGGGCAGAACCAGTCCAGTGATATCCACACTAAAGAATGTATAGAAAATAGAAAGGAATAGATAGGCTCCCGGTGACAGTGCGTTAAAGATATGTAAAAGATAAGAGAGTATTTAGTCAAGCACCCTGGGTGGACAGTTGGTTTGATGGTTGGGTTGGAAGAGTATTGTTCGAGTCAGATGTGGAAGACTGTGTAGCTATATAAGTATGGCCTCCGGTCTGAAGAATTGTGGACAATAGAGGAATATAGCTTGTTCTGTTGACGAGTAACGGGAAGCCAACTGCAGCGGGCCAGATAAATGTAGGCAAATCAGGAGCACAGACGATGCAACGAACGCTCCTGCATCCACGATTTTTCAAATGATCTGAGGTCATCATCCTCTCTCTCTCTTTTTTTTTTTTCAAATCTCTCTTTCTCATATACCTACCGCTTCTCCAGAGCGGGAACAAGAGAATAAAAATTAAAGGTCCACATGCTGATATGACTGTGCCACTCTAGCCAGAGAAGGGCGACATGGTAGATCCGCAATGAAAATTTAAAATGAAAAAAAGAAGGCGAGAGAATGTAAAATGGAAGGAAGAATGAAAATTAAAAGGGCTGCATCTAAGCGCCGGCTTATGGCCATCCTCAAGGGGGGGAGGGGGTGGGTTTGGTCCACAGAGTGAGGTAGAATCAAGATGGCCCCCATTTGACCTTAAGAGCCTGGGATGCATTTTTAGGCAACTGGCAGGGGGAGGAGGTACATCTAAGCCTGCGCCTAACCCACGTAGAGGCCGTGGATGTTGATGTTGATGTTGATGCGGAGAGCAACGCCTCCCCCCCCAGAAACGAACCCAGCCAAACCAGGTGGGAATAAAGACAACCAGGGGGAAAGGCCCAGGGAGTCTTAGTAAAATCCGACTCAGCGGAGGGACATTATTCTTTTAGCGTAAGAATGTTAAAGGAACTCGTTAAAAGAGGGAAAAAAAGAAATGAAAGGGAAGAGGAAAAGAAAAATAAAAAAAATTCCCTCTTTCCCCTGGAAGCAGCGATTTCCGGCCAGCAAGGCTTGTCGAGTCAAGCTCCAGCGAGGGAGAGGCAGCAACCTTCGATCGTTGAAGCGGGCGACAGACAGGGAGTATCGGTGGTCATCCTATCACCGCTCAAGCCACTCGTCCCAGGCGGATGGAACCGAATCATAGCTGGCCCCTGTACCTAAAAAGAAACCATAAAAAGCTATCTTTTTGTGTTTAAGTTTGTTGCCCTTCTATCCGAACCGTGGTGTATATGTCCACTAAAGGGCGAACATCTCATAGATTGCGCAGCAGCAACAATAATATTAATAATGGCTATCATGGTCCATATATATGAGCCGTGATGCTCCGTAGGCATGTACCAGTATACCATCCGTGCAGGGGCACATATATTAATAACGCCCAGTCAGAATCAGTACGTGAAAAGGGGCAAACCCTGCGGCGTAAGGCGGGAGCCTCATGGGTGACTAGATGAGCCACCAGGCGTGTACTCAGGGGAGCACGCCCTATCTCTCTCCCCTTCTTCTTCCTCTTCTCTCGTTGTACATGGTAAGCAAGCGTGCATCAACCCGGATATGCACGTATAAAATTCGCGTTCGTACAAAATGAAGGGTAATATCACAATATTCTCCCGATGGCGTACCACTCCACTTTGAGGTGTCTTGGGGGCCTTTGCAAGTAAAGTATGGAGTGCGGACCGAATATTTACTGATCTTCTTCATTAACGTAAAGGGGAAAAAGTAAGCAAGAGGAGAAAAAAGAAAAGAGAAGCCGAAAAATCCTCTTTCCTGTTTCCCCTCACGGGTCTTACTTTTTACCGAGTCCGTAAGACTTCCGGAACAAAAAAAAAAAAGACGCTGAACGAGGTTGTATCCACAGTATCGAAAGGTGTTCGATAAAGCCATGGTGTGTGCGAGAATCATTATCATTTGCAGGTGGGGGCTCTAATAACCTACTCAACTTCTCGTTCACTCGTTCTTTTGGTGCGGAGGATCCGTAGTATATGTAAACAGTTCCCTGGCTAGTCTCTATTGAAAAGGGCGGGCCAGTTGATCCAAATGATCCAGACAGAAGTTCCGGTTCGCGAAACGGGATTTGCTAGGTCAGTATGGAGCTTATTGGTCACGGAAACCCTTTGGGGGCCCTTGAACGAACCTCCCGCGTGGCCATTTTCGTGGCTAGCCGCCGGGCCTTTTCCTAACCAGGATGCGGCTATCGGGGACTCGGCACTAGAAACGGGGGCGTTAGACCACGTATATGCGATGGACAGTACATGTCACTCTGTACGTACGAAGCACTACGTAAAATGAGGATGAGGCTAATGGGGAGAGAAGCAGCCGTCATACGTTAGGATCCCTTCTTAGGCAAGGAGATTGGCGAGTCAGGAGTACAGGGTGGTTGTACCGAGAAGCTTGGCAGCGGTGGAGATGAAACGGCGAACGGAGTGCAAGGGAGAGCAATAGTTAGTAGTTAAAAATGGTCAAAAGACGGCCGAAGACGGTCGAGATGGACGATATGGGGGAAGATGGAGAAACCGGAGGAAACGACAAGGGAGAAGACGATAGAGAGAGAGACAAGATATAGATAGCGTGTGGATGGCTGTCTTGTGTGCATGGATACAGCCAATGGTTTGTGGGGGTTGGAGCACTGAGTTTCAGTCCCTGATGGCTCCGCCAGTTCGAGATGTTTGCTATTCCCTGAGGCTGAACAGGTTTGACGTGAAAAAGGAAAAAGACCAGCCCTTCAACCCGGCACTTGAGAGAGCGAGCAAGCGAGAATGAGAAGCAGAACAGCTTCATGGCTATGCAAGAAGGGTTCCGTTAGCTAACTCTGATCAGGATATCAACAATAGATTCGACATATCAGACTACAAGCAGTTAACTAACGGGGGGGGAACGACACCCGGCCAGCCAAGGCAGGATGATCGCCGACTGGATCACAGCATGGACTCTCGTAGATGGGGCTGAGGGGGGTCGGAAGAGGCACACAAGAGGCTAGCCACCGTGGTATGGGGCGGCGAAGAAGTCGCTGAGTGGCCGTGGAAGAACTCGCAGATGAGGTTCGCGATATCTAACTAGGTGTGGTTTTTTTTTTATTATAGGGGGGCTGGCGCTTAAAGGACGAAGGTGAGTGGCCACCCAGGGGTATATCACGTGACCAGTTGGGCGCCGACAGAGAAGAACGACATATGCAGGATGTCATCTCTTCCTGGTTGATGAGCTAGCAAGGGATGGGATGAACAGAGACCAGACCAGGGCAGCAAATAGCTGGTCGTTGTTGATCCCAGATCCTGGAGAGAAGAGAGAGACAGGCAGAGGAAAAGAAAAGAAAAGCCCCCCAACTCCAGACTCAGGCAGATGATACGACGAATATTCACTGCATCGCCCCCAGTCGAGTTGTTGTCTGCCAGGTCATAGAACCGGAGCAAAACGGCGGTTCTAGAAGGGTTCGGTGTAGAAAGCCGCTACAACTGCTTACTATGTAGTCTTATGCTTAGGGATTGATTGATTCGGGCAGATCTCGCCATGCTGCGCCGCAATGTGCCTAAGGCCAGGTCCCTCCCTTCTTTCTCTTCCCCTCCTCAGGTCCCGCTTTACTTCCGTTCACGCTAATATAGGTGCTCTAGATCACGGCGTGTTATAGTACTACTCTCTAGGCAGCTATAGGCAACCGCCTGCCGAGGGATGGTGCCTTGAGCGGAGAAAGCTTTGACCGGTTCATAGAAACGGAGGGTTATACCCTCCCCCGAAAATAATATACCAAACAAACAAATGTTTTTATTTGTTGTATGGAGCAGCAGACCCTGATAATGGTCTTTTTTTTTTTTTGGCCATCCATCACCGTGTCCTTTCGTTGTCCCTGCAGAATACAACTTGGATTAGTGTTTATTTTGATTTTCATTTCACTTCCAACGGTATAATTGTTGGTCCCCCATGAAGAATGCTTCAGTGATTGCAGTGTGACGGTGACCTTCGGCCAACACAATAGGGATTGGTGGTTTCTCGCAAGTCCCCAGTTTCATCTGGGGCCTGCCGCCATCCTGCTGCTCCGCAACTACACTAGCTACCTTCGGTCCGCATTGCACGGGTTATATCTCCGTTATGTCTCAACTATATATAAAAAGATGGACGATAAAAACTGAGAAGAAGCAATTGGACTGTTTTCCTAAAAAAACCGTTGGCAGACATACTATGGTCTATTTTTATCCTGTATAGCCCCATTATCCACCACCTTATGAACTGTCCACCGCTTAGGCCACCATGCTACTTACTCTAGGCCGGGAAGATACATCTACGCCCCGAGGGCTCCACTTCTTGCTAACACAGTCAAGCTTCAACATCTGGCTTGCCGAAGCTCAAAGCTCAAAGTTCAGAGCTCTTGATAAGCGAAACAAAATATTATCTGCAGTACGACTCAACCTGCCTTGCCCACTTTTCATCTCAGGGAATGCCCTGACACGGTTTGAAAGGTTGCGTTGGCATGTAGTGTGCTTGTCCCTTTTTTTTTTTTTTTTTTTTTTTTTTTTTTGGCTGCCCATGGTTTACAGGTACTTTACCCGCAAGATAATGTAGCAGGAAACCATTATCTCGGCATCTGAACATTTAATATTCAATACCTGGAGTCGAACCATTGTCTCGGGAAATGCTGAACGTGTATCGCTGTCGTTTGTGGACGGATAACCGGGCTGCGCCATGACGAGCCTCAACGCCCTACTAATTATAGTCTTCGATAACCCTGATTGCAGATGCCAAAACCCGTCTCGAGTTGTCTCTCGAAATTAAGCTCCGAATGGCATGGCGGGGCATGGAATGATGCATCTACTGCGAGAAATCTGATCTATACCTACCTGTTCGGGCTAGGCGAATTGCTGACCCAGGATCATATAATATTTGCACCCTGGAAAGGGATAACTTTCCCAAACACCCTCCACGCAGATGCACCTCGAATCCGTTGCTACATAGGAATGTAGCTACATCTGATTTTCTTTTTTTTTCTTTTCTTTCTTTAGCCCCTTCTTTCATTATTTTCTCTCCATCTTTTATGCCAGCTGATCGGTATCGTTCACAAGGAGTGAAGTCATGCACGAACCTGTAATAAGCAGGTTGAGCAGCCGGACAGTGTTGACTAGGGGTAGAAATCTCGGGTGCTAGTCGCTCTACCCAAGCTCTGTTATACCTCTGGCTGGGGACGCTAATGTGCTGATGTGTTAATAGGGGCGACCACCGCGACGGCCCTGCAGGGCTTGAATTCCGTAGATGCATGCTCTCAACTCCATGTATACATGCGATTGACCTTAGAGACCCAAAAATATGGTTGCGTGTCTGTACAACTCGCATACTCAACTTGCGTGATAGGCAGACAGACAACAATGACCCAAAGAATGCATGCTGATGAAACCTACTCGAGCTCGGTTAAAGGGTCCATGTTGGGGCTGTCCTTTTTTTTCATCTCAACGGACCTTTATTTTCTTTCTATCCCTTCAGAGGTATTGATCTTCTCTAACCCTGTCTATCCCGTACACAATGCGAAAATGACGGGTTTTTCATAATAGGGGTTCTGATCTTGTGTGTGGGTTTGGGGTCCGTTTCCAGTGCCTCGGAGACGGCGCCGCAGTAGAAACCGAATGTGACCCTGGTTTAAAGGGAGCTGATTTGATATTGGGCCTGATAGCTAGGTAAATCAAATATTCAACGGAAGGGGGTGAGAAAAGGTAAAAAAAGAGGGACAACGAGGGTCCAAACCCGACAACTTGGATATAATGCTTAACATGCAGAGCAGTATTACTTGCTTGGTCGTCTAACGAGGGCAGACTGAGCCATCAGACACCTGGGAATATGAACAGCCATTGACCTGTTTTGACCCCCAAAACTTAAACAGCCAACATGTATGTTGACGTCTGGCCTATGGGCTGATGTTTTCCCCTTTCTCTGCTACCCATCACCATGCCTATCACCGGCCGTCGATATCGCGATGTACCGAGAGTCCAAAAAAAGGAAAGAAAAAGGAAAGAAAGAAAAAAGAAAGAAAAGGAGCCCTGATGAACATTACATAGTAATTATTAATTATCCATCATCGATCATATTTTGGGATTTCTGGGACACTGAATCGGGGCGAAATCTTAACCATCCCAAAGCAACAAAGAGAACACCTTGAGAGCCAGCGCATGCGAGTTAGTCGGTTCTTAGGCCTTTGCCAAGTGAGATATTTATCACCTAATATCCACTAGTTAACTTCATCCCTGGACGTTTCTCGGGGATAAAGAAGCAGCCAGCATCGTGGCCGTTTTTGGTGGCGGCAGATGAAAATGCAGGTGTCTTGACACAAGCGATCACAAGCATCTTACACCATTATTAATAATGGCGTGGCTCGTATGTCAGTTCCGACATTGGCACTAGCTTTGTACTCGAGCCTACCATTGTCTGCTCTATACAGAGAGAGAGAAAGAGAACCGCGGGATAAGTCTATGTCTGTATGTATGTAGAGAGCGTGCTCACTCAGCTTCCTGCGGCAGATGCTGGCCCTCCAACATATCGGCACTTGAATAGCTCCAATTATCCAGCCTGTGGGCTCGATGAGGTGCAGACTTCATTCTCAGCCCCATCTGCGCTGCACTTGAGAACAGGGCGGCTAAAGGACTCAAATCACACATTATCCACCCTTAGAACGCTTCTAGGGTTTCGGTACCAGAAAGTCAGAGAGTCGATCATTCCCCATAGCCATAAGCTAGTCAAGATGCTATACTTTCAAATCCCGCCGCCAAAAAGCACCCCTCCGGCCCATTGGAAATCAACCAACAGGCAGTGTATCCATCAACAGGCTTTTCCATCGGGAAATATTAGCTTTACAAGGCCCTATAGTTATTCGGCAGGAGGCCAAATCCAGTCTTCTGGTAAAGCATACTCAGGGGGGCCAATTCCCGAGGGCAGGAAAAACTCTCCTCTTTTGTCATAGACAATCCTCTCCTTACGACGGATTCGAACATGCATCTGACACCTTGTGCATGTGCATGCGTGTGCGTAGGGCCAAGATAGTGACGAATTCTCCGCAGATTGGCTGGCAGCACGCGTGCCAGGAAATTAAAGTAAAAATATACACGATATTCAATTGGTTAATTATATAGCGCTACCCGCAGCCCTGGAATGGCGGGCTTTTGGGCTCAGGACTAATTCTTCTTTGGAAGGTGTCTGTCTAGTCGCAATATCAGCCTTCCCAACGCACACCCTGGTTCACAGAACATCAGGAACCACATGGCTAGTTAGTCGTTGCAGGAGAAGCAAGTACAGAGCTAAGCCATGCAGGCTTGGTTGGCCTCTCTTTTTGGTGCCCGCGGGAGTCCTGTACTTTTATGCACATATATTTATGACTTGCGGTCAATATATTCTATATTCAAATCGATTTGTGGAAGCCGGCTTATCCGGCTTGTTTGTATAACTGGAGCAAGGCTGTAACCCCGAGGATGTATGTGCTATAGTTATAGTAGCAGGATTGTGAACAGTTTATGAAAGGATGATAGAAAGATCCGCGCTTTGACGGTACATGCTCGATAGAGTTAATATAACATCGAACTCAACAGGCCTTTAAATTAATTATATATATTTAACAAACCAGTAAAAAAAAGAAAAGGGAACAGGAAATATGCAAAACACCCCCGAAAACTTTTTATTGTGGTAAGAGGGGTAGCAGAAGAGCAGCCTATATTGCCATTAAGCTCGTCAGCATGAAAAAGAGAGAAAAAACAAGGCTCACAAATGAAGGGTATATATTTATTTAAGGAGAATATGCAGTGTATCCAGCCACCAGTAACCCTGAAAATACAGGAAGGAACTAAACGAGCGCGAAACTAAAGAGGAAAAAAACTCGCACTCAAAATTCACATCACAGGTCCGCTCTTAATCCCTCGAGGAGCCCACACTTCCCTTTCGACATTCAGGAGTGAAGAGACGGCACATTTTTGTACCGAGCTTTGAGTAATTTGCTGAACGCCAGGTTCTGCAATGCGAGGTTGTCGGGGTTCTTCGGCTGCACGGCGGAGATCACTAGTACACTGCCCAGCTAGTGGGTGAGAACCGCGACGGTAAACATCTCTGAGAAGACCTCCCCTTGAGGGAATTAAGGGGGCCGGACCTGGGCCCGGGCTAGGGCTAGGTGTGGGTAGGGGGATCGATCGGATTGGTGGTAAGGTTATATCGTGAGATGGATCAGATATATTAGGGGGTAATACTGCGGTTTGAAAAGGGTGTTTTGCAGCGGTGTTGGTAGTCGAAAAGGGTGGGAATGAGTGTTGGTGGATATATGGTATATTTGACAACCTGGGAGTGTCGATATTGACATGGTACCTATGGTTTGGTGGGGACGGGTTCCGGTCGTGTGCTGTGCTCGTATGAACCATGGATGGCTTGTTGGGGTCTGGACCAGTTGGTGATAGCTCCATCGGATACGAAAGCGACGGCAATCGTTTATGTGATGATTGAGGAAAAGCCGGGGAATAGGGCGGGAAATAGCTGGGCACTGGTTCGTAGCGTGGAGACGGGGTTCGGATATGTGAAGGGGTAGAGTATTCACGCCTGGAGTCCTCGATAGGGTAATGTGTAGAGTCCAGACTAAGCGATGATGATCGTGATTTCGCACTTCGCCTTCGAAGATTGCCCGATGACATTTGATGGTAATGTAGACGACAGGCCAGCTCCGTCTTGCACAGATGGGCTGCAATGCGCTTGTATGGAGTCTTCATCATACGGGCACGATAAAGATAGGCATCCTGGTCGTGAATATTAGTATATAATCTTTCGACGGGGCGTTCTATTTTTCCAAATTTGTACCTCTTCTTCAGTCCATGCTCGTCCACCACAAGAAGCTAATGCTTTACTCTGCTTTTCGATCCCACACCTCATTGCTCCAAGGCAAGAAGATTTGTATTCTGCCAGAAAGGAGGGTGGTGATGGAGGCCCATCAGCATAAACTTGACGATTCATCCTCGAGTCTTTGAATGGGTATATGGATTAATCAACCAAGTATATACAGCTCGATGATTTTGAAAGTGGGTATGTCACTGAGGAAATGGTAGGCCAATGTCCTGAGAAGTCGTTGTTCCTAAAGATTGTCTTCAGGGATCAGAAGGAGAACACCCCGACAGAAGCCAAGTTGAGATAAGGTATATCTGGCCGTGGACAAGACACACACGGCAAGGTGTAAAAGTAATAGTAAGAAATAGCTCGGTCTCCACAAACAAAGAGATAAAAAAGGTGGGAAATGGCCGGACGAAGGCCTTTATTTATCGGGTGAAGGAGAAGGGTAAACAAAATATCTCCCCACTCGAGATAGGGAAGGTAAAAAAAACCGTTTTCCCACTGAGCCACACAACAGTGAAGAAAAGGTTGAGAAAGGGCCGGTGGTTATGGATTCGGCTATGGGGTAACAACCTTATTATATTTTGTTTGTAGTGAGTGGATGGAAGGCAAGTTGGGCTTTAGTTCTTCAATGTTGTAAGCAGCAACTTGTTGTAAATGAGATGCTGCAGGACTGAGTAGAAATATGATATTAGTTGTGGATGACATAGCAGCTTCCTCCAAATATGTCTTGCATGCCTTGCCTTACCATACCGCACCTTGCCTTGCCACGGCGGAGAAAGGCATGGTTATGTAACAGGTTTGTAGCACGCTGCGGAGCAGGGAGGAGTACCGTTTGGCACGATCTCATTTTATTTTCCATCCCTCATCCTTATATACCATGACAAAGGCATGCACGCTCTGACATACGGAGTAGATGCTACTCGTACAGCAGCATCATCTGTGATGAGCTTTCTCTCTCTTTCAGCCTCTGCTCAACAACCACAAAAAACCGAAGGATCGGTTTGATGGCTCTGCGGCCCCCCCAACGGTTAATCGAGATACCAGGGGCGCTAAGGAGGAAAACAGACATAGAGGGAGAAAGAGGAAAATAGAGAGGAAGAAAAATACCCAAAAAGGTATTTTTGGCAACTGATCTACGCCCGTTTCATGATTTGCCTGGGTTTATGGGAACTGCATTGCCACGGGTACAGATCAGATGGCGGCGTGGTGCTTCAGAACTGGGACCAACAGGTGCAGGGAGCAAGCATGAACCACTTGACGCCGTGGATACGTCGGTTAGCAAGAAAATAGCAGGGCTGAGCAAGCAGTATACAGTAGATAGATGCATGTCGATGTGCCAAGGTGGACATTGAATAGTGGATAGTTTCAGCCAGATTGACGTAATAGTTCTTTTTGCTAGACGGAAACCGATGAAGCTTGAGCAGCGGAGGTTTTTTTTTTCTTTTCTTTTGACAGCTTCAAGGCCTTAGATGTTGCTTGCATATGAATATTTGAGACAATATATAGTCGCTAAGAGAGAAAGCGGTCTGCAGAAATTAGTTAGTTATTATTAGTTATATATAGATGTTAATCTCAATAGGTGGGCAGTTTTGTTCCTCAGCGGCACGCCGTTACTCCATCTCCCTCCTAGCATAAAAAAGGGGGGGGAAGAAAAAAAGGGTTAAACGGTTGCAGGAGAAGCAGTTGAAACAACTCTTGGGCGACTCACCAGTCGTCTGGCCAGAGTAAACCACTTCTGATGCTGTTAATGCTGTCTATATGAAACGATGCGCGAACTCCCAAAAATAGAAAAAAATAAAGAATTGGATGAGTCAGCAGAGATCACGGGATATCTGAAACAAACAAACAAAAATCTATGCTGAGTCATCAAAAAGGTCAAAGCTTTTTAGTTAAGGAGATGCTGATTAAACTGCTTAATCATCAAAATGATCAATTCGAATCGAAGGGTGATGCGATGGAGGCAGCTTCGGCAGCAAGATGAGAAACATTCAATTCGAAACCGGCGACCGGCTCGCTAGATCGAGAATATATTACCCTGGGTCTGTTTCGCTTCAGAGTAGCTTGCTTAGACCACAAGTGACTGCTCTGATAATTAACTGCTCTATATGTAAAAAGTAAAAAAAAAAAAGAAAATCAGATCTATTCTAAAATGCATATTATAAGAGGAAAAAAAAAGAGCATTAAGTTAAACGTGCTGCTATACCATGGCTAGACATATGCAATGCAATTGGTGATGATGACTTTCCCTGATCTCGCAGATCTTCCTGGAGCGGTCGCGATCAGGAAAGATTGGTCACCCAAAGGGGGTCGGATGGATAACGGCGGGATTGGATATAGGTACTTGCTTGTCTCAACATCTCTTGGTTGATCGGTGATGCGGATGGCAGCATTGACCAAGCAGCATGGTGGCAGCATGGTGTGCGCGGCCCCTCGTTAGCATCGGCAATGCTGTCTCAAAAGGTTGTTTCTAAAGGTTGAGAAGTGATCGGGTTCTTCTGCGATGTGCTTTTCTTTCGTTCTTTTTTCCATGACCGGTAGTCACGGTAGCATTTCCTGTTTCATCAAATCAGTATGACCAAATCTATTACGGAAAATATCCACTACCGTCAGCATCGGCTCGCGTAGACCAATTACCCAAACGGGGCTCGTTGCAAAGAGGCGTCAAAGGAGAATTTTTGCTATATACATGATTAGTGTTGCTACCCCATAGTGAGCCGTCTCTATGGGTTTCTCACTGATACTACTTCGTGGTCAGCCAGCACATTCAGCTTGCATATCAGACATTTGACTAATCCAGGGGAACATGAGAGTGATACGTGCTTTGAACATTGACATCAAGTCGTTGACGGCTCGAGAGGAGCTGTTTATGATGGCCATAGCTGACTGGTATGTAGTAGGAGCAGTAGTCGTATACATTGTCGGCACGGACAAGTGCATACATCCTTGCTTTTCAGACTGTGACATCTGGCAGGATTAGACTTGTAGAAGATGTGCGGGGGATCACCGTGATGGTACAAAAAACATCTTCAACGGAGCGTTGTTTGTTGCACTTACTTGGCAAGTTTTCGACGTAGTTTCAAAGGAACAAGCCGCCAACCTTACTTGATAGGAGCGGAGTTGGGGAGGATGGTCTGGAATGTGTTCCGTGTATACAACTGGAGGTTCCATGGTTCTCCCTGGTGCAAGAGATCAAAAATGTTCCCCGAAGAGAATCATCGTTGGGCAGAGATAGATTAAGCACAAGACGCTCTCCAAGGCCCTGGTTCCTGGAGAGCAGCAGATCAAGTAAACCCCCTCCTCCCCTGATGTGACCAAACACTGGACAAACACCTCCGTCAGGCTGGATAAACTTGATCAACGGCTGATGTTCTTCCAGGAGCTTTTTGATGCAAACGAAGCCAAGGATGGTTGAACGCCCTGGCTCGTTGCTTGTCACTTGCACGTGAAGCTGACCCTGTCTTGTTCGCGGCAAACCACCTGTGTCAAGTTATCATGGACGTGATAACTGACAAACCCATGGAATACAGACAGTCCATATCACATCGACATGTCTCAGCGACCGCGCCGGAAATGGGTGGGTCAACGGCTCAAAACTTGGAAGCAAGCAGCAGAATAACAACGGCGAATGAAACGACTTGAAAACGGAGACATCAAAAGAGAAGGGTCTTCCTCTTTTGCCATATAACAAGACGAGGCGACTGACATCCACCAGACGACTGAGATTGAGGAGCAGCTTTGCTTTTTTTTTCCCCTTCTCTCCACTAGCCAACATAATAATTGACGATATATAGGTATTCGAGGGAGGATCATCCTTACAGGTATCTAAGGGGAGAGAGAGAGAGAACGATAGCGCCTATCGAGGAGTACGAGAAGTCACCAAGGTTACAGTAGTGCTTTGAGGTATATGAAAAAGCCGATGATGGGGACGGGAGTAGTAGCGTGCGTACACACGCGGAGAATGCCGAAGACGAGGCCCGAGGGAAAAGCAAAAGGGCGAGTGCATCAGCAAGCGAGTTATATAGATGGCACGGCATGGGTCGGAAATTATTTACCACGGGAAGAAGTGAGGCTGTCGACGAACACAGATAACAAGGACAGAGACAAGAAGCGATGAGAGAGAGAGACAGACAGAGAAAGAAGACAGATACAGAGAGAGAAGACTTGTTTTGGCCAGCTGCATCGAACCCCAGACCAGATTCAAAGGAACAAACCCCAGACTTTTGCTTTCCTCTCTTCCCTTTTAGCGCGCAAGCTGGGGTCGGGAAGAGGTTGCTGTCCTTGTATCCCGTTCGATCGATTTGTGCATCTCCCAAAAAAAAAAAAAAAAAAAAAAGCGCTGGGGAAGAAAACGGATGACGATGCACAAGGGGAGAATGGCTTTTACGGGAGTGACTTTACGGTCAAGTACCTGCTCGTTCCGTCCGCTTCCTGTTGAGCTGTGTCGCGCGAGGGAGGCTGCTCCAGAGTTATAGAGCCAGCAAGCGTCCCAGCTGGCAAAAAGCTGCCCTGTGTTGCAATCTTGATCGAGCGAACGGGAAACGCGACCAGCTGGAGGGCGGATGGGGCCAGCAAGGGGGATCCCTGGTCGAGCAACGAGCGCAAGCAAACTGGTGTACTTTGCGGAGATGTACATACGCTAGTTACTTGGGCTGCTATGTACGGGAGTTGGTGTGCAGTACCTTGCCTTGGGCTACTTTGAAATGCACATCAGTTACGGGTACTTGCGATGTATAACGGGGAGAAGTAGCTCGAGGTAGAAGCACTTTGGAGCAGCAGATGGCGATCACCTATCTCTACCTCTACCACTGTCGCTCTCTATAGCTATATCCGTGTCTGTAGCTATAGCTAGTACTTTCTATGCTGGTTGTTGATAGGAAAAAAGTGCTTTTGTTTATGTGTTCTAGTATTGGGACGGTATTTACCGGGGGCGAGGCTATGTAGAGATACCTCCAGTCACACGTAGTTTTGCGGGCAAAAGAAGTATCTCTACATCATCCGACCTTCCCCCGCACATTCGAGCAGAAAAAACCCAAGAAGGGCAAGAAGGAAAAAAACCTTGGAACTTCATCTTTCTTCTTCTTCTCTCTTCATCAACTTTTCTCTTCTTCTCCAACCAAAGAGATCGGATAAAAGCAAGGGACAGCAGAGAGAAGACCGGACGAGAAGACGCGAGAAGAAGACAACAACCACGACGAGAAGAAGAGATAGCAAGAAGAGACAAACAAGTCCTTCTACAGCGCGAAACCTGGCTTTCTGCCTCGAGATACGCAAACCCAAGGGGAGAGAGTATATGTACCTCCAGCTACAGTACGTCCCAACCCTTCTTTTTCCAGCTTCAGCTTCAGCTTCTTCCCTTCTACTTTTATACTCTCTACTACTTCTGCTCTCTCTGCCATACTCAACTATACTCAACTACCAAGTCCTCCCACACCCCCCCTGTTCACGTCACTCTTCACACATCGTCAACCTGTCAACGGGTATTCCGCAAGTCACCGGCTGCTCTCTCTTCTCCCCCCCCCTTTCGTTGCGATCAGGCCCAACGCTTCCTCTTCCCCTGCTCTTCCGTGTAACCTCCTTGTCCACAGTTCCGCCGTGCCAGAGAGAGAAGAGTGAGTGAGTGAGTGAGAGTGTGTGTGATAAGATAGCAAGGCGTTGGCAGCTTCTCGGCAGACGGACACATCTTCCCTCCCAAAAAAAAAAAAAAGGAACGGAGTTACATGCTATGTAGCTCGACTCTCTTGATCAGCCTGGCTAACGTTCTCCTTCTTTTCTCTGCTTCGTATCGATACAGATGAATTGGGTCTTCCCATCTAGGTCTCCCCTTCCGGACATGAAGTGAGTTACTCGTCTCTCCTTTGTCACTCTCAGGTTCCCTTCTTTTTCCCTTTTGATACATGCATACATACACCTTCGGATCGTCTTATACCCTTCTTCTGTCGACTCGTTTCTTTTCTCTCTCTCTCTTTTTTCCTTTTCCCTCTGCTCGGTTCCTCGGGAGTTGCCTCCTGGTTCCTCATCAGGCTCCTTCCTCTCGTCCCTCCCACGTAGCATAAAGATGCTGGATCCGCCTACATCTCTTCCTCACTTCTCCCGTCCTGCTCTCCCTCTTATTATACGTCAACAACCCAGTGAAACAATTAACTTGACATTCAACCCAGCTGACTTGTCTTTCTCTCTTCTCTCTTTCTCTTCGATACAGTTCCCCGCACCGTCTCAAGACCGGCGTTGGTCCCAACCCGCCGGCTCTCCCTCACCAGCATCAGCAGCACCAGCAGCAACAGCAACATCACCAGCAGCACCAGCACCATCAGCACCACCAACATCCTCTCCCCCTCTCTCAGCCAGGTGCCCCCTCTCCCTTTGCTCCTCCAAACCCCTTCGACAACCCGCCAATGGTCCCTGCGCCCCCAGTTCCAACTACCGCTCCGGCTCCATCACATCTCCAAGCTACGCACGTCCAGCAACAACAGCAACAGCCAGGTCAAGTCCATCCACCTTCCTCCCCCGCTAATCCAAGGAAGCGTCGAGCCTCCATTCAGCAACCGGGCTCGTTATCTAACATGGGGCCTCCAATGGCTGGTTCTGAGCAGGACGGTAACACTGCTGGTAGTGCTACCGCTGCTGCTCCTGCTCCGGAGGCTGGGGTCAAGAAGAAAGGCCGCACTAACACACCCTGGACTGCGGAGGAGGAGCAACGACTCAAGACTATGAGAGATGCTGGTAATACCTGGAGTGAGATTGCAAAGGTTAGCCTCGTCTTTTCCGTCTGATATATTGCTCTTCCTTTTTTTTACTTCTTTCGTTACTAACTAGTATAAAGACATTCCCTACGAGGACTGAAGGGAGTGTCAAGAAGCACTGGTATAAAGACATGCATTATGCGGAATTTGCTGAGGATGAGGTAATATTTACTCCTACAAAACATACCGTTTCTGTAACCGATCTGACTCTATACGTAGTCTATTGCTCTACGGGATGCAATCAAGGAATACGAAGCCAATAAATGGAAAGTTATTGGCCAGAAGGTCGGAAAACCAGCAAAGGTATGTATATTTTGATCACTGTCCCCTTTCTCTCTGGACCTGACAAATAAGTACTTAACATGGCCACTTAGGCTTGCGAGCAATACGCCAAGGAACATTTCAAAAGTCCATAAAAGCTTGGTCTTTAACACAAAGACAACCGTCTTGGGGATACCTTTCTGGTCCGTCCGTCCACAGCACAACTCCAGCCCGGGGATACACCTAGCACATCCACACCCCATCCCAGCGCCCCTTTTTTCATTTCATTTTATAAGGGTAGCCTTCTCTTCCCTTGATGCAGATTGAACTGCCCGGACCATGATGGCGAACGTCCAAACTTTGATGCCACAATCCTGAGAGTGGAACACTTCATCGGATACATGACACGATTGACATTCGTAGCCAACCCTAAAGCTTGAATGTGCTATTATGGTTGGGCTGTCTTTTTTATTTTTATTATTATTATTACTTGGATTTTTTTCTTTTTTTTTGGCTCCTACCCAAGGTTTCTGTCGTTACTTTTTTTCTCTGCTTTTTCGAGGGAGTCTGGGTCTGGTCTTGTCTGGGCTTGGATGGGCGTTCATTTCTCTTCACTTTTCCGCTGCAACACAACCTCCTACCTACCTTACCTACACGCATTACCCTCTTCTCTCACCGTCTCCATATGCGGCGGTTCTGCAGAGTTTCCATACCCCTTTGCACTGGAATTTTGCGATATGACGCGACTCATTTTTCTTTGCTTATATATATAATTCCTTGTTCAAAATTCCCCTTTACCCCTGCTTGGAGTGCCTTTTTGGATATATCCTATAAGCCCATAAGCCCATTGGCTATGGGCTACGGATCATGGACCACGAACTATACCTCTTGTACGGCTTTCTCTTTTTGCTTTACTTCGTCTTCCATTGGTTTCAGCCGTTTCATTTTTAATTTTTTTTTTTTCGTTTTTTTTTTCACTGCTGGGTATGTTATGAAGGAAGTACGGAACATGGCAAGGCAGGACAGGGAAAGGAAGGCAACATGGTGCAATTGACGTGATATCAATAGGGCGATGGAATTATTGTGTGTTTCTTGGTTCGCTTCTTTTCTTTTTTTCCCCTCTTTTTCTTTTTCACTATTATTTCCTCCTGTTCATTTTGCCTGATGTTACTCCTTTTTTCTCTCTACTCGTTTATTCGGGAGGCAAAGGATAAGATAGGAATACAATTATGTTAATGATTTGGAATCTTATATATATACGGGTACCTAGGTGATCTACGCGGGCACTATGATGTCAAAGCATGTATGTTTCTTTGTAGAGGGTACTTTGTAGCTGCAGGAACTTTGGCTTACGCAGCACGCAACTCCACCAGGTACCGTGACCGCCAAGTACTTCCCGCGCTCTCCTAGGCTTATTTTCACCTCACACGGTCACAACCGCGCAGTTCTTCCACGACGACGACGACAAACAGGCAGATCCTTCCATTGGCCTCTGTTTAATATATGATAGAGTGACCAATTTGTCATCATTCTGATCATTATCGAGTGTGAGGAATGTACAAAGTATCCCGTTCGTCAGGTATAACACACGAAGCAACAAACGGTAGAGCTGGGGTCTACTACTTTCAAAACATCCAACCTCAGTTCATGTATCTCTACATTTTCAGTGGTATCCATGATCGACTGGCCTTTTGTCCGTCTATATCACTAGCTTGTACCCTCAAAGTAGCATCCGCAGCTCACCTCGGGAGAAAAAGACAAGACAGCAAGAAACATAAGCCATGATACCCACTCTCTTCCCCTGCACCTGAGAGGGCAGCAGCTCGATCTAGATGCAAGTGGCAATGCACCATATCGGTGGCAATGATCCCGGGAACATTATCCCCCCATACTATTTCCCCTATTCCCCATCGAAGATCATCGTTCATCTGTATGGCCAGGGTGAGATCTCACAAAAAAGCCATACGCAACCCGACATGCATACCGTGCTTCCCCGAGGAATGTTGAGTTCAAACCGATTGGTTGGCGTGTTCCCTGCCTACAATACATACAATACAAGCACTAGTGAATCAATTCAAATGCTTGGACCCTCCTCCTCCGAAAACGCCATATTGATTATCCTGTTAGGAGAATGGAATGTATGGTCTACGCTACGCTTGAGCTCCATTCCGTCAGCCTGAATCTGGCCTCTAGCCCGTGTATGAACAGCTGTAAAGATGGATGAGGGCAAATAACATCTAACCACCTTGTTCCTGTATACGAAAGCCGAGAGATTTCAAACTGACACATTTTAGATTGATCAGATGGTACCACATGAAATTAGGATGAAAGGGCGGTGGGAAGGAGGCCATCTACATGCATTGTCTGAATTTGGCAAAGCCATGGAGAATCAAATCAAATATACGGCTATTCTGCTTGGAAATGGCTCCGAGAGTGTGTCTCGGTGTGTGTGTTGACGAATATTGACCCTACTCACTACAAGGAAGTGTGCGCGTGATCGGGTTTCTGTACAAGGTGTGGGAGACCGTATGCATGTCATATTAGGTTACCCGCTGGTAGAGATAATACGACCCGATCCTTGGTGGAATTGACCGACATGGATCATTCTTCTGTCTCAATTTACAGAATTCTCCCTTATCCTCTGATGTCTTTCAACGATTCATTGGCAGCGGAACTTTGAAAGCGCTATACGGTTAACTCAATATACGTACTACAGAATGAAGTTGCGGTCCGGGTGCCGTGCCGTGCCGGTTTCTTTGCTGATTCGGCTCGCGCTACATCGGTGCAATTCCATAGAGTATATTCCCATTTTATTTACAGTTTGACATTTTATATTTTTTATTATTTTCTCCCTTTCCTTGATCCTGTGACACGTACTAGGGAGTGAAGGGTCGAAAGTCATATTGTTTGTATGACTATACATGGGGGTCGACCGGATAGGTCTCTCAGCTTTTTCACATACCCACCCCCTCTGGCAGACCCTAGTATGCTGAACTTGGGCTGAGGGTATCCATATTCAATTGAGCCATTTGTTGAACATGAACTTATTCACTTGGCCAATTGTATTAGGCCACGGTTGGATACCATACCCCTTTATTGCTGAACATTGGATGGGCTTCCCCAACAGGGAAGGAACTTCGCTTCACCTTTTTTGCGATTCGTACATTTTACGATATACCATTTTCTCGGCGTAATTGACAAGGCTGCGCGGTCAGCTATAACTGCGCCATATGTCAAGAGACCCTGCCCAGCCACGCCTCCCGGGTCCTTTCTGTTGCTCTTTTCTTCTTTCCTCGTGCTTCATGACTCCTCCAAGGAGGTAACCTAGATTTCAATAGTCTCTCACTACCACCATCAAGCACTGCCTCATACGAAGGCCCGTCCTAACGACCCAGCCATTCCAACGGACCTTGCAAGGTTTACATTATCTACGAATGAGTAGTAGATGATAGTCCACCTATACAACAAACTTGGTCTGATCTCCGAATATAGACGTTTTGTCAAGGTTTTGGATATCAGCAACTTGGAAATACTTTAAAATGACTGAATTTTAGGTTTCCAGACCAGCCGATACGGTCCCTCTCCACCAGAGGCTGAAATTGGCGTTAGCTATCGAGCCGGTATCATGTACAGATGCTTCCTGCTCACACCACAATATGCGATGCATATACGCTTAACCAGTGACGTGGTAAATCAGGCCAGGTCATGTAACGTCTGGTAGGTAGTATATGGCTACATATGTGGTTACCCCCTATGCACACCCGTTCTACTCTACCATAGAGCACAGCGCAAACAGGCAAAACATAGAGCTCTGTATGGCGGCAAAACTGTGGGGGTTCTATACCTGATTCTCTCCCATATACTTGCTGGAATATCATTATCAACAGGAGAAGTCAAAGTTATCCACATGTCCGTACAAACACATTCATGTACAACATTACTCCGCTACCTGTCTAGCACCTAGACTCAAAAAACCTATCCTTGCTACATCCAATACCCAATTAAACATTCCAACGGCATTTTCAGACCCAAGGAAACCACCGGCCGCCCCGGCCTTGTGTGATATGCGTGTCAATAATAAATTAAGTCGTCACTAACTCAGTTCCCCCACTTCTCGAATACCAATGGAAACTTGTTTTACTTGCATTGCATTGCATGGCATTACATTGCATTGCAGTATACACAATAAAGTGGGATTGAACAGATGGGCGGATGGGTGTGTGGGTAGCATCCTTGGTATAATAACATTGCGCTGCCCCCACGAACGTGTCATTTTTTTTTTTTTTTTTTTTTTTTTGAAGGGGGGAGGGATTCGCTTGGAGCCCTTTGCAGCGGCCTAAGTAACTATGTGGGATATACAAGATCTTGTGAAACAGGTCTTCCACAAGACCGTGAATCGTCCATTCTACTTGATAGCGGTGGCGGGGATCCGGATTTTTCGTAGTGCGTATTAGCTATTACTTATTCTACACAGTTTACTCTGTAGATATCGTACGAGGGGTGTATATACCTTGCCTGGGTTGTTGTGCCATGCAATTCACTAACATTATGTGATATGAAAGTCTCCTGGAGTGCTATGCATAGGGGTCACTAGGTTACTATTCTAGATTCGGGTCAAGGGAGTAAATATGTCCATTCCTTTTTTATTTGAAAACAAATCTTATTAACAGGAGTTATTCTACAGAAGAAAATAACACGGGACTATGGATAGAGGATACCAATGTCAGGGAGAGATACAAGAGTATATCAAATAAAGCAGGAAATAGCTGAGTTAGATTGATGACGAATGTGGGTTTAAGGCATAGTCTCCCTCAGCGTTTCTTTTAGTACAGATACAAAGATATCATGGAAAGGAAATCCTTGTGACGGGAAGTGCAGTAAGTGATATGCTTGCGAATTTACCTATACCAATACTCAGGCCTAACGTGGTCGGCGAAGGTCTTTGGCTCGGAAGGCCCGTGGTGGTGGTCGTGGCCTTGTTGAAAGGGGAAACGTTAGTACAGTGAATTGTGAGGCAGAGGTATGGGGAAATATAATCTTACCGTGAGCGTGAGGATCTTCCTTTGGACCAACATACTCCATCTTGATGGTATTACCGCATTCTGAGCAGCGCTCGATTGGGCGGTCTTTGGAGACCTAGTGTTGAAAAGACGTATGGTTAGCAACTATATTCTGGCCCTGACAGTAATATAACGTCCGCCGTAAAAATGAGGGGAGAAATATCTTATATGCACTTACAGTTAGCCAGATGACGGTGTGGGAGTCGGCAGGGTAGCCAGTGCATCCGACGTAGTGTTCCTCTCCAGCAGATTGGACGACAATTGGGTCCTGGATAGTTCCTATATATACCAAAAGGAAGAGTCCCGATGGTGATTAGCAACCTCTAATAGATAGATGTATTCTATTCCAAGTATGTTTCATTCAGGGCTTTCCTCGCGGGTTTTTATTCTTCAATTTATGACATATACGGGGTCTCGAGGCAGAAAGCCCTGCAGAAAATACGGATGCAAGAAGTGGAGATAATTTCACGCACCGAGTCTTGAAGCATCGAGAGGCTTCTGGTCAAAAATGTCGATTCCTTGCATTTTACCCAAGAGTTCCAATCGCTCCAAACCGGTAGATTGCTCGAGATCAGTAGGGACGGTACCAGCCTTAGCACCGGGGGCTAAGAGATCTGCTGGGGTTTTGGCCTCTAAATAGCGAATGATTTCCAGTTAGTTAATTATTTAACCCCAGTATTATATCATGAGCATGTGTTGGTTCCTGGGTAGATATGTAGAGCCTTAGGCTTTTGCATAAAAAAGCCGTTAAAAGGTACACACTACCGGCAGAATGCGCCCGATGATCCAGATAAACGCGCAAAGAGCTTAACAGAACTCTAAGTGTAGAGGAGAGTGTCATAACAGACCTTCGAAGGACACCATCTTTCCAGCAGATTCACCAGGTTGAGGATCCCATTTCGACTTTGTTTCGTCTGTCACATTCGTTAACCAGTTAGTCACAGCTCAAGGCACCCAAAGTATTCCAAATAAAGCTCGATTTGCTCAATTGTACATGATATTGATTGAAATAAGGCAAGAGAAGTTCCTTTGGGAGCAAGAAAACGGAGATGATACATACATCGAACGAACGAGGTAGAGAAAGAGCGCTTGGCGACAGCTCCGAGAGGAGCTCGCCTCGCGAGGGCGAAAACGCTTCGTTGAACAAACATCTTTTCACAATCCTAATAAACCTGCCAATTGGCTTATTGGGCGACAGTGGTGAGGACTCTGTTGTGGTGATGAGAGAGGTTTGAAGTTGAGGTGGAGTGATGATTTTGGACTTTTGGCTTGGAAATGGCTGAATCCGGATGGTCTGTTGCTGCTTAGTCATAATTCCAAACAATCTTTGACCGACCAATGGGAAGTCAATCACGTGTAATTAGTTAACGCGGTTATGTCAGCAGCATCTTAACCTAACCCTACCACCCAAAAGGGAAGTACGAACAACTACATTCAATCCCCTCTTATTTCTTCTTCAATGAAGACAACAAGCCACGAAGAGGGACTCACGAACTACACTAGCGGATGGGTGGATTTTCTGCTAGACTACAATCACCGTGATATCTTTGTAGGCGTAGTTATCGCTTAGCCTACATGTCTGGCAAGGCCGAAATTATACCCATAGAGATAAATAAAGGCTTCAAATAACAGATATCAAATTCTAAACCCCCTACATCTTTAGGCACGGAAATATTGGCGAATAATATCTGCAGCCGAAACGAGAGCTCAATCTATAGGTTGCTATCGTGGAAGATTTACCATCACAACAACTATTTTGGGCTTATATCTTACTTTGAGAAGCTGACCTTGCTACCATACACACCGAATTTCGTGCAATAATCGATTACATGCCGCCCATTCTATCACAACATATCTGAACAACTAATTTGACACCAGGTGGGTTTGCATGTGTGTATCACCCGATTCTCCTAAAACCGCGGATTTTTTAAATCCCACCGCCAGGCTTTCACACGCCCGGCATTAGGAACTTTGTATTCCGGTTCTCATGCTTGTTCCTGTATGACCCATCCCGCATGGAGTTTTACCCCCTGACTCTCGAATCCTCGGTCATTCCGATTCCAGAAACCCATAGAATAGTTTGGGTAACGCACCCTTTTGGCCTTTAAACGGTGCCCTCACTTATTACTAGCACATGATTCCCATATTCCATGCTACATGGATGACCAAGGTCAAGAAATTATGGACTCATCCCCCTGGTTAAAGAAACAAGCTTATGCGCTCGAAATACCGCTACCTTTCGCCCGGGTGTGCTTCCATACCTAGTTTGCAAAAAATAATTAGTTAGCCCAGGACAAAATATCCGAATATGCGGATCACAAGTTGGGGTTGGTTACATAACACATTTACATGCAGGTTTGTGGCCCTGAACTTACCAAAACACGAGTTGTAATATGCACACGTTTAAATCAAAATCGCCATTTAGAATCAACTCCTGCGACCTGGCAGATATAAGGTGTGAATTGCAACATGAAACCCTTTCTAGGCATCATGCGAATACCCCAGCTCGCTGATTGTCAACTGAAATATATCACAGAAGTTGATGGCTAAGAAATAATGTTTCTCCCTTGTGCAACTTCTTCCCGCAATCGAGCGTCGGGTTACAGAGAGTGAGACAAAAATAGGCCCGCTGCGGTATAATGCTTTGGGCCAACCGCATTAACCCTTTGGCTAGTATCTAGCTACCTAATTTGGCATTTTGATTGCTATGACTTTCACCTTCCAGCTCGACAAATGAATTGAAAGGGGCTACTAGCCTGTATTCCCTTGACAACTCTATATCTCCACTAGCGAACGCAGGCCATAGACAAAACATATCCAGACGATGCGTAGTGAGATGTATACATAACCAAACCCTATTCTCCCGAGCAAACATGCTTGATCTTATTATGAGATGATATACCATTCAACTATGGAACTGGTTAATCTCAGCCTCAAGGCGAGAAATCATGCCTGTATCATTTAATTTCAGGTCTATAACCGAGGGCTATGGTTGTTGCTCTACCCTTCGATGTTATTGGCGGGAGCCATTCCTACGTTTTATAAAGGACGCGATCTCTATTGTCATATAGATGGCTCTTTCTGGGTGTTCTATACGATGTGTAACCATCCTTAAGAGGACAACAAAGTGCTTTCCTAGTTGAACATGGAGAGGGCGTCTCCACGGTTATATTTCGCGTTTTATAGACGTGGATAACGATAAACTGCCGATTCACTCTGTACGACCCTGCTTCCATACAAGAAAGGAACAAAAGCAACTTTGATTAGGTTTAGGCGAGGATTTTCAATCGTGGCCAACTGCGATCTTTTCCCGTCCTTAATCGGCTTGTTGTTTTCAAATTGTTTTCACAGGTTTATACTTGGCTACTTTACACTCCATCTGTTTACTGGATCTGGCAACCCCCCTAGTTGGACGGATAGTCAGCTAACCAAGGCTGCGCCACGGGTTTGCCAACATTCAAATGCTGTGAAATGTGTCTCTGTTACCTATTCCCTGCGGTGATTCTGACGGATCCCTGCATATCCGGCTGCATGACATTAAGCCATTAACGCTCAAAATCATAACGGTGTTCCTGCAGGCTCAGTCGAGTTGTATATAATGTGCAACCACCATGCATCTTCTCACCTCACATCCGCACAATATGTATGGCAATTCCATATTACCTTAAGCTTGAACCTAACGATCACTGCAAGGTATATTCACCGCCATATGAAGGGCATTCTTTTTGTCTCTCCTCGACAGAAGATTCACATATACATCGTACAACTTCCGACCCTGTTACTACTCTCCGCCCACCCTTAGAACTATATGTGTGCCTAAATTTAACTCACGAACCCGGTCAGGCACGTCCATCTATATTCCGCATGCGAACATCACACAGCCTGGTATTTGTATCTCCGGCGTGTAACCTGTTCAAGAATCGCGCTAGAATAGTCTATGAGTTGTTTGCTTTAGGGTGGTGTGTGTATCCGGTGAAACTATTCAAGAAGGGTTGGAATGAAGTGTAGAAATCAAGTATCTGTCTCCATATCTATTGAACGGAGTCGCCGTAACCAAGCTTTATTTGGTATGAGAGTGCTATGTTGATCATTATATATCCCAGCAATGAATGAAGCAATATAACCACCGCCTTGGATAAAAAACAAAATGATGGGGGAATATGTAAAGGGAGATACCAGCAATGCGAAGCCACACCGACTAAATAAACAGAGGGACACAACCCACGATCCGCCAAAGGAAGTTGGAGTACAGAAAAGGGGTATATATGCATAGATACAAAACCAAAATCGACATCCTCAACAACGCAGCATCCTGTTCGCTCCCACTTGTACTCCGTCTCTTCCTGCTGACGGCCAATCTCGAGATGTAAGACATACAAAAATCAAGGGGAAAAAAGAAATACACTGACATAGGAAATTAACCATAGAAACTAAAGAGAAACCCACCACAGATGAATAACGAGTGTGTTCCGTATGCTTTGCATGCTAGCTATAATTCCCTGTGGTATTGCAGGAAAGAAAACTAGCCATTATTATACGGAAATGGATCCGATAATGGAAATTGACGCCAACAATTATGCAGCTAGATGGTGCAGAACAGAACAAAATGAAAACAAAATGAAAACAAAATATAACGAGAGGAATAATTAGTAAATAAAACAAGATAACAAGGAGAAATGACCTGAAAAGTAAGCAAAAGGCTATGAAGCGAATGACAAGTCCTCGATGCAGAATAAATCTAAACAAAGGGAATGAAGACGTGGGGTATTGATCGTAATTAAAACCGCTGGAACCAATTTACCGCAAAGACTCATTGTCCGTAGCGTAGCTGGCAGTGGAAACAGAAGACGAGACAAGACGAGGAATAGGATACATTCGATAGGGGTGTCAAAGTGGAGAAGGTAGGAAACCTGGGGTATCATAACGGGCGTATGATGGTAAATTCAAAATTAACCACACACAGTCATTGGTATCTTATGTTAAGCAAGTCGAATCAATTCCACCGTAGATTGCAATGGCGGATGGTTGCAGGAACCATAGGATAACGTGCGATGGGTGTTTCATACTCCGCTTCACTGTTCGGTGTCGGAGGGAACATACCAGTGCGGTTGACTACACGTCAAGAACGATGACTCGACGGGAATCATTCTTGGGCAGGCCCGTAACACAATTGTTTCTTCTTTCTTCTTTCTCTTTTCTTCTTTTAATAAATGACCACACGGCTTCTCTTTGAATTGCGCTTTTTGAGAAATTTCTGTTGGTATGTCCTAGAGCTTAAGATTTTTGAGAGCCCAGAATTAATGCTTTCTCTTAACATCCAGATGTAAGTGAGAAGGTAGGCTCAAGATTTACCCGCCGAATCTCGGATCTTGAGCCTGTCTACCCAATGCGGAGAGTATCCGACAAAATCCCGAATTGAAAGTGAAACTTAAAAAAATTAGACATCGATATTAATAAACGTATAGCGGTGTTCTTTGTAATTGAGAACAAAACTGGTACCCATAGAAATTCTGAATGTACCACGCTGTCGCACATCGTAGGGCGGCTGAAGGCGATCTAGTCCTTAAGGGGTAGAAATAAGATTCGAGAAGCATTCTGAGGAGAATAAAACGAAGATTTCTTCTTAAATTGGCGGGGGGTTTGAGGTGGGAATTTCCGCAGCTTTCTCTCGACATGCTGCGGGAGAGAACCCACTGCCGACCTTCGTCGCAACGATACGCCAGCGATCGTTTTCGTAATCTTGAATAGCGTTACGCAGGCGTTGCACCTTTGAAGATAAAACATGTTAGTAGCCAAGCTCTCAACATATCGGGCACCAGCAGGACGGATGTATTTTGTGGAAGCCGGGTTAAAGTTTTGAAAAAAAAAAAAAAAGGGAGAAGGTTAGAAGGGGACAGGGGGAGAACGGGGGTCAGGAATGCAAGAACCAGGGCAAAAGGACATACTGCTTCATCTGTCCAAACTGTGGCTTTTGCCCGCAGTTTGGTGCAATATCGCACTTGCAGGGTCCCGCTGGTCCGACCCGGGAAGAACTCAGCAATTTGCTTCCATGTTAGATTCCTATTTTCCTTCAGCTCCACGAGTAAACTGTCGTCTTCCGGTGTGAACTTCAACTTCGGGCCCCTGGGACGAGGCGCAGGGTCGGGCATTCCTGGCTGGCCAACAACGCTTTGCGAACCCGTGCCTCCGCCAGGGGACGTGAGTTCACCGTCACTGCCCTGAACTGCCGCCAGCGTAGCCTGGGAGGGTAGTCGGTGATGGTGATGTTGTTGATGAATAGGGGATGTTTGGTGGTAGTCATGTTGTATAGAATGTTGATGATGAGATGAATGGTCAACCGGAGCAGGTAGAAGCATCTCGGAGGAATGTTGCTCGTCAGCATGAGATGTTTCCGGAAGCATAGAGAGACCAATCCCGGGAGTTGTATCATCACTTCCTCCGCTGCGCCCATCATCTGCTCTCCGCCTTTTCACTCCATGCCGGTCGCCGGGGTATGGCAGCGGAAGGGAAGTGGAACTAAAATGAGGAGGCAGCTGCGGTGGCACCATAGGCGTTGGAATCATAACTGGTTGCTGTTGCAACTCACGTACAACGCCGTGTTGACTAGGGGAGGGCATCAAAACCGCACCTGGACCGTGGCTTGGCTGACTCGGCTGTTGAGATTGCTGCTGCGAGGTCTGGTGGTGCTGCGGATGTTGATGCTGCTGGTGTTGTTGATGCGGACTCCTGTGCAGCTGGTGTTGCGGCTGGTATTGTGAAGTATGGCCACTCGAAATGAAAGCTGCTCCAGGGCGTCCCCCATGATGAAGTGCCGTTTGTTGTTGGTCTGTCTCGTATACCAACTGACTCTGTTGCTCCTGCGCTTTCGTTTGTTCGTGGGCGGAGTAATCAATCTGATAGTCCCGGTATGGATCCGCCAGCGTCACGGCTGCGATCCAGCTCTGCTAGAGCTCCAAAGCTCTAGCAGGCTGCTTGGAATTTGCGCCAGAGGGGACGTAATGGGTAAAGGAAGTTGTATTCCGAACGTCCTGGGGAATTTTTCGGTCTTTGCCCTCCCAATTCAGCCTTCGTCCACTCCTGAAAGAGACTGGTCTCCCTATTCTCCTCTATTCCGCACCCAGCTCTTCTGGCCCAAACCCTCTCTAGCACGTACTGGATACGTTACTCGACGTACCCTGCTCGTATAAATGGCTCGATCGCGTGAGGCAAGCTCGCAGATGCAGCCAAAAGGAAGGTCGAGAAACGCCCACCCCACCCTCTAACGACCTTAACAGTGCCAGAATGATAACAATAAGCAGTATGATATTGGTAAGAGAACAAAAAAGGGGGAGATCGAAGGTAGAAGAACGCTATATCAGCAGAAGGACATATATGAGAAGGTGCAGATGTCGAAAAAAAAAAGCTGACAAGCTCACTTCAAAGGCAAAACTAGTTCTGTGCATGGTTGTAGTATTATTATAATTTATTGTCATGGAGGACATCGGGACGCTGGCGACAGATCATAATAATAATAGGTATAATAATAACACCATAACAGGGCATGGGATAGTAATAATAATAAGGGCGTATTAAGAGAGGGGCTTGATCAAATCAGAATAGAGATGGCAGGCAAAGTATAAAAAGGTATTTTAAAATGAATAAATGCGAAGTCAGGACCGGCAAGTCTACTTGTGCCTCTTGCATCATTGTGCAAAATTAAAAAAAAAAAAAAAAAAAAAAAAATTGAAAGGGCAGCAAAGAGTTGTCCAAGGATTGCAAGCCGACCTGTGGCCCATGAGCAAGAAACAACGTTTGGTCGGGAGACGCTGCCGTTAATTAGCTTCACCGGGATAAACTGGGGCCTGTCTGAGAGATTCGATCAAGAAAAGAGCTGGGCAGCAGCCTTCGCAAAGCCTAGACTGTAATTAGCGAAATTCCCGATATCGCTACGCAGGTTCCTTCCCCCATGAAACGTGTGTGTAAGTATATATGAGTGTACACAGTACGTATGATGCGTGTGATATTCAGAGGAAGACCCACCGCGCCACCGTTGGAGGTTTGAAAAAATCCGCGGATGGCTAGGACAAGCTCCACAGCTCCAGATATAACACGTTATAAAAGGAGGTTAAAAAAAAGCCGTCGAGAAGGTCGTTGCTAACCCCGTGTAATGTTCTGTCGTTGGCAGTGACGAACATTAAAATGACAAGGGGTGGCAGTGGATAAGGTGTGAGAATCCCCGTCAGGAGAGAGATACATACGTCGAGAAGAAAAAGCAGCCAGTGTCAACCCAGCACGCTGGATGCATGCCGAGATTTACAAGAAGTGGTCGAACACAGCTCCTTGGAAGGCCACTCTTAATCCTTCTTTTCGGATTTATTGGGCGTCAGACGCTCCAGACGTAGCTGCGGCAATCATCCATAATAGAACACTTAGCTCCGAAAAAAAAAGCTAAGTAACGTCCTGTCCATACGGATTTGTCTGCCAAAGAGGAGTGTAATTCGCATTTCCAGGCTTCTTCTTCGTCGTCTATTTCTTCTTTTCTTTTTCTTTTCTTTTTTTTTTATTTTACTCTCTTCTTCCCTTCGTTCCCTTAGTTAGCTTAAACCTGAAATAGGCATCCAACGTCTCCACGGCAAACGGGATTTGGCTCACGAACTCGATGGGGATTATTTTGGACATGGAACTTACCGAGAGGGGAAAAAAAAGGGGGTGGGAGAGCCAGAGGTTTCTCCGTGACGCATGAGCGTTGAGTCTGTTCTCCGTGGAGTCGGAGTATCTTGACGCGACAGGATGCTGCATCAAGGCTTAGCTAGCTGCGAACAAGGTCTCTCTCTGACAGACATGTATGTCTATGTATGTACGGAGTACTCCGTATACAGGGGCTACTGGCCATGTTCGTGGTGGATATAGAAGAAGAAACAGGACAAGCAGAGAAAAAAAGAGTCGAGGTTTGTTGCTGTCGTTGAAGTTGACGTCGTCGCTTCTTCTAGAAACGGCGAAACGTGGAAAAAAAAAGACAGCGAGAAGAAGAAGACAGCGAGAGTAACGTTGCCGCCAACCAACAACGTCAACCACTTGATTTCTTTTTTTTTCTCCCTCTTCCTCTGCTTCTTCTTTTCTTTTTGGCTCTGGATTTTCTATGTTTTCTTATTTCTTCCCTCTTTCTTGTTTTCTCAGCCCTTTGGCTTTTTTTCTCCTTACTTTTCTACTTCGTTAAACTAGCGGAAAAAGCAAGCATTAACGTCAAAAAAAAAAGGTAAAAAAAAAAGGAATAAAAAAGGAATAAACAGAATAAAAATAAACAGGGAGATCAGCGTTGTGCAAGCGCGAGAGTTGCTCTATGCGAAGTTGCTGCGTTTACCCTTTGCGGTTCTTACAAAGCCCTTCATATACGGAGGAAGAAAAGGAGATATACTCCGTATATACGATACGGGGCCACCTCGTGAAGACAGCGAGATGAAGACCTCACCAGGGAAGACGTCTATTTATCCAATTTTCTCGACACGATCAGCAGAAGGTCTGTGGTCACTGAATATCCTGGCTTGCATTGGCTCTGGGGTATATGTAGACAGCACTCTACATAAGCGTGCATGCAGACAACTCTCGACTCCATACATAGTATACGCGATATCCATTGATAGCCACGCCAACAGACGGGATGATAATTTCTTTTCCAGGCATATTTACTTATAGTATATATATATACCAGAGAAAGAGAGAAAAACGAGGAACGAGCGAAAAACAAAGAAGGATACGGCATCATCCCGTTGGGCCAGATACACATATCGCAAGTTTGGGCCTGTTAAAACCGTCTGAACACGAGCTGGGCCCTTCGGGGTTTTCTGGGGATGCTTTTCTTGTTGCTTTTTTGTGCGTGTCTTTTATGCACTCTTGCAGAAAAGCCGTTGTCGAAGGGACCACCAGGGACCATGCGCTTTTCTTTTAGGTAAACTAGCCAGGCATGGCCCACGGTTGTATAAAGCGCCACCGTTTATCGATAGAGACGATAAGGCAGATGACGAAGGAGAAGGGTTTCATCTTCAACTCGCCAGCTCGAGTCCCTTTCATTCTCGAAAACATATGTGGACTTGTTCTGTTCTTAGGAAGCATCATGGAAAGAAAGGGTTGCGCCCCCTGGCTGGCGTGGATCGAAGTTGAATCTCAATTCTTATGATCGACTTGATAATATGCAATATATTAATGACAACGTATATATACATATTGTCTGGGTTAATAAACTACAATCCATCGTTCTCACTCGTCTCCATAAGCGTCAGTGGATTTCGGCTTTAGCCAGGAAAAGCTGTAAGAATTTCGCGGATAGTTCGGCGTGAGCCCTCCGTGCTGTGGGAGCTAATTTAACCAATTCCAAACATAGAAAGCTAACAAGCGTGTTGCTTACCGGCTGAAGGCGCGCATAACTTTAGCTGTTTGCCATCTCCCTGTGGAAAGTTCCAGGAGTTGCCGCCCGCAGATAGGTCAACCCACGGTATCATTTCCCGCAACGTTAATCAACTACAAACAAGTCCAAATCGTCGTTATCGTATTTGCGCGCACAGGTGAAGTTTCACCACTGGAGACGGCCCTAGCCTGATTTCGGATGCTGCAGAAGAGGCTAGTACGCCAGTCCTCGTGAAAATTTACCTCCCAACCGAATCTACCCAACGCTATCCCCGGTCCAGTTCTGGCAGATGGGTACCCAAGGCCATCGGCATTGGCGCGCATCACTCTCTGATTGTTGGAAGGACATCGAGAGAACAAATCAATATCGTGGGGGGGTGCGAAGGGGGATGAGGGTTTGTTTGTATAAGTCTCCACAGTATATACCTGTTGTGGCTGGATTTCGCCAACCCCTGATGGGATAAATGCAGATTATTCGAACTTTTTTAATTAATTTGGTGCCGACTGACTCGTTCGAAAAATGGGGGAAAAAAGAAAAGAGAGACAGGTTGCTGGTTACCGGTTGATTCCCGAGCTTCAACGCGAGTTCCATAGGCGATCCAAATTCTTGCCGGAACCCGTTGTCATCTCGAAAGAGAGGAGGAGAGAGCCAATGTTCAAAATCTGACAAAAAAAAAATCAGAATGGTGGAGGAGAAATTCGTAGATAATGTCCGGCAGGCTCCGCTTGATTGGCAAAATTACATCCTCCTGAAGGCAAGGGTGTCGGCCTAGAACGTTATTGCGTGATATATTCAGCAGCAACTGCCACCACATGCAAAAGGAAAGGTTTGGAGTACAAGCAAGAATGAGGGAGATGTAAGTATTCCCAGAAGTCGAGACAGGTCAGCCAGCCATCCATAATCATCCTATTCCCCACCATGGAGGGAAGACGGACCAGCCACCTAGTTGCATAGCGCCGACCCAGCAAGAGCACAAGGACGAGAAGAGGGAACTCCGTACACCGCAAGAAAGTAAAATATCAGTTTTCGATACCGGCATCTGTACGGACCGAGCAAGTGTACGGAGTACAACCTCTTGATCCCACTTCGGCTTGCCCTGCAGTGATTGTCAGTATGGACCAGTTCCCCGTCAGCAGCCAATGGCAGAATCAACAGATGCAAGGGGCCTTTCAAGGAACTTTAGGCCCATCCACGTTGAACCTTGGCTCAACGGGAAGGGATAAAACGGAGGAAGGAATATGCTCCGCCTGCCGATATGGCGGCAAAAAAGAAAAGGAGAAGAATACATATGTAATATGCTTCACGAGCCAAAGATGATCGACTTTCACTGCATCCATAGACTTTCAAGCGAGGCTGGAGTACGGAGTATACCTCCAGTGCTAATTTCAGACCGTTTTGAACTAACTCCTTTTAGAGCTTTCATAGACCTTCGGCGACTCAAGGGAGTTATATGACGTATGGGTGCTTCTTTTCTTCTCTCTTGCTCTCTCTTTCGTGTGTATTTGTGTATCCTGGGATACATAAAGAGAGGAGAAGAAGGGAGGATAGCTACCAGGCGATCATAGCTGTCGATAAGGCATCTCCTACATCCCGAATAATCAGCCTGGCCTCAAGTTAGGGGTGTATATTTTTGTATACATGTATCTCCACTCGGGCTTTGCAGTATTTGGAGATGTCGCGCATGACAGAACAAAGATCTATTTATGCTTGATGGCGTTTGCATCCTGGGAAAACAGCCTTGGGGGAATCGAGAAACTCTGTGTCGAGCGAAATGCTCCCGATTGCAGGGCTTTGAGGGTCGCGATATCATGGCGTGTCCTTCATAGCCCTCTCTCTCTCCGTCTTAGGTGGCGTGGATACGTCCAGGCTTTAGCCTCATCGTGAAATCCAAGTTATTTCATCAGGTATTATTATCAGTATAATATATGTATATTCGAATATACAAACGAGCCGATTCGTCCCTTACTTTTCTCTCTCTTGCTACTGGCAACGTCAAGATGTTTGTTTTTTGGTTAACTAGTGATTACATAAGCCAGCGTGATAGGATGTATAAAAGTTGTTGTTCAGCAATTTCCTGTCTTTTGCTTGAGCTCGACGATAACAACTGGATTATATGTCTGAGGAGTCAAGGATAGTTCAGACGGCACGTCCATGCGAGAATGAGCTATGTCAATTGATCAACTATCGTGCATTGAGAGAGAACTGCACAGTCAAGCTTCATGTGATTCAACCATGGTTGAACGCCGAGCGGCTGTGTCGCTAAAAACAAACCCCTTGGCTATTAATAGGGACCGAATTCTCTTTCTGGCTTTCTAAACAAAGTATGTGAATACGCTGAAGGACCATTCTTGCTTGTTGCTTGTTCCCTGAATCTCCCGGAGGCTAGGATGACGGGCAAAAAAGGGAGGGAATAACGTCTTTGCCCAGCCTTCATGACCATGGTTTTGAGAGAAATGCTGTCATGCAGGTACCAGGATGCCTGCTACCAATCCAACCAGCTCACAGCATTCAAAGAGATCTTTGCATCTTTCACACGTATCCACTCCTCCAGGCAGACATAACAAGGCGTTGATTAACGGTTTTCGCCGCTTATCTACTAAGTCACAATTTCTTCTCCTTTTTAGATGGAGACAAGAACTCGAAGGTTCGAGCTGCCGCATCCTGTCAACCAAATAATATGGAGACTCGGAATGCCAACTCTAGACAAGCCCTGCCGGCTCCGCCGACCTACCAGATGGCGCAGAAGAAGCCTTGCCCATGCTTCAGCTGTTGGCACAACCAAGTAAGTGTACGCGGAAGGCCGTCTATACTAACCTGCTTTGTCAACCCAATGCGTGCTTTAACCCCAACCGAACGGACTGATTTGGCGTACCTGGCAAACGCACTTGTCGAAAGAGGAAAGCTATAGCTTCCCATGTTCATATAAACGGAGAAAGCAAGATGGCGAAGCCTTGAACTTAACCTGCCCCTGACCTGACCTGCAGACGGGATGAAGATAAGATCGAGGGAACAAAAATGCTCCATTACTCGGCTTTCAACCGATCATTTTTGACGTTCAAATTGGTTCCAGTTATCCTCCACTCAACCCATGCCAACCACACAGCCCTCTCCAGTTTCAAGGCAGTTTACTGCTTCCATTTCCGCCTTCACAGGATTCAGCTGAGATGTCCGCGTTACATAGTACGTACATGTGGTTAGATGTACATTGTAGTTTAATTCCCCACCTGGCTATCTTTCTTATGTGCATAAAAAGGATTCAAGGCCTTCCTTCCCCCCCGGTCCCCTTCCCCCCACCCCCAAGGCCTACTTGCAGGGTTCAGGGTGCGAGCACAGCTACTGTTAATTTCACAATGTCTAATTAACCCTTCCAAAACTCTCATACCTTGGACAATCCAGGAGGGTCTCCGAACATCTCATCACTCATTACTAAGTATGGGGAAAACTCCGTACGCCTATTGTATTCGTTTCTCTCCAGAGCATCTTCGGACTCCGTCCACCTCTCGTTTTCGTGATCCTCTCTCTGCTCTTCCTCGAAACCCAAAATTAAGGTTGCTTCTTTTAACCATCTCCTCACCCCATTGGCGTGGGATTGTCCGGATGCAAAGGCGAACGAGAATCAGTTGAATTTAATTTGATAAACCAGTGAGTACGACGTAATTCCAGACAACCCCACGTGATATCTGCCACATGGCGACCGTTTAACTAGCCAAACTCTCACCAGCACTCAATTCCTTGTATATTCGGAGGATGCCGAACTTGTTCGTCTTTATTCGGATCAGCTAAAAAAAAGGCTTTTTATGAGGAATTTGTTGGGCAATATACGAATGCAGGGTGCAAAAGGGTGAAGAAAAAATCGCTCTTTGTGCCAGTAATATTTGTATTTGCCAAATATTAATATATGGAATATATAACTATGGACTTTATATATTATGTACTTTAGTTACCCATACCTCAGAGAGCTCCGTTTTTTATGTATCAAAAGCTAGGTTAGGTTAGTAGTAGGCTTGTTCAAAGCTTGATCGGCCCTAATGCGTTAAAGGTCGACGGACAAAACATAGTATATCTTCACCAGAAACTTCAAAAAGCCAACAAACTAAGGCCTCCATCATCTTAGCGCATAGACTTTTTATTTTCGTTTTCTCCTCCTGTCTAACTTTTTGGTTGCCGTTTCTTCTTTTGAATTCAGTTCGTGAAATGAAAGTAAATACACGAGCATTCATAAATTTGTTCATACATAGTAAAACATCTTTCAAGGACAGGATCCAGAGAAATGTAGAAGCGATGTATTATACTATTTTTAAATCGCGATGTTAGCAACACCACTGGCCAAATCTCCCCCGCAGGCTTGAGATTTCATGATTTCGTCAAAAACACCGGCTGCAGTGGCAACAAGGCCGAGGAATGGTTTGCTAGGAGCGAGCACACGGGACAAATACTCTGGGTGGAATTGAACCCCAACGAACCAAGGGTGGCTCTTGAGTTCGATAATCTCCATACGCTCCGCCTTATCATCCTTACCGATGAAGTGTAGTCCACCTTTCTGAAGAGTATCAATGTATTCGGGATTGACTTCATAACGGTGACGGTGGCGCTCATCAATAGAAGCACGATCAAGCCCATACAGCTTTCGGAGCTTAGACCATTCGCTACCGTCCTGGAAGATAGTTGGCCTAGATCCAAGGCGCATGGTACCGCCAAGGTTGACCTGATCAATTTCAGGCATGAACACGATCACAGGATCAGAAGTGTGGTCGTCAAATTCGATAGAACTAGCGTGAGAAATACCGCAGACGTTACGGGCATACTCTATGACAGCTATCTGCATGCCGAGACAGATACCAAGATACGGTTTGCCCTTAGTACGGGCCCAGTGAGCAGCAGCAACCATACCTTCAGTGCCACGGGTGCCAAAGCCACCAGGAACAAGGATGCCATCAGCAGTGCACATATCATGCCAGGCCTTGTGGAATGCTTCCGGGTTTGTCTCAGAAACTGCCTTCTCGAGATTAGAAGAGTCAATCCAGGTGATCTTAAGTTTTCGGCGGCAAGCCATGGCAGAGTGTTCCAAGGATTTGATGACCGAGAGATAAGAGTCGTGGAGACTAGTGTACTTGCCAACAAGGGCAATGTTGACAGTGTTATAGACATGCTCTTGAGAGGTTGTGAGAGCTTTCCACTGTTTCCAAGTGTTCTGGCCCTTGTCTATAAAAGTTTGAGGAATGGTCAAGTCAGAAACCTTGAGAATATCACGAAGCTGGCTGAGAAAGCCTTGCTGTTCTAGAAGCAAAGGGACATGATACGTGGAAGCAACATCATGAACGCCAATAACTTGCTCGGGTTCAACCTGACAAAACATGGCAATCTTATCAGTGGTAGCCTTGTCAAGGGCCCTCTCACAGCGGCAGGCAATCTAGTGTTCATTTCGTAGTTAGCAAATTGACGAGGTAGTCTAGTACGTATCTCAATTCATCACTCTCTGAGTTACATACTAAATCGGGGCTCAAACCGGCTGAGCGCGCATCCCGTATAGCCTGCTGCGTGGGTTTGGTCTTCAACTCCCCATGAATGACAGGGACAAGCGAGACATGAATTTGGAGGAAATTGTTTTTTCCAACACGACGGCGTAGCTGACGCATAGCCTCAACAAACGGTGCGCTCTCGATGTCGCCAAGCGTTCCACCAAGCTCTGTATTCAATCTGGCTTCAGCAATTGCTTCTTGTGACGTTTGCTATTCTTTGGACATACCGATAACGCAGACATCAGGCTCCTCGTTGCTGTCATCAGCAGGAGTTCTAGCTACACGCTCTATCCAATCTTGGATAGCGTCTGTGAGGTGAGGAACAATCTGGACCGTGCGGCCAAGGTAGTCCCCTCGCCGCTCCTTTTCAATAACATGCTTATACATCTTCCCGGTGGTGATCTATGCATAATTAGCATATTTCCAGCACCGTAAAATTCAAACAACAGGCTCACGTTATTATCCCGAGAGAGAGTAACATTCAAATATCTCTCATAGTTTCCAAGATCTAGATCAGCCTCCCCGCCATCATTCAACACGAAAACCTCGCCGTGTCTAGTTGTTATTGATCAGATAATTGAGTCCAAAATATGAGACGTTGGAACAAGGCTCATTGCATACTCTGTAGGCGCCATAGTCCCGGCATCGACATTCATGTAGGGGTCGATCTTGATAGAGGTAACGTGCATAGATAGTTAGAACTAGTAACCAATAGCGCTATTAACAAGGTTACTACTTATCTTGAGGCCATCGGTCTTCAAAAGAAGCCCACTGGAAGAAGCTGTATTAAAGACATTACAATGTCAGGACATATATTCGGTATAGAGATTTCTCTGTTGGAGTTTTTCCAAAACAAGGCTTTGATATATCAGATGCAATGCCTACCAATTACGCCCTTCCCGATGCCACTGATCACACCTGTATAAATATAAAGATATTAATCAAACAGTTTCTTATAAAATATCAAATTCCTCTCCAGATTCCTTATACATGGGGCGCGAGCAAAAAGTTGAAGTCATCATTGCTTGCTTACCTCCAGAAACAAGAACGTATTTCATCGTGCCGGTTAGGTATGAGGAAGAGGAAAATCTGTGTATACTCGGAAGTACAGAAGCAAAGGTACAGAATAACTACTTATATTCAACTGTAAACGTAGGGGCCCCTTTCCTGGCTTCTGCCAGGGGGGAGGAGGAAAAGAGAAAAAGGGGAGAGAGGGAAAAAAAATCGAAGGCGCGGAACTTCTTTTAGTGGGATGGGCGGCTTTCGCGTCGCCGCCTTTTTTACACTTTTTTTTTTCTGCCAATAACTCAAACGCGCGCCCGATACGGTTTAGCGCCAGCCGCGACAGGCAGGACAGCACGTGATATCACTTTCTACTGAGACGACAAGATCATAATGCTAGAGACAAGAAGTTTGTGTGATGAAACGCAATTATATAGGTATTAATGGGCTAAACTAGCGGATTCCTATCGATAATGAATAGGCTGGCGATCATTGACGATTCCCTACTGGAGCAGACTTGTTTCCAGTTATCAACCTTGACAAATTCCTCGATAGTATTACCAGCTAGTTGAAGGCATCGAATTCCCGTATCCGCCATTTTTTGGGTCAAGCAACTGCCCTTACTATCGGTTCCTTTGCTCTTATCACCAGTATCACCGCTAGATGCGTCAGTGCAATACTTACTCCAATCGTTCTCAACTGTATTATTTATAATTTCTCGTCCATGTAAGAGAAGGGATGATCGGAATACACGACCAGCGTGGGAAGATGCAGGAGGGGGCGAGGATGATTCCAGTTGCATCTTGCGATCACCAGAGCCAGGAGGATGAGCAGTGTAAAGTTGCCATGCAGCCCCAGCGGATCGACTGTGCCTTGAGTATGAGGAACAAAGCCCCTCGATAAGTGCAAGAATGCCGTCCTGGATTGTCGTGAATTGCTCACCACAATATCCCCATGCTATGTAGTATAAATGGAGGTGGGCAAGGAGCTGTGCCATGTCTCCGTTAACACCTCTTCCGGGGCCTGAGAACTCAAAATCAATAACTCCGAGTTTAGGAAACTTAGCGGCCGCTGGCGAAGATTCAATGAGAATGCCTCCTGGCCATAGATCTCCGACATTGAAACACTGTTCTCCATCCCATACCGCCTCGCGGTCAAAGTCTTCTTCAACAACTTGACCTAGCTTCTCTGCGTCAGCGCAGTTGAACTGGCCAAGGTACGGTTTCATAGTCGACACTGCTGCTCTTCGAACTACTTCCTTCATACTACTATTATCGAACCGGGTCAGCTTGGGATCGGTGCCATGTGGTTTGATCAGATTCAGCGTCCCCTCAGCATGAAGATCGGCGAAAAATTGGCCGAACGTCTTGCCAATAGAAAGGCATAGATGGTGATCTTCTAGGATATAATTCCCAGGGAGTGACGGCCAGGCAGGGAGGTGAGACGATAGCCACGAAATTGAAAGAAGGTCTGATAGTGGCGGCAGGGTGCCTAGATCCTCGAGAACTAGGATATGTAATTCTTCATCATGATATACAAGCCCCGGGACTCGAACAGATGTCTTTTTAAGGATAGGCACTAGCGGCCCATCTGGTTCGGAGAATAACGCAAGGGCATTTTTTTCAACATTCTACAACTTTGTAAGCATAAATGTAACAGTCATTTAGATGTAGTAAAGAGAGAGTGGCATTGTATCAATAGCGGCTTTACCTGTCTGGCCTGGTCGAATGGCGCGGCTTCACCCACGCTTGCTACAAAGGGCGGTGCGTATTTCAATATCAGACTCTGGCTGTTACCGAACCGACCAGCCTTGCCAGCTGCTACATAAAGGCTCTCCTCATTTTGGCTCTTCGAAGCGCGGACAGTAAGGTTGACAAGACCACCTGTAAGGCGTTTGACTGTCCAGGTGTTCTGGGGATCGAGTTGCTTGAAGTAGGAATCGAAATCAAACGACATATCTCCTAGTAGAGAGTAGACAGGTTTGGCGCAGGTATGCAGCGATTTTGCCTGCTAAACGAACAAGCTGTGTCAATTCAAGAAGTAGTAGATTATTGTCTACGTTTCCGTTTTTGAGAATAACACTTGAGTGGGCGATGATGAATCGTTATTTATGCAACGCAAGCAGAATCCATGTTGGATCACGGTCGATCAATGCTTGTCACGACTTGCACACTAGATATCGCCTCATGTTTCCTATTGGGCGTGAGGCCTTTATTTCTTTGGTCAGTGTCCGGGAATATGTACATAGCAAGGTCCCTCCCTCGAAGGGCGTACATGGCTGCTTGTCGGAGACCACATACGGCTAGAGGCCATAGGCTGGAAATTGGGCGAGCAAGACATAAGAGATACTGCAAGAGCACACGCTGGCGGACCAATCTTAGTGAATTATATTAAGTACAGTTAACAGCATGTCTCAATTCTGCATATCCTTATTTTCCTTTGCTCGCGAAATATAGAGAATGCCCCAAAATAAAATCATACAGCAGCTCCATAACATACATATCCTCAGAATTGGATGAAATCCCGAGGAGTCATAGGAAAAAAGAGAATGAAAAAGAAACCAATAACGCAACAGTAGAAGAAAGTCAAACTTGAGGTGTATCATTAATAACAGATCATTCGAAGTTGTCTGTCCTGTCAACCCAGATGTCCTCCAGCTCGGCAAAGTTTTGGAAGTGCAGCGGTCTATGTTGATCATCATAGAATCTCTATATGATAGAAAACATTTCGTTAGTTATCCATTAGTTTACAGTAATGCGAGGAGACGGATAGGGGGGAAGGCTTACCATCGGAGTATCAACCTTGACATAGATAGGCCGCTTCTCTACGCTGCTGAAAGAACTTCCCATGAAACTGTAGTTCCAGACGTTGTTTTCAGGGACCAAGAAATATCCACGAATCCTATCACTGAGCAGAAGCTGGCACTTATCACCCATGCTGGTTGAGAAGCCTTGCGGTTGATCGGAGGTTGTGTCCTTGTTCTCGGCGCCCCACTTATAGCCTTGAGGCGTAAGAGCCCAAGCCGAAAGCGAAACAGAGCCTGGGGTGAATGAAACGGTCATCGTCACAGTCTTTTTATCCCATGACGAGTGTGCATTCATGAGCCGTGAGTGCTGTGTCACATCCATCGCAGTCATGTATGTGGGCTCGTTGCCGGATAGCGTATGGATAATTCCGAGAGGTTCGAGGCCATTCAAGTATTCATGTTGCGGCAGCTGTTGTGGGAGCTGTATATCACGCGTATTGCCAACCTGAGGAATCATCACAATTGTCCGAACCTCCTTAACCTGGTCGTTGTCTGGAGGTGAGCTTCCATACAGATACCCAGCAACTTGAACACGGAGATCTGAAATCATAATGAACCGTTTCAGTATATTCTTTGGCATAATATAAGTGTAATGTCCATCTTCCTGGATATCCTCGGAAGATATGTAGATGTTGTTGGCACGTGTGCGTAGGTTGGAGGTTGCAATTGCCCGAGTCCGCCATTCAGTCTTCGACGCAAACGACTGTTGCTCATATTGCGAGGTTGTAGTCACAATGATCTCTTCACCACGAACGTTCTGAGTCTTCGTTGTAACAGCAGTCAATTGTTTCTGTTCCTGCTGCTGCTTCTCCATCTCGGCAGCCTGCTGACGCTGAAGTGAAGGTGCACTGATTTCCATACCCAAAATGATATCTCGGACTTCGCTGCCGGTAAGACTTTGAACATTAACATTGTTCTTCTTCCCGTAGTCATTCAAAATCAAGTCACGAAGCTGAACTTCAAGCTTTATCCAATCCTCGTCCGAGAGGGTAGGCCATATATGATGTTCCTGGGTAATGACCGTCTTGTCGGGCCGTAAAAGGATTTTGGTCTTCTCAATATTCACGTGCAAGGCCCGAAGAATCAAAATCAGTCGAGAAAATGCAGTGTACGAAGATATGGTCTTAAGCCATTCGTCGTAAAGGTTGAAGAGAACCATCTGTGGCTCCGTAGCTTTGAGAATCATATCAGCCAGTTTTTCAATCTTCATTGCTGCTTGGAATGGGAGCTGCAGTTCTGAGGCTCTGATAGAAATGTTCGGGAAATCAAGTAGATGAACTTCAAGAGGATCAAGTAGACCCTTTCTCGTAACAATAAGTTGTTTGGGCTGTTCTTCAACGGGCAAAGATCGGATAAGAGCAGCAACTTCTTCTGCGGTTTTCCATTTGGCTAGCTGACCCAAACGTTTCTGTCCAGCCCATACACTGGTGTGAATTATCTTTAAGAAAAGTTGACCAGTTCTCGGGTTGAAAATGAAAATTGCACCGTTGATTGGCTTGGTCGTTAAGTTCCCTTCAAATGTCTTGTGGATAGTCACACGGTATACATTCGTATCATCAATAAACAATTGGATCTGGTTACTAAACAGCTCGGAGTAATTTTGAGAGTTTAGGAATTCCTGGTTGCTCTCAGACGCATACAGTTGTAAACCTTTGCGGATACGCTCTCTTAGGACGTACAAGGCAGGGTTTGCCTTCATGATTTTGGCCATAGCTTGCTGAATTAGTACTTTCAAGCCAGGGAAGTACTGTCCATAAGCAGAGTAAAGGTTGTAGGCCAGATCAATACCAATCATTAGACCGGTGGCGGATGGGTAGATACTCATACTGTCGGTAGTGTAGTCGAGGTATTTGGCACGTACGTAACGCTCAATATCGTGAGAATCATAATCACCATATCTTAGCTGTACGTCTAGCCAGAACTTGTTGGTCGTGGTTGCCTCGATCACGTCCTTAGTGTCAAACAAAAGTGAAGGTCTTGTTACGTTCCATTTGTGAGTTGCGAACAAGAGGATATCAGCGCAAGAACTGTTCATCTTATATGATTTTCGAGGATGTATTGTCTCCTTTTGCACAGTTTCAATGCCAAGCTGCTCTAGTTCTTGGTCAAAAACTTGGCACAGATCCATAACAACAGATTCGTGGATTTTCTGCCATAAATGTGCTCTGAATATCTGAATCAAGGATATTTTCAACGTTGGGATTTTGCCGTGTAAGAAAATGCCAGTGAGATCAAGTTGCACCTGGAAACCAACATAAACGTTTGCCCTATTTATAGTTGGTGACCACCATAGAGTAAATCGACGATTGGGGATTTGGTTCAGACCAGATCGCTGGGCGTTGGTCAGTTTCTTAAATTTCATTGACTCTTCGAAACCGCTGTTATGAAGCACAAGATAATCGTGTCGTAGATACAGCTGATCTCCATCAACTCGGAAACCAGCCCATCCAGTAGCTTCGGGTTCTAGTGTGATATCTGTAACCATAAAGCTATGAGTCTGAGGGGTGAAGCGATCCATAGCCTTCTTGCTAGATAGAAGACACGGGATTTCCTTCAAATTGCCGAGTATCTGAGCAAAAAGCTGGGGATGCTGCACGGTACGAGTTGGATTCCACACCATTCTTAGTTTAGTCCATACACTGAACCCAAGAGAGCGTGCCAGTGCGACGGTATCCCAGAACAACGCTGAATGCCATCGTTCGCTCTTGCTGAAGCAAAACATGTTCTCCGGGTAGACGTACCATCCATCGCTATCAATCAAACCTGCGAGGACGGCCAGTCGGACAGCACGCGAATTGTTCAAGAAGACAGCGGGAATACGCTTACGATCAGTCTCAGGTTCAGTTGATCCAGGCTCTGCGAGCACGCCAACCCCACGAAGAGCCTGAAGAAGCGAATTGATACCTGAATTGTTCGGAGGTAGTCCAGTGGTCTGCTTAAGGAGTTGTTCTTGTTCCTCCTCCTCGAGAGTACCATACGCACTGAGGCCAGTCCGAAGACGTACAGTTTGTTGAGTCTGTGGAGGGTCGTCGTCGAATTGTCCATCACCAATCTCACTAATGGTGTCCAGGATATCTAGATAGACGCTGTCTAGATCGTCTTCTTCGGCTACTTCTGGCTCGCTGACGAGACTCATGAGAAGATCATCTGACCGCGGCTGGGGGGGGGTATCTTTGGGAATAGCATCAACAGGGGAAGAGGTTCGATCCTTTATGGACAACGAGGACGCGAAAGATGCATCGAGGTCTTGACTAGGCTTGTGCAGGTGGTGGTGTTGAGGCGGAAGTGGAGGCGAGCTCGCCGGGTTGGAACTCAAGGAATGTTTGACAGCAGCTATAGGACGCGAGGGAGGTATAGCATCAGAAAAACCCTCATCAGGAGGTCCCCAAATACGAGCTTCACCAGGCTCACGACCACTCTGTACTGTCCACCCAGCGGCAAGGCGTTTTGCAATAATAGTATGTCGGGATACATGTCTCTCACGCTCAGTGATAGTTGATCTAGTCGCCTGCGGATATGGACGGCTAGCGAGCGATGTTTTTCCGACTGTAGCATATCCTAACTGACCATGCAAAGCCGATTGTAGATCGAGTTCTGCAGCATGTCTAACCAGGAATTCTCGGATTTCTGCCTCGTGAGAGTTGTCGATAGCTGCACTACGGCGGTTGCCATCTCCAAGCCAGAGTCCAAGGAAGTACGGGTTACATGGCACTGATTGCTCAGGGAGATCGAAACCAGGGGATCTGAAGAGCCTGTACTTGCGCCTCTCCTCATGCTTTAAAGCATGAAACTCGGAGGCGGTCATCTCAACAGTTTCGTATTGATCGGATGCGGAGACCTTACCGCTCTTTTCTTTGTGCAAGACTAAGATGTGGTTTGCTGTAACAACAAGATCTTCCTTGCGACTCTCAATCTTGATGCGATAGAGTCGATCTTTGCCGCTGACTATATTGAAGGCACGTCGAGGTCCTCCATCCGGACCAAGAAGTAGATCACCCTCTTTAACATCTTCGACAGCAACCTGAGAGTGATCATATCGAAGTAGCATCGTACCATTTGCAAGGCATGCTCTTTCCCAGAAGAGGCCTTCCCAGGAGGGGAATGCTGTCGCTTTGAAAAGAGTATGCTCTAGAATGGTTTCGACACCGCCTAGAGCTTGGATAACATCGGTCCTATACGCGTTGAGATTCCACAATTTACCATCATGTCTCTGACTTGTCCACCAGAATGGATTGCTCTTCATAAGCTGATAAATTTTGAACTCTGTTCTGGCACGGAAGCCCTTGTCAAAACTCAGTGTGCTGCGATCCTTCTGGAAAAGAGTATTGATTCGTGGAAGTCCACGGTCCCAACTATCTTCCAGATCCTCAAGGGTAAGTCTGCGGTTTTGTTGATTGGCCTCCTGTCGCTTCTGAGAGTATTCCATCCAAACACGCTGAGAGTCAATGAATTCAGCCTCCCAGGGAATAATGTATCTGAAGATGTTTGGGATCAATGTCTCCTCATCATGAGACATACCGGCCCGGTAATGAGTGACGCCAGTATCCGTTTGCTTGGACCATCGCTTATCACTGGTTGGGATAAGAATGTGTGACCCAGAAATCATACCCAAACCTCCCAGTTCCTTAGGGGTATAGAAGACAGCTGGGGGGAAACGCGACGGCATCTTCGAATTGAGGCCGATCTTAACTCGGGTTTGGATCTTTGTCTCACACTTCACGATAGTATCTAGCAAATTTACAGTTGAAACTGCAGCTTCTCTGTAATAAGTGAAAAGAGCGATCAGACTGGTATTCCACTTATTGGCGATCTTTGTGAAGGTTGTAGAGCCAGAGGACATCAAGATTTGTCGGATACGGTTATTGAACTTTTGAATATCCTCTTCTGTGACTTGTAGAAAAGCATATGCAGTTCGTTCTTTAGTCGTATTATCGGAAAGAGACCAGACACTATCTTTGACAGAGAATTCTTCATTTAAATTACGAATTTTCGGCAAGATGCGAACCTCAAAACCGCACATTGAAAACAAAAGATTCGGGTTATCCTTGCTGTAAACACTTGCGAATGTGTCATCCCACTCAATAGTGGTGATGGATCGAGGAAGTCGATTCTTTAAGTCCCAGAAAACAGCCCGGCCAAGATTAACATCGTGTCTCATGAGGCGCATTCTAGAATCTCTCGGCCAACACTTTTTGTTCCTGTAGCCGATAACATTCTCAAAGTTTGGATCTGGCTGCTCTGTCAAGAAACGCTGAATTAAGTCGCGCGATTCATCGGCTGAAAACCTGAAGAACACCCAAATCTTGTCGATATATCTCGTATAAAGACGGATAGGGTGTTTGCTTTCAGTAGCGCGGTCTCTAAACTGCAGGAAATCATTGGGGCTTTGTGGTGGACCAGCAATTTCACTTGCTCTTTGTAAACCAAGAAGAAGTAAGTCGATGACCAAGCCATAGTACTGGAACACGAACCCAGAGAACTGAAGGCCACGAATTAAACCATAGCTATTAGTATGGTTCATATCCTTGTAGTTGAGTTGGACATTGTTCTTTGAGGTGATATAATCTGCTAGATTGTGGTCCATGATGAGACGAAGAAGACGATTCAGTAACGTAAGATCGATTTTCTCATACACCTTAGACAGCTGTGTCTCAATCATAACATTGCATTCGCCATCAGCAGTTTCCCAAACATTGGATAGATTGTTGATGCCTTGAGCCCATTTATATGTCAAAAGAGGTGGTACTTCTGAATCAGAGGGCTTAATCCAGGCGGGAAATAGGTGTCGTTGGTCAGCCTGATACCAGAGATATTGGTCAAGGTACGCATCCGTGATTTTTTCAATTGGTTCAATGTCGTACACAGGGTTGATATGACTGTAGTTGTCATTCATATCAATACCAACTTCTTTGAAAGCTCGCTGGGTGAGAAGGAATCGTTTAATCCTTGCAAGGGTAGTTCCAGGAGAATCATAAGCCTGCTCTATAAGGGCAAGTTCCTCCCGCTGGCTCTGATTTAAGCGACCTTTCACCGAGTAAGCCTCACGCAATCGTTCAAGGGCTAGAATCAGAATCTTTGTATCGTGCTTATATGATACACTAGGGAAAGGAATCGGTGAGAACTTTCGTGATTCTAGCCAATGAACTGTTGTGGTATAGATGGCGACAGCTTCCTCCGAAGATACATAGGGCCCGTCTTTCATATAATTGTGTTGTCTTTCCTGCTCAGCTTTAAGCCACAGACGAGTTAATCTTCCAAGGTTCTTTTTTGGCGACAGTTTTATCGACAGTAGCTCCACGACGGA